GCTATGGGTGTGCTTATTACGGTTGTCATGAATGTGCTTACTGAGGCGAAAGAAAGGGAGAAGAAAGACGCGAAGAAGAGGAGTGACGGAATGGATGGGGAGGCGGGGTTGGAGTTGCTGCCGACCGCGTATCGTGGGTATGAGTATTAGGGTGCCTGATGAATCCTCTCATGCGTCTAGACAATGGTAGAGTATAGCAAGCGAATTGTAGCCAAAAGTTGTGACAAGACGACCGATGATGGAGCTCTCTCAGCATCGTGTCAAGTTTTGCGCGTTGTTGAGAGTAAGTCTTCCAAGGTTGTTCGCGCATGAATTGTGACATTGTGTTGGTGACGGTGAAGAGTGGGCGCGTCGCGATTTCAAAGCGCGATGACGGCACCAGCAGCGCACGGACTCTCGGAGGTTGCGGCGATGTCGACCACTGTATGGTTGTCTCCATTACCACGACCACCGCCGCCCGAGACACGCAGAACCCGGTCGAAGGCCTTACGTAGCTTGCGCCTTCTATATACGAATCACCACACCGAGTGCACCTCTTTCCCTACGGATGGGCACACCACCACATCGCCCCCAAACGATCGCTGCCTTGGCTGGTGCCGTGTGCTTTCACTATTACCGTTATACAGCGACATATTCACACCTAATCTAATACTTCCCCTGCAGACCGACCTACCACCGAGAGCGTCAGAACCTATCTAAACACATTTACCCTACACATACACCGATTCGACGTCTCGCATTGACCGCTTCGACGCCCCGCCACCATGTTCACGAGCTTCACCGGCAACACGCGAAAGGCCCGACAAGTCAACCTCGGCGGCAAGAAGACGAATCCCTTCGGCCCTCCCGGCTCCGGCGCCGGGTCACAGGCCGCCCTCGATCGCGCACAGCAAGAGCGAGCGCAACGGCAGCGGGAACGAGACACGCTCAATGCGGCCAAGCGGATACAGAAAGTATGGCGGGGTCACTCGGCCAGGAGAGACGTGGCTGACGAGCTACGGGGCGCATGGGACCGGGTAGAAGAGGCGAATGGCTCTTCGAGGACGGCGACATATGACTCGGAGGAGGAGGCTCTCGCACAATTACAACGGCTGCTCCGATTCGCTTCCTCACGGAGCGATGATGATCTGCGACGGATACAGCACTATGCATCGCGCCAGATGGAAACAGTCAAGAAGTTGGGCATCACATCAAGCGGGCCGTGGCCGTGGGCATATCTAAGGCTGGAGCGCATCCTACTCGTGGCCATAGAGCGGCAGCTTCAGAAGCACGCGCCCATGCAATGGAATCAGGTTGGGGCCTCTCTCACCGTCTTACAGTTCCTCGCAGACCAGATACCCGCCGAAACGTCCCAAAACGCCGAGCATTACTACCGCACTCTTGCACGCGTCGTGTCCACCTTCACCCCAACACTTGAAACGCAGAGCGAAGGATCGGAAATAAGTGACACCATAACCAGGGCAGCCCTCTCGCCGATGACGCGGGTGACTGGCTACACACTGGACGCTTATGAGGCTTTTGGTATACACTTCTTGACTCTCCCACTATTAGGCTCGGACTCAACGTCACCACCATTACAAAAGTTCCGCGACTCGCTCGCCGACGCCATCAACTACAAGCTGCTCGCAAATGCACTGGCGACACTTTCCAAGAGAGCAGGGCTGCAGAGCAAATCCGAGCTGAAGAACACATCAAGTAGACTGCGTTTACTAGGAAACTTTATCTATTTCCACCGCTACGCCCACAACTTCGACACTCCCGAAGCCTACGCGGTTCACAAGGACTTTGTAGCCGTCGTATCGGTTCTGTTGAACTCCCTGCCAATCAACATTGTAGATGACGATCATCCAATTGCCGAGCTTTCCGAAGACGACGGTGCCGATCAAGACGCCAGCGCCGTGTCAAATTTCTTGAAAGAGCAAGTCCGCTCCCTGGTACATCAGGAAGGTATTGGAAGTCTTTTGGCCGGATCATCACAGTCAGCGGAAGCTTCAGATGATGAGAAGGTCGAAGAAGCCCGGCAGCTTGCAAACTACGCGCTTGCATTACTTCGCTTCTTCCCCCGTCGCGGTGATGAGATACGAATGTGGCTCTACATCGGCCCATCAGAGGCGTCTGGAAAGAGCGCAAGGAAGCTTCCGGCGATCAAATACTTCTGGGAAGCATCAAAACGATCATCGGTCTTTAGCACCATCTTCAGGGACTCAAGGGCAGCTATTGGACTCTTGAAGCCGAAAGCTTCAAACATAAACAACTCCGACCGCCCAGGGACGTCCGGACTAACGCAGCATGGCTTCTGGCAGCCAGCACAACAGCAAGTCGATCGCGACGCAGTCACCACCGACGAGTGGCGTGTCATTCTGGTATTCCTCGAACTATATACCTTTGTACTCAAAGTCACCGACGACGAGGAGTTCTTCACCTCGGGGCAGAAAGACATCTACTCGGGCCAGATCCGCGACAGTGGCTTACCTCTAGGCGAGGTGAAGGATTTGACGACTTTCCTGAAGAATTTGGGCTTCACACTTTACTTCAACGCAGTGGACATTACAACCTCGGAAGAGGATATGGGAGGCAATAACAGAAGTCTGAGCTATTTCAACCCTGGAGTTATGGACAACCAAGCCCAGAAAGAGCATGCTGAGCCATCAATAGGTGGTGTTGCAGGCTTGAGGATAGACTACGTGAAAGGGCTGGTTACTGGACTACTTCGTATGGTATACGAGCGCGACTCGCGACGCAAGTTCCTGCCTTCGGACCACTGGCTCATGGTCTCGCGCTTTGACATGACAGGTTTCATCCCGGCTGTAGTTGAGGAGGAAGAGTCGCGGCACAAGATCCAAGAAGAGGATGCGGAGGATCTCGATGATCTTGAAGAAGAGGAATTCGATGATACACCACAACTCATCGGCACCAGCCGCACCCAGACACAACGACGCTTGGAGAAACTACAACGGCAGCAGCGCAAGGCTTCGCGGAGACGGTACCTGCAAGCCGTAGCACCTCGTCTCGAAATCCTGCAGAACATGCCGTTCTTCATACCCTTCACCACCCGCGTTCAAATCTTCCGCGAGTTTGTCAAACTAGATATGATCAAGCGACGAGGATCTGCGGATCCTGAGTTCTGGCGGTTCCGGACCATGCAGCAGCCAAACGCTCGTAGCCAACTTGAGAAGCATACGGCTAGGATCAGAAGAGAGAACGAGTTCGACGATGCTTTCGAGCAATTCTATGAACTAGGCCAGGGCTTGAAGGAACCAATCCAGATTACCTTCATGGATCAGTTTGGCGCCCCCGAAGCCGGTATTGATGGTGGTGGTGTTACGAAGGAGTTTCTCACCAGCGTCACTAGCCGAGCATTCATGCCAACTGAGTACATCGACATGTTTGTTGAGAACGACCAACACCTCCTGTACCCCAACCCCGCAGCAGTTGAAGAACACAAAGAGGCCCTCCGACAAGCTGGCATACGCGAGGGTTCACAAGAGTACCGCGCCCAGATCACAGAGCTGCTTCAACGCTACGAATTCCTAGGACGCATCATCGGCAAATGTCTGTACGAAGGTATCCTCGTCGACGTCAACTTCGCACCCTTCTTCCTGCGCAAATGGGCACTAACCGGCGGCACGGGCTCCGCGCCCAACGAATCCGGCTACCGCCCCACGCTCAACGACCTCCGCGACCTAGACGAAGAGCTATACCAAGGCCTGCACAAGCTCAAAACATATCCCGGCGACGTCGAAGACTTCTCCCTCAACTTCACCGTCACCGACACCGTCATCGTAGATCACACCACTTCACCAAAGAAGACTAAAGCCATAACCAAGGACCTCAAGCCCGACGGCTCAAACACCCCCGTCACCAACCAGAACCGGCTTGTGTACATTAGTTACATGGCGCGCCACCGCCTGCAAAACCAACCCTACGCCCAAACCGCGGCTTTCCTCCGCGGCCTCGCCACCATGATCCAACCCTCCTGGCTCTCCATGTTCAACCAATCCGAACTCCAGACCCTCATCTCCGGTACCCGCACGTCCATCGACATCGAAGACCTGCGCCGCAACACCATCTACGGCGGCACGTACGTCATCGGCGACGACGGGCTCGAGCACCCGACCATCCAGCTGCTGTGGAAGGTCATGAAGGAGATGAGCGATGATGAGCGCCGTGCGGTGCTGAAGTTTGTGACGAGCACGCCGCGCGCCCCGCTGCTGGGGTTTGGTACGCTGAATCCGAGGTTCAGTATTAGGGATGCGGGGAGGGATCAGGATAGGTTGCCTAGTACGAGTACGTGTGTTAATTTGCTGAAGTTGCCGATGTATGAGGATGAGAGGACGCTTAGGGAGAAGTTGCTGTATAGCGTTTTCTCCGGGGCTGGGTTTGATTTGAGTTGAGGGTTTTGTGGGAATTGGGGGAGGATGGATGTTGCGTGATTGGGGGAGGGGGAGTTGATAGATTTGCAGAGCATGGTTATTACGGGGCTATTATGAAGTAGACTTGCATCATGCATGTATACCATTTGACTACAACTTGATCGCTCTTGAATTTCGTGTATATTAGCCATGTGCAGCAGTCTTTCTCCTTGAGCCCAGGGGTGGTCTTGTTCGCTATAGGTTTGTTCGTCTTATTACATGAAATTATTTCAAAGATATTAATAGCTGTTCTGGGTTTCATAGCGTGTGATGGTGCTATGGATGTATTTACACTAGTGCCTACTCGATTCCGAAACTTGAGTTGAAGCGCGTTGTCGCCGCTGCAAGATCTTGCGGCTATTTACCTTCACCGTTGAATTCTCGTCTCCCGTATCTGATTGGGGGATTCAGGCATCGTGTATATCGTTCGTATTGTGGGAGTCGCGAGTGGCCCGCTGCGCATCGTCCATGGGTTATCGTACGGGTAATCGCAGTAACATGGGATGGAATGGAAAATGAGTTCAATATTTTCGCACACAGATATGAGTCAAAGCAGAGAGTATAGAAGCTTCGCCGTCGGTTAGAGACCTAATGGTTTCGAATTGTGCTCGCGCCACCGAGCGAACCGTAGAATAATAGGTTGCTACTTAGGACAAACAGCGACAAGAGTATTATAGGGAGTATCCTAGGGAGAATGAACTGGAGCCAAGTTTCACCGTATTGCTTCTTCCATTTGGTGAGTACAGTCTGGGCCTTGTCATACTTCGCGTTGAGCTTGTCTAGATCTTGCTGGGTGCTATCGCCTTTTGCGCCGGATGGATTTGCGGCTATAACTCTCGATTGGCATTCTCGGAGCAAATATTGGACACCCCGAGCAGTCCTCTCAGGATGCTTTTGGAATTTGCGATCGTTGAGGAAAGCGAGATAAAGATCCACCATGCTCGCATTGTCAGACCGCAATCCTGTTTGGTCCGCGGAAGATAGGTAACTGGCGAATGAATCCCAGCAATGGTATACATCCATGTATCGAAAGATTTCTGCGCCCACATGAAGTCTTTGGACAATCTCACTAACCGCTTCCGTACTTGATGGGCAGTCTAGAATAGGTTCCCTTGTCATGTAGTACACCAGGAGTGCACGGGTCAGCGAAGTTCTTTGTTGGGCTGTGACGGATTCTTCCCACGAGGATATGTCGGCGAAATAGCGATGTGCGCCATATTCCATGGCAAGACTCAAGAAGAAAAGATGCTGACGGGTATCATGACGCTCGAATATCCTTCGATTAGCCTGTTTAAAGACGAATCGTTCGAAAGTCATATCCGTCGTTGCGCGCCATTCGTCGTCTGACGCTCGCATTTTGAACATCGTCGCCTTTTTCCAGTGAAGCTTCATAGTCTTTTCCATATTATCTAACAACGCCGTGTAGAGACGGAGGTTGCGATCTTCCAGAAAGCCGGCAAATATGAGTCCTTGTCGCAAGTTCGCAACAGAACGGTCGGTGCTCGCTACGATCGTTCTTTCCGAAGGCAATGCCTTCATCTCGAGAAGGCTTGAAACAAGTAGAGTGAGGTCGATATTAAAGCCAGTGCCAGCCTGTTCCTTCAGTAGGTTCCATGTCTCATCAGAGCGAAAGAAGTCGATCGCAGTCTTGTGGTAGAATTCGACCCATGCCTCCACAGCAGACGAGCCTCGTTCAGCGATATTGTCTTCGTTTGTGACTTCAAGCAAACCTTTCGTATGGCTATTGATCCTTCTTTTCATCCACAAGCATAGCGATCGTCGCTTGTTGGGTGGCATGATTCGCAATTCCTCGGTGATAGCCTTTTCAGATGTAGTATCCTCATTGTCGATTAGAGCTAGTTGAAGAAGGCTCATTGGCTCGGAATCTTGCACTTCTTTGCTTCTCAACATTATGAGAATCATGCGAGCCGTACTCCTTTGCGTTGCTGGGTTTAGCGACTTGAACATGCGCTTATACATTTCGTGAAGGTCCGGGGGGAGCGAGTCGAGTTTGCGTTGCAACGTAGATACCGTCTCACCATTCTGTAGTCCTTCTAGAATCGAACGAAGCGCTAACACCACCCAGAGAAAAACGCCGGCTGACATGTCGCATAGGCCGCGCACTAAAGTTGATCGAAGCTCTGCATTCAACTCTTCCATTTCTTTTAAACCCCGAGAGTTATCCAGTCTATCAGAAACAAATTTTGTCATGTCTTGATACGTCAGGTCGTGTAGCCGAAGATGAGGCATACCGTCGAAGGCGTCATTAAATTCTACCAAGGGTCGGCTAGACAGCACCAGCTTCACGTTATCGTAGGAAGATAGCGTTTTGAAAACACCAACGAGTTCGTCGTGAACTCCAGAGTACTCGTCCAGTCCATCAACGAAAAGGCAAATTCTGAGGCCTTGGGAGTTCTCGACAAGCAAATGAAGTGCTCCTATAAGCTCTGAAAGCGTCCAGGAGAGATCCAACTCACGTCCTGCAACAATCTCTGTGCAGATCCCGGGAAAAACGGACGGTATGAGCCGTGGACATTGCGCAAGAAGCGTGTACAACAGGCCTCGTAATAAGCCTTCGTGCGATGATTGCAGGGTACGTCCAGCCGCCCAGAAGAAGAAACTGGCCTGTAGTAACGTAGAGCCATCTCTCCACAGATCAAGGAGCTGAGTCGTTTCAGGGTGTGAGCAGATGTACTTCATCAACGTAGATTTCCCGCTCCCGGCCTTTCCTGAGATCCAGTATAGACTGTTGTCACTACTGAGCCACTCCGTGAAATCCGACCAACGACGATCTCGCTCGGGTGCTTTGAAGATCCATTCGTATGTGTCATGATGGGCCATCGCTGTATCGCTGAATCTGCTTTGTAGCCCACGATAATGTAGCGCGGCCAAAGCTTTCGTCGAAAGTGGCGAGAACTGCTCGTTGGAGACATTCTCCACGAGTTGTGTGTTGGACTGATCTCTAAACGTTATCACACGCTCGATTGAGTTGCTAGGGGCCGAGTCTTCTTGGCCGGCAAGTGCGAGGTTCTGGTCGGCGACTGACAGTGTGGTGCCGTCTTCAAGCCCCAGAATAACGCGGAGCACTTTCTCTGTTCTAGTATTCCCGCTGGGATTCCTCGTAAGATCGCGAGTCGATGCCGATGATCCTGAGGAACTTTGTGTGAACGTCAAGATCTGTACGATGCGCTTGCTCGCCGTCTCGAGACTATCAAGGCGCTGAGTCACTTCTGACGAGTGTACATCCGTCTTCGCGTTGAGCAGGGCAAGGAGGCGTAACGAGAGGTCTTGTTGATAACCTTCAAGCCTTCTGATAAGCCCTTCGATTTCCTCTTTCTTCAGGATAGTCCGAAGCGCAATGTGGAAACTTTTCCATGCAGATCGTTTATTCGCTTTTGGGATGAGGTCCTCGAGATATCGGATAATTTCCGTTCCAACTTCAGAGCAGCCCGCAATGATGCGGTCGAGGGCCTTCAACGATTAGCACCTTTTTTGTCCATGCAGTTATACAAGCTGGGCTTAGGATGTACCTCATATTCATCCTTGAGTGAGTCCTTACGACCACTGATCGGCGCACGCAAACCATTGACCCAGGATTTGAGTTCCTGCGCTCTGTGCTCGATCTCTGAAACGCCGATGGTGGTGCCTGCCTGATGAACATCGTGGCCGAGGAGTACGACTTTGACAGTGAAGTCGATAAATGTCACAATGGATGTCGCGATGGAGACCGCGCTAATCGGATCCATGGAGAATGATCAGAATTGATGACGGTTTGAGCGATGGGCGGATTAGCGCATGGCCGGAGCCAGTCTTTATCTGAACATTACCGCGCGGAATCAAGAGTGAGCACTGGAATCGATACCAACGCCATGCAGCCAGGCTGAGGCATCAGGCTCCGGTTGAAGTTGCATTGTGGAATGATTCCGACCTATCACACTACCAGTACAGAGCTGGCATCTGAAGTGGCGGGGGCGAAGCTGCAGTTGAGGGCTGAGCAGCGCGCACACTGCGTCGGCGTGAGCACTGTGTCGACGTGAGTATGCCTACCGTACACCCGGTATCGATTAAGCCAGTAAGCGTCCCTTGAGGAATGTCGGATGGATGTTTGATGCTGACAGTGGGCGATTTGGGGTTCAGGATTGTGGTCGAAGCCGAGGCGCAGCCCGCAGGCGCGACGCGGCCGCCACTGCCCGCATCTGTGAACGTGCTCGACCCTTCTGTGAAATCCAATAAAAGTCGCATAACTGACTATGATCTCATCTGTAAATATAGACGTATAGCATGCGATAATGTTCATGTTCACATCACATAGTATAAAGCTCACAGATGAGAGAAATCGCAAGTATGATATACTGCATTGCGGTCCAACTCAATCCCATCCATACCCCACCCCACCACTCTTCTACCCATCATCCCCATCCCCATCCCCATCCATCCCCGGCGGCGGCGCCGGAATACTAAAATCCTCCAAACTCGCCCACTGACTACTCCTCCACCCCCCAACAGCATGCGTCGCCTGCGTCAACCCAAACATAGGACTACTCCACCCCTCACCCTCCGCCGCGACCTTCTCCGGACTGGGGAAACTACTCGGAATAAACAACGGCGGCGGCTTCCCCGGCGAGATATTCGGTTGAGAACTAGCGATGCGGTGGGGTGTTGTGTGCGTGCTGGAAAAATGCTGGGTACGCTTCCGTCGTGGCGTGCGCTGCGTGATCTCGTCCACGGTTGTGGCTTGAGAAGGGTGGTAGCCTGATGGTTGGTGGTTCGAGTTTGAATGGGGTGCTGTGGGTTGGGGGAGGCGCGGCGTGTCGTTGTAGCTGAATGCGTCGGGGGCGGCGCGCATGCTTGAGGAGTCGGGGGGTCGGGCGTTTATGTATTGGGAGTAGGAGAACCATTCGTTGTGGAGTTGCTGTTCGGCTTTGCTGGAGTGTGACTGTTGGGTTTCGTGGTCGGGGGATGGTGAACGGGGCACTTGTATGGATTCGCTGTCTAGGTCTGCGGACTGGTGGGTGTCTGTCGAGGTGGATTGCGGTACATGTGCCTTGCTTGATCGTGGAGATGTTGGATCAGGTGCTGGTTCATCTTCTTCTTCCGATGAATCGTCGTTTATGACCATCGGTGTGGATGGACAGGTTTCTTGGTTGAGGTCTTCAATGACTGGAGGGGTGGAGCGGAGCTGCTCTTCTGGCAAAGGTAGTTCTCCCTCACTACTCGTGTTGGTCTCGTTCTTGATTTGCCTCTCTTCGTTCGATGGATTGAACGGGACTGTAGGCAATATCGTTGCGTCGTCGTCTTCCTCGTCCTCGTAGTCATCATCGTCATATCCGGGCTCCTGCTTAATAGCGACGGACTCGGCTACAGTAGAGGACGATCTGCCACTCGACTGCTTTTGCGGGTCACCAAGTTCGGGAGAAGGTTCCTGGTCACTGCGAAGCCGAGGTAGATCGCCTGATGCTTGTGATAATGCTGTATCCTCCATGACTTCTTCTCCGTTTGCATCAGCACATGCCTGGTCGATCCTGTCAAGTACTGCCTGAGTATCAGCACCAACGGATTTCTCAGTCGCAGTTCCACGGCTCGCGGAAGCTGGCGCATCCCCACCCCCGTGACGTCCAATAGTAGGCAGGTCCTCTTCTATGACACCATCATCCTCGTCTTCGGAGTCTTGTATCGTACTCTCGAACTTCCTCAGTGTTGGTGGTGGTATAGGCGTTTTTGAGGGCATCTTAAATGTCACCTGCTTGCGTTTCGAAGGTGTCTCTGGTGCAAGAATTGGGTTATCCAAGCGCTGCTTGAGAGGAGAGCGGTATAGCTTCTGTGGAGAGACTTGGGTCGATAGTGGCGAGTCGGCGGGTGACTGAGAGGAGGGAATCTCGCGAATACGGCGTTTCTCTGGAGTTGATAAAAGACTGAAACGGGCTTTTCGGGTTCTGGCCTGCCCTTGCGGCGCATAGAACGCTTCTTCCGTGTCTGCGACTCGTGGTCTGTTTCCTCGTCTCGTCGCGCGGGTCGTTCTTGTGACAGGCGCTTCGATGAACTGTGTGGGTTTGTAGCTGTCTTCGCAGTCCTCGTCCATCTCGTCTTCCACTGACTGCACCACCAACTCCGGGGTGTCTTGCGAGTTTGCCGTGGGCTCCTTCTTTACGTGTTCGTCCTCTGGGCTCTGCTCCATATCGTTTCCAGCTTCGTCTGCACCGTTGTCCTCTCTGACACCATTCCCTTCGACACGATAAAACCCCTGTTGGGCAAGGCGCTGCGCAACAGCATCGCCGTAGGTCTGACTAGCCCTGTCCTCTGCCTCGACATCGCTCAATATCTCGTCTAGATCCTCATCCGACATTATCTCCTGCGGCCGCATGCCTGGTATCATCTGCGTCAACGTGCGCTGCTTCCTGTCGCTCTTTGCGTCGCTTTTGCCACGTCCACCCCAACTCAGTCGCGAGCTCTGTTTTACGGGCTTGAAGCTGGGCTCTTCGTCGTCTGGCAAAGGCTTTCGTCCGTCAACTAGTTGTGTCATTGTCGATTGTCGCCGTAATGTGCGCTCTCGGTTGGGCTTGGTGGCTGTCGCATCGTCGTCGTCATCGGATTCGGCTTCAACGCGCCTCGAGCGGCGAGGATTCTTAGGCGTGGCTGCCGTCCGTCGGCGTTTAGATGTAGGTGCCGATGTTTGCTCCTCTCCATCGTCTTCCTGCTGCACCCCATCGCTGTTCCGCTTCTTCCCCTTCCGCTTCGTCTGCCTCACAGGCTGCTCTTCTTCTTCCTCATCCACCTCAACCTTGACGGAAACCCCGCCGTCTTCCAAATCCTCCTCAATATCCGTGTCGCTATCCTCATCCGAGTCAGCGACAACAGGAGTGCCCTGCCTTCTCATCTTGTCCGGCAGGAAGACCATTTGCCGCTTCCCATCATGTACCGGAGTCGAGCGCCGGCGCACAGTCTTGCGCTTGTGTGGAAAGCGAACCTGCTGGGGTACTTTCCTGGAATAGTAGACTTTGTAGTCGGCGTCTTGGTTGCTCGAACGCGTCTTGGGCGTCATGGTGGGTGGGTGGAGCAATCGATAAGTTGGGGCGTTGGAGCGTTGGTCGACGCGACGCGTTGAGGGGACTAGCGCGACGAACAGCATGACAGGGGTGTGCGTCATCACCACTTTCGCTCCTGCCGCCTCCGACTCATGCGTTGGTCGTCAACACGATACGTAAAGCATGCGAACTATTAACTCAACTCATGCACGTCCGAAAGTTCAAGTGAACTTGCTGTCTCGCTACAATCTTATCATGCGCAATGAGCTCGCAGCCATCATACCTCATCATCGGGGCTGGAGTCTTCGGCGTCTCCACTGCCTATCACTTGATCAAGAACGACCCCGAAGCACATATACAACTAATTGACCGAACACAATACCCCTGCCCACTTGCCGCATCCTGGGACTGGAACAAAGTTATCCGCGCAGACTATGGCGACATGTTTTACATGGAACTGGCGTTGGAAGCCATACAGTTTTGGCGACATGACCCACTCTTCAGCCAGTTCTACCACCAGAGCGGTTTAATCAATATCGATAATACCGACCTGGGCAAAAAGATTTTGGAGAATTATGAGAAGCTTGGAGTGAAGGTTGATGCGGAGATGCTGAGCCCAGAACGTGTCAAGGCGATGTATGGTTCTTTCTACGATAACACCGATTTCTCCGAGGTTGGCGAAGTATTCGTGAACAGAGACAGCGGGTGGGCCGAAGCCACCAAGGCTTTAACTGCTTACGCTGACGCCGCGATCGAGGCAGGAGTCAATTATACCGCAGCTGACATCGATGTATTGACTTTCGGTACTGATGGAGAATGTACCGGAGTTCTAACAAAAGGTGGTGAAAAAATCACAGCAGACCGCATCATCGTGGCGACCGGTGCAGGTACAGCCAAACTGATCGCCGACAGCGCTCCGAATAGAAGCGAGCTGCAAATCGACGGGCGTCTGGTTGCCGGAGCAGTGGTCACTGGCATCGTCAACCTCGACCCAAAGAATGGGCAGCAGTATACCGAGATTCCAGTCACAGTACATTCTGTCTTACCGACACGAGGTAGGAAGACCAAGCCCACCGTCTGCACCCTTACTGACACAATATAGGGGAAGTGATGCCACTAACAGCGCCTTTGTCGAACCAAGATTCATATACCGTCAAGTTCTGCAGAGACGAAGCCTACAAGAACACCGTCAAACACGAGGCATCTGGACAAGAGTTCTCTTCTCCGCCAGATGAGCCAGGCCAGGCTCAGAAGGAACCAAACGAAGCACTCAAAAAACGACTCGAACTTGTGAAGAATGGCATACTGGGTGAAGCCGGAAAGACTGTCAAGTTTGATGAGTACCGTGTTTGCTGGTAAGTTGCGCGGCGCAACCACCATGACGGACCGGGCTAATAGTATCTAGGGATGCAGTGACACCAAGCCAGGACTTCATTATCACGCCGCACCCGCATTCTCAGAATCTCTACCTCGTGACAGGCGGCTCTTTCCACGGATGGAAGTTCATGCCCACGATCGGTCGCTACGTTGTGGAGATGCTGGATGGTACCCTAGATCCCGCTCTTGCCAAACGATGGGCGTGGAATCGCGAGAACGAAGGCGGGGCGCACGCCCACCTACTCCCTACGATTGAGCTACGAGACCTATGAGAGATGCTATGGTGCTTAGCGGGAGTGGTTATAATCCACGTCATATGCTACAAAATTATCATCAAGGCGCATGTGTATGTTGCCCTCGAAGTAACTTACTTTTCAAGCTCTTTTATCTTTCCGATCATCAAACGCCTGCTTCCATACCCAGTAACTCCATGAACCGCTTGAACCTTTACCGAGTAGCGTCATACCAACCTCACTCCCCTCCCTCTCCACCCTCCTCACCATCCGCCATCCTACCATCCAGCACCAACTCCTCCTGCTGCCCCTCCTGCACAGCCTCCCTCTCCTCCCCTTCCTCCTCCCTCCCCACAACCTTACCAACCCCCTCCCTCCTCGCAACAACACCCCCACACCACCTAACCGCCTCATCCCAAGCCCCCATCATCTCCCCATCATCAATCACCACCCCTCCCTTTCCCTCCCCCTTCTCCCCTCCCATCCCATCCACAACCCCAACCAACCCCGGCAACCCCCCAACAACCAAGTCTCTGAAGAACCACCAACTCGGCAGAAAATTCAACTTCGCCAGCGCTGCGAGTTTGACGGGCGCGTACATGGCGCTGTACTGGCAGGCGCGTTGCAGCATGACGACGTGTTTGAAGGCGATTTGCCACATCGTGTGCGCTATGGCGTCGATGTGGGGGGATGTTATGGGTGTGGAGGGGTTGGAGGGGAGGAGAGAGGGCTGGGTTTGGAGGACGTGGTGGAGGAGGTTCGTCATCATCTGGGTGGACTGGGCTGATTGAGTGGCGGCGGATGGTGGTAGGGATGGGAGCTGCGTGGCGAGTGTGAGTGTTGTGGAAGAGGTCTTTTCCGGCGATGTGAATGCGGCGTGGTGGGTGATCTGGGATAGTGTTAGTATGTAGTCGCCTCGGTACGCTGTATTACTTACTTCGTTCTTCATCTCCTCAATCTTCTGCTTCTTCGATAAAGACTCATCCCTGGTCTCTGGCCGAGCAATACCCTTATCCGCTCCTACAGGCTTGACCTGGAGATCAGCCATCGTCGGTGAGACATTCTATAACATCGTCAGTCTCGCTCTTGAGAATATCCCGGGTGGACCATCTCACCTCAGCCTTGATCTTTCTCTTATTTTCCCCCGTCGCCGTCGGCTTCACAGCAGAAGTTTTACGCTGCTGCTGCTGCACAACGACCTTGGGCGAGTTTTGCGCATTCGAATCCTTACGCTGTTGCTGCGTCTTCAACACGGCTTGAGAAACGGAGGTTTTGCGTTGCTGCTGAGCCTTCGCAGCGACTTTGGGTGTTGGTGTTGAAGTGACGGGGTTCTACTGTTGTTAGCATCCTGCCATACGATCGCCAGTGCTGTGAAATCTCAACTCACTTTTCTCGCTGTGGGAGCTTTTGGGTTGATAGCCATAGTGATACCAGGCACCTTTTAGACACGATGGTGTTGTAGCCGAAGAGGATGGTGAGAAACTTGGTAAGACGCGTAGAGGACGTGAAAGCTCGGCGTGATGAGCGTGTTGTTTGCGAGAGGCGGTTTGAACAAGAAAGGCGTGGTGAAATAGCGTGTTGTCAAGCGTGGAAACGCGTGGTGAACGTGAGGGTGAGTGCGGACTAGTAAGACAAGCCAGGGTGAGTGCCCACAAAGGGACGAGACGTGAGGTAGCCTTGACGTCGTAATAGCCTCAAAAGGCAGTACAAGCTGTTTGCTTGATGTCGTTTCCAGGAAGTCAAGGTAACCATTACTTGTGGAGGTGAGAGAGCAGACGATATAGTGCCTTGATGATGGGAACGAAGAGGAAGAGGCAAAGGTAGGTCTAGGAAGACGGCATCAGCTTGCGATTGCGCTGGATCACGACATTCTGCTGTCGCGTAGTTCAAATGAAGAAGAGAGTATGAAGACATGGAATGGTCTGAAAGAGCCTTTTGATACGATTAGCGAGGGCCAAGAAGTACACCAAACGATGCCCCGGTGAAGTAGACTATACTCAAAGCTTCCGACGCTGTGTTATGCAAACTGCTGAGGTATATAATCCAGAGAACGCCGCCCATTCATCGCCATATGCAAGACTTTCCAAGGTCCACCTTGAGCACGATCAGCAGTACTAAGCCCGCCCACGTGCCCGTGTCGCGCGTGTTTTAGGCTTGGCTTTTGACTTCTTAGGCGCCGGCACTTCCTCTTCCTCATCCTCAGAATCGCCAATGTCCTCCTCCCCGTCGAGATCCATCTCCTCCTCCTCACTCTCATCCTTAGCCTTCTTTTTTGAACCAACACTCTTCTTCTGCTTCTTGCGATTAGCCTCAAAAGCCTCTTCCGATGGCTCCTCCATGGGCGTCGAACGCTTTGAGCCCCGTGACTTGGGCGCATATTTGGCCTCAAGCGAATCGAAGAAGTTGCCTGCTCGTGACTTCTGGCGCTGCTGGATCAGAGCGGCTAGGCCTGCCATGTCGTCTGTGCCGCTCTTCTTGCCTTTCGGCTTCGCCTTGGCTTTGGTCTTGCCGTTCGTGGCTCCGGGCTCTTCTTTCTGGGCCTGCTTCTTGTCGAAGTCTTCACGTCTCTTCTTCTCGGCGTCTTTGGCTTTTTGACGCGTCTCGTCCGTTTCCGCCTCGTACGCTGGGTAGGAGCTGACTGTGCCGTTCTCGATCTCCTCGTCTAGGATCTTCCTGAATCGATCGTCGTCTTCGAGGATGTCGGATAACATGACCAGGTCATACACCTTGTTCAGGTTGCCCTTGACCTTCTTGAAGGCTTTGACCAGATCGCGACGCTCCTCCTCGCTGCCCTTGTATTCGTTCGCGACGTTGTTGATAGCCTCCTCATTGACGACGTTCTCAAACTGCTCGCGGTAGAACTTCAGCCAGTTGAAGTCATCGTCGTCCTCCATTGTCTCGGCTGTGCTGCCAGTAAGGTCGTAGCGCCGACGTCGGCGATCGTCGGAGAGTACGGCGTATGCGAATGCGATCTCTTGGAAGGCCTTGTTGGCGGCTTCCTTCTCGTCGGGTGCAGCCTTGTCTGGTCTTGGTTCAGCGATGCGCCCCAGAATGTGTAGTAAGGGCACGAACCTGGATGGCATTTGAGCGCCATCTTGCGGTAGGCCTTCTTCACATCGTCGGCAGTGGCTTCTGTCTCGAGTCCAAGAACCTCATACGGGTTGATGCTGGGAGGGCCATCTTCTTCGTCCATGTCGTTCTCGCCTTCGCTCTCATTGTTGTTTACAAAGTCATCTTCCGGAGATTCCTCGGGAGATGGCTCTTTCCTCTGTCTTCGTGCCATGTTGTAGAGTTGTGTTATGGATATGGAGGTTGTGTGACTACTGACGGTCGACGCCTGCGTGAGAACGCGACGCGACCGTGAGCCCGGACTTAACGGAGCTAGCACACCAGACCCACTTTTCCATAATCACCACCGCCCAGAACGCCAATTACATCACCTTCACTTTCCTCCCTCACCAACATGCAAGTCGACTACGACACAGGTCCCGTGCGAACATGGGACGGCCCGGTGCCCCCAGCCCAAGGCCCAGACCCCAACGACCACCTCCAATACATGCGCCTGGCCCTAGATCAAGCCCAAGAATCATCGCCGAAACCTTCAAATTTCCGTGTCGGCGCCCTGTTAGTCGATGCAGATACCGGGAACATCCTTTCGCGCGGCTACACTCTGGAATGCGAAGGAAACACGCATGCGGAGCAATGCTGTCTATTGAAGCTTGCTCAAGCACACAGCTTGCCTGAAGAGAGGGTCGGCGAAGCATTACCACCCAACACCGTCATCTACACTACCATGGAGCCTTGTAATCTTCGGCTCAGTGGTAACCTGCCATGCGCGGATCGGCTCATTCGAACGAGAGGGAAAGATGGAGAGCAGAAGATCAAGAAGGTGTATCTTGGTGTCAAAGAGCCGGAGAAATTTGTAGGCGAGAATGCGGGACGGAAGAAGCTAGAGGAACATGGCATTGAGTGCGTTCATGTTCCGAGTTTGGAAGAAAAGATTTTGAGTGTTGCTACTGCGGGTCATGAACAGTAGCGATCTAATTTGGAAAGGATATGAAGGATACATAGAATCCAATGCTCGAGGAGGTGCGCTCAAGACGCAATCTGTACACCATTGACATCAGCTGCTATGCTGCCTTTCCGTATCCGTATGGATATTCCGCTCTTCTGATCTCAAAACCTCCAACTCCAAGTCCTCTGCCTGTGTCCATTTCCACCGATCAATCCCCTTCGCTTTGCCCGGAATCCTCATCTTCAGTTTCATTTCATACTTGAAACGCCTCCATTTGGTCTTGCGAATCTCTGACCGCTTAACCCCCCTTCCTGGCCGAGCATCTGTCTTCTTGGAAGCTTCCGGTTGTGTCGCGCTTACAGATGCGTTCTGTGCTGCCTCCATAGTCTGCTGATCGGCCGCGTCATATTCGATAGCCATGGGGCTGACGGCCAGTAGTGCGATGAATAGAGATGCCAATCGGCTTTCTCGCTTTGTAACCGGCTCTTGTCTTGAGGGGTCCGCAGTCGTTTCTTCGTTCGAGCCAATTGGCACGTCGTCAAAAGGGGCGCTCTGCCCAGGAGTCTGATCACTCCATATTTGTGATGTCAAGGTAATGGGCGGTACTAGTGCGCTAGTCCTGCCATTTTGCTGCCCTGTTTGTTCCGAAAAGTGTCGATTCTCGAAAGCTGCCGCTGGTGAGGATGTGCCAGCGATGTCAGGCGCTCGTCTGAGGAATAACGTCATATTTCGCTCTGCCGCATACGACAACAACTCAAGATAAACGAATATGAAAGTGCACACTGGCGGACAAGTTTCGTGCCTCACCAACCTATACCATTCTCACCGACTTTGCGCACTTGGGTAGTCGCCCATCACAAGTCTTTCTAGAGAAATACTACCTTTCGGGAGGTGTCCCACCAGCTGTCGGGCCAAATGTTATTGGGACGAAAGGTTCCCATCTCTTGGAAGGTACGGCTGAAGATCCCTGTCAACAATGACCCGAAGTATTCATCCCGGTGGCAAGCACAGAGCAGCTTCAGTATGCAAACAGGGGAATTTGAGGCCCATCCAGATATCGCATGAGGTCCTCATCTACGGGAAACCTTTAATGTGATGGGTTAGGCGACGCTGGCTGTTCGCGACGCCTCCAGGGCTTGAAGACCCCACAGTCGGTTCGTGATCGAGAGCAGCAGGAAAGATCCCAGCTTCCGCTGCGCTGTAGCCTCTACTACCTGATATGTATTCGTGCTGGCTTTACTGATGACGCACTTGGAGGGGGCATGGACGATTGCGAAGGTTAGCAGGAAGTTCAGACGGCGCGTGGTAATAGTCCAGGCACGCGCAATCAACGGCTTTCGATAAGTTACCCGATTCGGATCACGCCAAGCACCGCGCAACATCAACCATCTCCATTGCAGAGAAGGTTCTCATCTATCAAGCAGAACATACATGGAGTTCAACATCGACATCTACGTTCACAACCGGCTCTCGGGACAACCCAGCCCCTACCCCGCTACCCAGGCAAGGGCTCGCGTACCTCGACCCCCGACGCGCGAAGGGGATCGCCCGCGAATCTCACCTAGGACCACCATTGCGTCATGACTTATTCGCATCGACCAAAATGCCACCACCTCCATCGATCACCACACAAATTGCGTAACCCTGACCGTTTTGTACCACCTTTCTCATGATGACGCGTGGCAAAATCATGCAATTGGATAGCAGCCTAGAAAGCAACAAAACGCCTCGTGAGGCAAGTACATAGCCATATAATAACCCATCCATCCAATACCCTCCCTCAAGACTTTCTTACAATGACATCTTACCTCCGCCCATTCGCAACACAATCCTACAACCAAACACTGCGTACTTTCACCAAACCAGCCTTCTCATCTCAGGTATCAAGAATCACAACCGCCAAAATGTCATCCGCCCCCTCAAACCTCAACATCGAGACCAAAAACGTCCAAACCGCCCCCGGCGTCACCCTCTCAAAGCAACAAAACACCATCGTAGGCTCCGTCCTCGACCTCTTCGCCGGCCGCCCCTCGCTGCCCAAACTGCAACTCTGGCGCGACGACGCCACCTTCACGGACCCCATCACCATCGCCGAGGGCCGCGAGAAGTACTCTGCGCAATGGTACGGACTACAGAGTGCGTTTAGCGAGATTGAGAGGCTCAACCACCAGGTTAAGGATGCGGGGAACCCGATACTCATGGATTTGAGGACGAGATATGTTATCAAGGGGCTGAATAAGGAGCAGTTGATTCAGAGTGTTGTTGCTATTCATTTGGATGAGCAGGGCAAGATTAAGAAGGTCGAGGATAAGTGGGATGGAAAGTTGCCGGATAGCAGTATTGCGAACGTAAGTTACACACATGTCTTGCTTAATCTGAGTAGCATGCTAATGATTTACACAGGCTTTCCGTCACTTGAACGCTGTCACCGTACCCAAGTTCGTCGGTGTACCAAAGAACGACGAGGAGGATGCGAAGAGGGGAAACCAGTAGTTTTATCGTTATGTATCGAATAATCTAGCGCCGCGTACAGTATCGTACTGCGTAAACTCGTGATTCGTAAAGTCATTACAGTATCTATCGTCTCTCATAACGCGCCATTGAACATCCTTCCGAGCGCTATGTGCAGGAACAGCGCAACTGCGCCGGCGCCTACACCTAGCACTTGCAGACTCGGTGCTCCCGCAACGATCAATATCGTGCCGCATCCTCCTTGCTCCGCTCTCGGCAGATCGGGTCCGTCCATTGTGATTGTAGCGCAGAAGCCGCCTTGTACCTGGTCCGGGTTGTGGTATACGGTCGTTTGAGGAGGTGGTTGAGCGTACACGACAGCTGTTTGCTGCTGGGGGTATACGGTTACGGTCGTGACCTGTGCGACGTTTACTGCGCCTCCGCATTGGTTTCCGCTTGGGCAGCAGCCGATCAGTCCGTTCGAGTTGCCGGGAACGGCGCAGGTGTAACCTGATGGACAGCACCTGGGTTTGATCAGCAAGAGCTCTGCTGTGTCTCAAGCTTCCTACTCACCAACTCGGTTGGTTCACATTGCTGCAGCTGACTGAAGCTGACGAAGGACACCAATTTGCATCTTGCGCTACGACTTGCTGGCCGTCTGGGTTTACAATGTACACGGCGCCAGAGAATGGCGCATTGTTCGAGATCTGCTGTGGTATAGCTTCAGGCTTTGCGATCGGTTCCGCGACACATAATGTCAATGTCGCAGCGACGAGGCTCCATGGCGCGAATGATCTCATCGCGTTGAAAGTCGCCCAGGCTGTCAGAGAGAGAAACCGGAAGGAACGAAAGTCCGCGATAACGAACGTCAGGAAACCGAGAGAAATGCTGCGGGGTTAGTATGCGACGAAAAGGCACAGCCTCGAAAAGATGAGAGATCAAAATCAGCAGTCGTCGGGCGCATACCGGGCTGCTACCCTGCCCTTAAGTCTGACCGGAATACCTTGGAAGCTCTCAATCGAGAGCTGGGAATAGCTCCAAGCTTGCTGCAGGTTGGGCTAGCTCGTCATGGACAGCTTCATGCCGGCTTAGCGGGGAGTCGCACTATTGGTAGCCTCGACGGCACCGAGGTCTAGTTCGCGGTAGAGTGGTCCCACTTGGCTGCTTTTTGCGATAGACCATTGTCGGGCATGATGGCAAAACGGCGGTGTTGAGGTGTGATGGGGCTACAGGTGGCCGGGTGGACCTGGTAGCATGCTTGCTGCCCATCCTGTATACGATGCATTTGCTGGCAGCGGGGCGGAGGGTTAGAGATACAGTTTGCTAGAGTGAAGGCCTTGATTGTTCCCTGCAATGCGATCAAGCCACAGTTCTTGGGAGCGGCTGCATCGGATGGCATCGCGTGGTGAGGTGCATGCAGATAGTGAACGCAAAGCGCCGATCTTCCGATACGCTTGGATTGGGTTAGTCAGCTTGGCGCTCCAGGCCACGTGACAGCGTAGAGCAGTGGCGATGGGACGCGTCGCGTTCCTTTGTTCTCATCCCACCTTGTGCATCAGCAACACAATATGACATGTCAACGGATCCGCCACCGCGTCCTTATCGGCTATACCCCGCCTATTGTTTCAGAGCATCACCTACATACAATATCTGGGTGAAGCTCACTGCGGCAGATGTGCAAGCTCTTCGGTCTGAGAAAGACTTCCAAGGTAGCAGCCTTCTTAACGAGTGTTACGACTATTGCTGACACGTGAACAGCCCAGCGCATTTATTTTCATCTTAATCACCCTATCCGTTATGTCCGAATCGTCGGCGTCGTGGTAGCCATCGATGACATCAACCTCAAATACACAGCCCTCACCATCGACGACGGAAGCGGCGCGACCATCGAGCTAAAGATCGTCCGAATACCTCCCGTCGAACGGAACCCCGTCGATACGTCCTCAGACACGAAAATCAAGAACCTTAACATCGTCAGTCGATTCGGCATCTTCGACGTCGTCGTGGATGGCGAAGCCCTAGACATCGGCACAGTCGTCAAGGCCAAATGCCTCATATCAGAGTTCAGAGGCGTAAAGCAACTGGACCTGCAGCGCATTTCTGTTGTCAAAACGACCAACGAAGAAGCACAAGCTTGGGCTGAGACTGCTGCGTTCAAGCAGGCGGTCTTATCGCGACCATGGCGTATCACTTCAGCCGAGCACAAGAAGATCAAGCTTGCGATCAAGGCGGAAAAGAAGAAAGAACAGGATAATGAACGATTGCAGGCAGAATATCGAGTCAAGAAAGAGGAGCGAAGGCTGGCGAAGGAGGCATACCTTGCGCAGAGGGAAAAGAAGCTTGAGGCGCGACGGAGGAAGGAAGAGGTTATGCTGAACAGTGGCGCTCTGATATGAGATGGGGGTTCCTTCCCATATGAGGGTCTGTCAGCGAGCCAATGAAGCTGGATGAGTGCGGGGTTTTGGTGGCGCAGCACGCCTGATCGATCAGCTTGACTTTATGGTACCACCCAGGCTGTCTTCGACCTGTTACGTGCAGCATCAAGGTTTTCAAACCCCGAGATCCTTTATCATGGAGCGCTTACTCGACCGTATGCGCGCGCAGAGTTACGACCTTGGCACAAAACTACGCCTGTCAAGATTCAGGAAACACAAACATACTGGCCAAGCCCAACCTAGAACCAGACCGCAGTCGGAGTCAAAGGCGCATTCTAGTCTTTCTGAACATACCGGTCCGGCTGAGACGACGCATTCGAACCCCCACACAATGCACGAAGCTCTTCAATACGAACCATTGTCTCGAGATCGAACCATTCGAGTCATCGACTTGGCTCCCGGCACCTGGGACGAGCCTGTGACTTGCTCTTTGAGGATCGTCCACGTAGACGACGACGACACTCGCTACGAAGCCATCTCCTATGCTTGGGGTGACCTCAACGATCGCAAAACTGTCGTTTGCAACGGACATGTCGTTAGCACCACCCGCAGTCTGTTCGAGGCTTTGCAGCGCTTCCGATGCGCCGATACTACGAGGACGCTTTGGGCCGACGAGCTCTGCATAAATCAGGCCGATAACGAGGAGAGGGCCATGCAGGTGCAGCGTACGGTCTTCATCTACGCAAGTGCCGTTCGCGTGCTCGTGTGGCTGCAACATGAAGACGATCAGGTAGTTCGAGATTCACTTGATGCCATATGCCAATTCGTATGCGAAGAAAATGGCTTTAGCCGATTCGGATATCCTGTTATACAACGTCAAGCGCTGTATCAGTGGCGTGGTGTTGAGGTGACCAGCGTCAGCAGCGAATATTCATCCGTTAACGATTCTGCTGCGATGGACGCCCTGCGTCGTATATGCGCCTCACCCTGGTTCAGGCGACGACCGGTGGTTCATGAGGTGGCTTTAAGCACGTCAGTGTTCATATTCTGGGGACACGCTAGGATCGCATTCGATTGGCTGGGTATCGCGAGCATGTGCTACCTTATGAAGTTCGGCAATACCGGTGACAATGTACTGCATTGCTACGATCTCTTTAACTTAAGTTATAGCGATCCTAACGTCCCGTAGTACAGTAGAGTACGTTTTAATTATGCAACGTAACTAAGCTAAATAAATAAAAGCTGTCGGAGGCCTATACTATAACTATATATAGTAATAATATATAGGCCTTTGATACGTGTATCGGCCTCGGACAGGCTACATGGTTTACCACTTGGACTATCGAGATCGAGGTCAATAACAACAATGGGCGTCGCATTTCCCACGCTGAGCATACTTTCGCAAATATTTGTTACTTGTGAGGTGTCGTCCAACGACAATCCTTCGAGAGGGCCTACGTGATAAAGAGGAGGGTTGTGCGAACAGTCAATCACAACCGAGTCTCGATGTCGACCATCACAAAGACTCGGAACTTCCCCAAGGCAGCGTACTTTCATTATGTCGACCATCACATGCTGCGATATGCTGCCCCGAAGAACGCTATTCTATCGGCTAGACCACTAATGTAGTGTAGTACTTGTCCGTACCTGGAGTACCTTTAGGCCGCTCGTTACCTTCATTGTGACCACGGAGGTCAGTGCGGTCTTTCGTATATACGCCGTCTCGTATTTAATGCCTGGCGCTTATATTGCCCTTATCAAATAGTCAACTCCTCGATCTTATTTTCTTGTCCCCCCCCTCTTCTGGTATACGAGTACTTGAGAGGCCCATTCTTAACGCGCAACCGCTTGTATGACAGACGACTAATCCGCCTACGCTCTGTTCAAGTCCAGCAGCCCGCCGCACACCACATTTCCTAGTAGGTCGCGATCCGCTTCCTCGACCAGATGTACCGCTCCGATGATTACGTGGACGACAAACTGATCGGTCGCATCTACCGACTCCGCCATGACCCGAGTCGCATGTTCTCAGTCTGCCTATCGCCCCCTCCGTCATCAAAGCTGTACCTCACCTCGGATCAGTACAAGTGGAAGATGAGAGTACTGCCACCGCAGAAAAACGATCAAATGCTGCAAGTTATCAAGAAGACGATCGCCGAGTTGAACAAGCAGTACATGCTCTTCTGGCGCATTGGTTTAGAAGTGTCGCATTTGACGATGAGTCCTCCCCTGTGGCCCCGTCATTTGGAGGAGTACTCGACGAAGCTGTACGCTTTCAAGGAAAAGGATCGAGAGTTTCCGATGGCTGTTGAGGCAACACTATCGAGAGGCTGTCGTCGTTTGACCGCGGAGACCATTCTGGTACGCGAGAAAGACGACATGAACGGACCTAAACCTGGCATGCCGCTAAAGACATGGCTTCTGTTCCTGGTCAATTCTCGGGATAGCCTGGGTGAAGCTGGTTGGCAGCTTCAGCGGGGGTGGTGGGCATCGAACGACCAGGACTTCTCCATCATGACCTTGCCTGCCGAGATACGTTGCGAGATTCTCCAGCAAATCTTGGGTGGCAATATCTATCCTGTCGCCAGAGAAAATCCGAATGTGTCAGGGCCTGTGGTCTTTCTGGGAGCCAAGAGCGGGAATATGCCTGTATCTCATTGGCCTGAAGTCCCACCGGCTTCTCGGCCAGATCCACCCAACTATGCCATCCTTCGAGCCAGCAAACAGATCTACGGTGAGGGCCTGAAAGCGGCGTGGGAGGGTACAACAAAGCACTTTGCAGATGGACTTTGGCTGGAGAAAGTGCTGGAAGCACCAATTGCTCCATCTAACTATCGCTGGCTCACTCATATCCAACTCTCTTTGAGTACAAAAGAATGCTTCCGATTTTTCGGGATTGACATTCACCCCGTCCTTCGATTGCCGCCGCTTGTACCAAAAGCTCGCTTGCTGCAAGGAATCGCTACCCTTAATAACCTCGAAATCGTATTTGGATCACCATACGTTCCCTATTCAAACCCTTGGTTTTCTTTTCCCAATCGCCCGCCAACCATAATGAAGTATCCGTGTCATAAGACCATGGTCGAGTGGGCGCTGATCTTCGCCTTTCCATACCTCAAGCACATCCCGAATGTTCGGCTCGCAGGCTGTATCAAGACCTGCACAAAATCGAAATGGGAACATATCCTAAGCAATGAGTACTACTTGCGGAAAGAGAGCTTCAAGACTCACGGATACGACCCTGCTATGGAGGCTTATGAGCTGTTAGAAGAACAGCGCCCTATGCACCGGCAAGTGTGAATTCGACTGGTTTCTGACGCTCCTTGGACTGACCGACTGTGATAGGCCACCGATATGCTTGTGCCCCGCTCCTTGCTCACTGGGACACCGTCCGACAGGTCTGAAAGGCTTTGACTATGACGACTCATACGTGCCGCCTCCACCACGGACACCGCCGCCGCCACCGCCGCCGCCGAAGAAGAGTGCGCCAGTTCGGCCCGGCCAACTCTGGTCAAAGGTTCATACGGTATGTCTACCAGCTCTCCAGTGAAAACAGGCTTTGCTAATATCGCCTTAGAATGACCAAGACGTACAGGACGACTGATCTCGTATCTCACTGGCCCCTTGTATTGATGGAGCTGCAGGATAGCGCAACATGAACTGCGTAGGTTGTTCACGTTGCACTATATCTGATGCTTTCAAGCCATGCGTATTACTCCCGGTATCTTGTTGTTGGCCTGTGTCACTTAGCGCAGGCTGAGAAGCTGACGGTGTGGGGAATGGGACGAAGGGTTGGGCAAGACACGCTACTCGGTACGTGGCGCATGGGAAGGCGTACAGCTCGTGATTGTTCGATACGAAATTCTACCTCTCTATTCAGTATCTGTTGTCACATGCTGAGGTGTATTCAGGAGAAGTGTTGGGAAGGTTCCGTGATCGCCTCTTTCAGGTTGCTGGATCAGGCGGGTAGGTTCACGTGGAAAGTAGGAGAAGCCGCGAATGACGAACCATAGCAAACACCAGCACTCTTAATAGCTGCGCAGACGACCAGACTTGACAGTAAGAAGTCGGTCTAACGAGAAGTCATGAGCGACGCAGCCGAGACATTGACGACAAAACTAAGGAACGAGTTGGGAAACCTGCCACCATGGAAGGTCGCAACAACGCAGGAATACATGGACAAAGGCGAAACGACATGGTTGATCAAGAGAAAATATTGCGACCAGGCTGCCGAATACAATCAGTTTCGTCCACTCGCTCGTTCGGTACATCGGCAATGCAGAAGAGAGATTGGCAAATTCCCGGATATCACGGTCGACGTTATCAAAGGGTGGATTGCAGAGAAGTACTGGGATGATACTGAGGTGAAAGCTGAGTACCAACGGCAGTTTTACAAGGCGCATCCCGAGATACGTCGGGCAAAGAAGTTACTGGCTGAGTTGAGACGTGATCTAGGAGATTGCCATCTGGTCGACGAACAGAACGTGCTCAAGTGGGTCAAGAAGAACTTAACGGACGAGAGCGTCGAAGACAAGTATAGAAGCGCTCTTGGCAGGGCTGGTACTTTCAATCGCGCGGCGGCCTTGAGGTATCGTCTAGAAGATGAGGTGCCTGGCAATCTTGTCGTATCAGATGCTGAATTACTGGAAAGGTGTCGTGACAATCCAGACGACAACGCCATCGCGGACTCCTATTCGTTCAAATTCGACGCTGATCAGGGAGAAGCTGCGGGAGAGGATGCAGGAGGTGTACAGGAGGGAGCTGCTGAGGAGGGGTAAATCAGAGTAGTCGGAAGACATGAAAGATTATCAGTAGCAGCTAGGCAACTATTTGGCGGAGTGAATATCGCAAAATCATGGCTGTATTTGATCAAAATTCTATAGCTATACCCTGATCGGACTAGCGCACAACGCCCATTGCTGCGATGCGTACCCCATAGAAGATACAGTCTATCGCCTGTCTAACTTTGAGAAACGATACGCATACTAACGGTTCCTACACCCCGTCCATATTTGGCCTCGAAACCACCCTGCGACTGGCTCTCAATCCTCAGAGTCAGAGTAAGACACCGCAAATCGCGCGCCATGGCCGACAATGGCAGCCCTCCCGATGAACCCGCGGTCACACGTGTTGCGCTAGGAGACTGGAGCAGGGACGAATGTCTATACATCCAACTGCATAGCGAAGTGCTCCTTGCCGTCGCGCACCTACCTGCCGCGCCTTTTCATTCGATCAACGACATTTCTCAGTATGTTGGCTACTGTCAGTACTTCGCTCTTCCGGACGCCGTGACTAGTGACCCTCAAGAAGAGACAGGCAGCGGAGTGGTAAAAGGTATCAACACCTTCATCGCCAAGCGAGACGAGCTATCTGGATGGGTTATGTGGGCTCTCCAAGCGACGAAGATAAAAGCTACCTTCGACAAGAAGTTCCACGACGTCAAAGTGTCACCGGCCATGCTTCGGAAGTACCGCAAAATACGCGAGCGAATTGGCTTCGATACATACATATACAACCCAAAGTTGTACCCCGCGCTTTGGTCGTTCCTCGAAGACGCTGCTCGGAACCAGTTTCCGGAGTACCAAGGAGACGTCACTCAGGCCGAGCACACACGAGATGTCGACAACGATGGTAGCGCCCACTCCGTGACCAAATCCGGACCTGTCAACGACCAGGCGAACACATCGGACCAGGACCTGATGGAGGAGGACGACACATCTGCCGCTGGCGACGACGTGAACTCCGGAGCGACCGATGAGGAAGAACAATCAGAGCCTGGAGGCTTCGCGCAGGGTCAGGTCCGCGCTAGGTGTACAGGCACCAACAATGACGGAACGGCCTGTCAGCGAAGAAGTCTAGATATTGAAGAGAAGGATCGTGCGAGTTGGCGATGCCATCTCCATGATCCAGAGAAGAAGAAGATCACGGCCGCGGCTCGCGCGGCAAGGAATGCAGCGAAGAAACTAGCTGTGGCTTCGGAGTCTAAGAAGCAGAAGGGTGATAACGAGGCAGGAGAGGAAGAAGATGCGAAGGCAGGCGGAAAACGCGCTCGGAAGGCTGCAGCGGTGGCTGGAGAAGGAGCAGGTCGGGCATCCAAGAAGCGCTCAAAGTAAGCGCCATCGTATCATGAATGGTATATCCACAGATGTCGGCAGAGCAGGCCCCCAAGCCGCTTCATACACATCGATAAAGAAAGTTTGGATTGAGGGCGAATATAAGTGAAGGACAGAACGGGCAGTTGAAATATCGGCGGCGCATCATGTTTGTTGTGTGGTACAATGGAGATGAGAGCATCTATCGCCAGCCGGTGCTAAACAGTCGCTGCAAAACGCCTTTTTACGCCCCTCGTAGAGGAGATTACTAATAGCTAGCTATAATTCTTACTAAGTAAGAAAAAAAGCTGCATTATTACTATAAACTTTTATATACTTAATAATAAAGACTAAAAACTTAAGCTATTTTAGGCGTATAAAATAGCTCTAAGAATTTTCTTTTCTACTAATAGTAGTATATACTATTAAATTATTTATTATATAGCGTCTCTTCTAATTATATATATAATTTAGTATAAATATAGTCTTAATTTTAGTAATAGTATTAATAGTAGTATTCTCTAGCTTATAATTCTTAGTAGTATTATATATAATAAGCTACTTATAAAGAATTCTAATAAACGTTTTATAAGTATTTATTATAAGTTTAGTAAAAGTAAATCTTAAAAGTATAGCTAAAATAGCTTATAAGTTATTTAAAAGCTTTAAAAGCTTTATATATTTAGTAGAGTTATTTATTAAAGCTTAGTAAAGTAGTAAAAATATAATTAATAACTATAATAAAGTAGAAAAGAAAAAATAAAGAGAAAGAAAGTTTTTTATAGTAATAAGTATAACTTATTATAAGTAATACTTTATACGCTCTATTTAAGGTCTTTCTAAACCTTTTACTAAGTATTTAAAACTTTTATAATATATTAAAAAGTATCTAATAACCTTTTATAGAAGTAAATATAAGAACTAATATTATTTATTATAATTATAATAATAAACTTAAGAAGTAGTAACAAATAATTAATTATTTTTAAATATATACTAAGCTACTATAATAAATAAGCTAGTATCTAAAAGTATATTCTATAAAGGGTTATATAACACTAAACTGCTATAAACTCCTACACCTTTTACTACACCTTTCACTAGAATAGCGAGGCGCTTATAGGGCATCTAGAGTTTTACGAGGGATTTTGGTTCGTCGTGTCGACCGGCTTGCGGTTCCAGTAGCAGGTCATGTATGACAATGAAACGAGTCACTGAACTCTCTGCAATCGAGCCTTCTTGCAAGATCACCTATGGTTATGTGGCAGTGTCGCCAGTCGTTAGAAATGCCATTTGAGCGTGTTTACAATCTGTTAGGGTGGCGAGCGATAAATGATGAGATGCGCGGTGGTGGGCGTGGGCGAAGCCTGGAAAGAAATGAAGACAAGTTTGCAGTATGCTATGACGTCATCACTATTCATTCTCCGCGACGCGTCCGCGACGCGACAGCAACTCCGATCCCACCCTCCAACAGCACCAGCGCAGCCCCGAGATGGCATTCCCGCCGCCTCTCCATTTTCTATTATTTGCCATCTCTGTCTCCTTAATCCCATCTTTAGTACCCCTTCAAGCTTTCCACTCCTCTCGAAAACATTCTCCTCTCACCGCTTCTTTCCAAGCCACGATACACAACGGTTGCGCATCGCTCCAGCCTTGCTTAGTCTTGTGTATGCGAACACCAATCGCGTGTCGATGATTATTCCGATCACGACTCCCCGATAGGACGACCGTTTCAGGATCCTCGTAGTGATCGTTCGCGAGCATCGAATCTTGATCCAGGCCATTACGACCTCTCTGCAGCAGTATCTCTGCAATGAACTTGTGGTACTTGGGGTCTTCGACATCTACCATGCGATCTATGAGTTTACGGTCGATGTACCAAGTCTTCTTGCGAACTGCAGTGCCAGCCTGCAGTGAAATGCTACCAATTCGTTGCCAGAACTTGTTCCTGCTACTTGGAAGAAGTGTCACAGGTTCCGTATCCGTATTCCTCACCAGATCTATAACTCCGAGACAGCTGTACTTGATAGCCATTGCTATGCAGAAGTTCGCGAATTGTTGTCCGCCATCAGAAAGAATCCGCTCCAACTTTTCCAAAGCATTGTCGCCTTTGAGACCTCCACCACGGGACACAAAGGCTTGGCTTTCTTTAACGGTGACTTCGATATTGACTTTGTTGATCGTTGCATTGCGGCCGGCGCGTCCATACCTGTACATGACTGCGCAAAGAGCATCATTCAATAGTCTACCAACTGTCCCAAACTCCTTGGAAGTCTGGACCCATCCCCAGGCCAACAAGTCGTTCAACTCAAATGAGATATCAAACTTGTCGAGGTTATTGGCATCGGCAACGGGTGTGTCAATCCATCGCAGGCGAGGCTCCAGAAATAAACCACGTTCACGAGTTTCAGGTCTATGAATAATTATCCGGAGGGCATATCGTAAACCCAGTTGAAGCGAAGATGAGCGCTGAAGCACCTCGGTACGAAGTTGACGTGAGGCCTGACAGAGGCCAGCAGCGTGGTGCTTTACGGGGCGAGGAAAGACGGTGGGCGAAGATCGATGATATATATCGTAAACGTCGGATTCGGATACATCCACAGGCTGGGGGTTGTGCGTAAGTAGCAGTAGATCGATGATCTCATCGCGAAGCTCTCGGGGCAGGGTGAGTAGGGAAGCCATGGCGACACAGTTTGACCAAAAGATGGGGGTAGCGCTACGTTTATGAAAAGTTGAAGGTGCGAAATGCTGGAATTCAGATTGCTTTACTGGGGTACCAAGAATTGCAATGCCAACGATGACTCGGACGTAGCAAACTCTAGCGAGCCACTCACAGCCATCGCATTTCAGACGCAACCAATATACGAAGAGCTCAAAGAGACATCCAGGGCTTTTTTTCGCAAGGGTCTGCTTCAGTGTGTGGCACTGTGGGGCGAAGTTACCATGGTACCGCCAAAGTCTTCTCAAGCCTCCATCTCTTCCGACGTTTTCTCCCACGTCCCCCCAAAAATATATCGGTTAAACGCAAATTTCATTACGGGCAACATAGTTGTACGACAACCTCTTATCCATGCCTTCACTTACCAGAGCCATGGCAGACCGCAGATGGAAGTGCGTCTCAGCCAGTCGCTACGCCGTGCAAGTCTCGCTTTGCAGCTTTGTAGTCTACCTCTCCACCCTCATCGCGCAGACGTCTACTCCCACAGTCATGATATGGGGTAGCGCGCCATACATCGGTCTTGTTGTCGCTTTCGGAACACGATTTGGCCCATCCGATATGATTGCGTCCCAGACATACTGCGTCATCACTACAGTCATACTCTTGTACCTCGACAAAGCCGCGACCGCTATTGGCAAGACTGCCGAACCAAACTTCGAAGACACTGGACTTCAGCACCGCGCTGTACACTTTGCGCTTGCTTTCTTCGTCCTTTCCGAGCTGGAGTACCACCGACAATACTACGCTACCAAAAGCTTCAAGAAGTCAGATAAATCTTCGTGGCGTTCATGGGTGGCTGATGCCGATCGTACGTTTAATGTCTCGAGACATCAAAGCGTATACTGGCATCTGGGATCTGTCAATGAAGCAGACAACAATGAGTCTGAAGAATCATTCGCATCAACGGTGTACTACATCCTACGTGTGCTCCTCCTCGACAGCCTACCATTTCACTTAGTCGGCGGATGCTTTAATTACGCGATCAACAGCACGGTCAATCCGACTCCTCCTGCGAATGGTCGCCTGGCCATGCAAATGATCGGAAACTTCAATGTCTTCTTCAATACAAAGACTATATGGGGCGTCTACTTGAACCTCTGGGTACTGTCCAGGGTCGTACGACAAGCCAACTTCATTACCGTTTGGGGCATCTTCCGGGTGTCATCTGGTGCTCTTGACTGGTCTAACAGGAAGCGAGTAAATGTGTCTCACGAACATTACGAGAAGTCGCAGGGTGATCAATAACTATGATCGATATGCGGAGAGCATTTTGGACTAGTGTAGTAGTAATGCTAATTTATTGGAGTCTAATTGCCACATCTTTTACTGCAACAACATTGCCATAACATCAGCAGGCGTCCTCTTCGGTGCTGCGATCTCCAGCACCTCCTTGCTCGTTGTCTCTGCCTTTGCCTCGCCATTCCACGCCGATTGCGGAGCACGCTTGATAGAACCTATCACGTTCTTTGCCTGGTTCGACGCAGCGACCATGTCGTCTACGAAAGACAGATCCTTGAACTTAACGTCCTCAACTTTGGCGCCGATGTGCTTTTCAACCATCGCTACAACTTCATCGCCTGTGATGTCCTCCGGGCCATTGAGGACATACCTGCGCTTGTTGTGCGCAGAGGTGTCTTCCTGGAGCAGGAGATGCGCAGCAAAGACACCAACGTCATGGGGATCAATGACGCCGACCGGTCCATCAGCGCTCGCCATCGTGCGCAACGTGTGTTGTTTTCCGCCGTTGCGAACGGCCTTGATCAGCTCAGCAGCGGGCATAAGCCAGAAAGTCGTGAACACGTTTGGCTGCAGTGATGTCCAGTGCATATTTGCGTAGGCTGGCGAGTCAAGCATGGCCTCAATGGCCCAGTGCGTGCGTGGGTAGTAGGCAGGGCAGTCTGGCTTCACGTTCGCGGCTGTGGTGGAGATGCGCACAACGTACTTGACGCCGGCGTCACGGGCTGCAAGGTGGAATGTCGATTCTTCGGCGAATTGGTTGGGCTCGTTGTGTGAAGCTATGAATGCGCGTGCGACATTGTGTTCACGTAGCCAGTCCGCGGTGATCTCGACCCAGGTGTATTCGATAATTTCGACATGGGGAAATTTGGCGAGTGCCTTTGCCGAGGAGCTGTTTGCAGATCGTGTGATGGCGAGGACGCGATAGTCGGAGAATGTCTTGCTGGATTTGATGAGGTTCGAGAGGGTCTCAACGACACTGCGGCCAGTGTTGCCTGTGGCGCCGACGACTAGGAATGAAGAAGCCATTATCAGGACGGTGAAAATGAAGATGATTGAGTTCGAGGGGGTTGTTTCGAGGCAGGCTGATGATGCATGTTAATCGATCGAGATACCTACCTTTTGTACAAAGTTGCGGAGTGTCGACGACTCCGGAGTGTCACTAGTTGCGGAGTGTAACCAGCTGTTGAGCGCTGCGCGTTACATCACGCACCCGGATTTTGTCCGAAGTCTGACCAATCAGCTGGGCGCGGAGTGGAAACCGTTAGCATGATGTGGCGGGCGCTAGAAGAAGGTGCGTACCTCGCGCGACGACCATCCAACACTGAAAAAAAAAAGAAAACGCGGAAGCGGAACAAGCAGAACAGCAGCAATTGCGGGTTTGTTAGTTATTGAATGTCGGAACAAGCAGAAACCAAAATCGCATTAGTACTACTCCACGGGGAGATCAACGACTGCATATAACGTCCAACCTCCCAATGACACTGCGCCATCTGATGCGCACTTATATAACAGTATGAAAATACAAAGGCCAACCCAGTACCCATAGGCCACCGTCTATCCATGCATGTGGAAAGCGGTTGCTGCGCTGAACGACTTGATGTCTCCACGGAATCTTCCACCTACTCTGCCTCTTCCTCATCGCTATAGTTCTCGTCAACCACAATCTGACGAGTAGCATGGGTCTCTTCAACAATGGTAGTCTGCTCGACTGCAGTATGTTCGACGAGACGACCTTGGGTAGCCTCAGCTGCGGACTCTTCGATCGCGGCTGAGACCATCTGCTGTTCGGCGTCGTCATAGTCTTCCTCTTCCATCTCTTCGTCTTGCTCAGCATCGTCGTCTTGCTCAGCATCGTCGTCTTCGAATATCACCGATGAAGAATCATCGCCATCGTCATCGTTGTAGGCGCCGGCAAGGACTAGGAGATCCTCTTCGTCCTCGTCGAGCGCGGGCTGCTCAGCATATGGAGGAAACTTTGCGGTCTTCGACTTCTTAGCAGGCCGCTCTTGGTCTCCAGAGTCTTCCGAACCATGGCGCTTGCGAACCAGAGGGCTACCGAACGCATCTTCACTTTCCGATTCCTCCACGGCAGCCTGCGACTTCTTCTTGTTCGACGGCTTCTTCTTGGCTGGCTTCTTAGGCTTACCACCCTCGTCGTCGCCATCGTTTCCGTCGTGGGTGTTGTCGTACTCCTTTAGTAGAGCCTTGTCCGGCTTCCCAAAGGCGGCCACCAAGCGCCCCGAAGCTTCGAGTGCCTTGGCTTCAGGTGAAGGGTCGCCGCGCCATCTCACATTCGGTGGATCTTCGCCACGATCGTAGCATGGTTTGTACGATGTGTACTGGTAGCGAGTGCTCTCTACTGTCCGACCATCAGAGAGTTTCCCGAAAGGGGTGGCTTCCCTGAAGTCCTTGCCCTTGAAGCGATCGTTGTGAAGCTCAGTCAACTCCCAAATGGATGCTTCGGGATTGTCCCGCATGAGGGAAGCCAGGTACTCTCGCTCGATTTCCGACCACGGTGGATCAATGGTTACGCGATCAATACCCTGGTAACGGCGGTCGTTAAGAGCCTTGACGGTTTGCTTGTCATTCCAGTCTTTTGGTACCTTGTTATAGCAGTAGATGACCGGCTCTCTCTTGTGGGATGTAGGTTCGTTCTTGTCCTTCAACCGCATGTCCATGAGCGGGATGGCAAGTAAGTCTTCTTGGTTCTTATCCTGAGGGAGCTGATCAACGTTGTCCGGCTCAACCTGGAAATTGTGCTTGGTGTCACGGGAACCGCGCTTGTATCGGAAGCCACGATTCTCCCACATGGGAGGCTCTGTCTGACCCATGCTCTCGCGGGCAGAAGGCTGTTTGGGGCTGGGCCGAGGATCACCTGGCAAAGGCTTTACACCCCAGAACTTGCTCCATTGGTCCTCCGGAGGAATGACTATACTGTGGGTGTAAGAATCGAAGCCTTCTCCGACGGGCGGCTTTTTTGGCTTGGCCTTTGGCTCCATGGCGGCGGGTTCCTTAGCTGCTGCGGTCTTCCTGGGCTTCTTCGGGGTAGCGGCTTTTGCGCCCTTCCTGGGTTTCGGGGTAGGGGCGGCCTCTTCTGATTCTGACTCGTCCTTATCTGTGGGTCCTCCTTCCTGCTCTTCGATAGGCGCGGCAGCATCAGAGGCACTGGATTCGTCGTTCGCACTCGCAGACGCCGCTTCAAAACTAACAGCCTTCTTCGCTTTCCTCGGCGTTTTGGAAGTCAGACTCTGCCCGAGCTTCGAATCGGCGGGCTGCTTTGACATGTTGGGATGAGGCAGTTGCGTATCGGTGTGTTGGATCGAGCCAGGTGGTGGAGTAGTTGTATCGAAAGCACGGATAGGTTTCAAGAGCAATTGGATGGGGTCGCGTGTAGAGTTGTTGAGTCGGGTGGCAGAGGAGGGAGCGAAAACCTTGCTTTGCGGGGTGGGAATGGCGCACTGGTAGAGAGTTGACGCGCGTCTGGATTGGGAAGACATAATTGCAGTGGGAGACGGGGCGCAATAAGTAGGAGGACGGGGCGCGGCCATTGTGAGGCTACGCGTGAAAGGTCGTTCTGGGGCGTGAGGAGGGCGCTTTGACATCTAGATCGCACAGTGTAGAAATACATCTTGCGCGTTTGGTGTCCTTTGAAAGTGAACGAAAGTTGTGCGCGGATCAACAAAGCCAGCAACAGTGTAAGCAAGCCCACCCGACAATGTCCCAGGCGGACAAAGGTAGAAAGGTACGACAATTTCTCCTCGCGCGCACTCAACTAGGCCCTTCTATCGACGTCTTTCGAATGATGTGGTCATCTCGGTCGCTTCTCTTCACTATGCGGATAGTGTCCACGTAATTTGCGCGCAAGAAACCTTCTCAGCCAAGTACATGTGACTGACCTGAGAGTGCCTGACGCACAATGCCACATAGCGACGTGACCATGTGAAAGCTCATCGCTTGGCGGTGCCTGCGATACCGCATTGCTAAGGCAACGCGAGGGAATGGTCGCGCTCCGCTGTTGCACGAGGTGAATGCTGCGCACATCTCCCGCGACCTGGGGCTTTCGATGTACCACAACCAGTCGGTTCGGTTTTTCGTTAAGAGTATTGAAGCCAGGCAGTAGAGTCATTGTGTGGATCAATGAACTATATCGCAAAATCTTGGCTCGTGAATCCTGTGATCTCGCTTTCTGCTTCCTCACGCAAGCGACCATCCTCGAACTTTACCTACGTCTCGCAGCGAAGCATTGAAGCGCGGCGCCATACCTTTGGCTCAGGACTGACATATGAATGAAGAGTTGGTAAGGCACGCAAATGGCCGTACGATAACGGAAGTGTATATGCTGCTGCCGTGCAGGACATGAGGTCGGGGGATGGCAGCTTGGAAAAATATGAAAGTGTGAAAACGGAGGAACTTTGCGTCACCACAGATTTTTGATCGTCCTTTTCGTAGCAGCGCACGCGATTGAGCGGCTTGGTCTAAATGAGAGAGCTGTAGTCGGCAAATGTGACGACAGAGACAACTGTAGACAGGAAAGGGGACGGGACGTCGGGAGGTTTGCCAATCGATAAGATTGTCCTGGCGCCTTGGCATACGTAATGACAGCTAACTCGCGATCACGACTGCTGCGAGCCTCAGCTAGCTCAATCACTTTGATGTTGAGGTGTATTAAAAGCCTCCACACTGATTTAGCATTTTTTCGGGCTTTGCGTACATTGCATTCACCACTATCCCACCGAACCTGACTATCCCTGGACGCTCACGGCGATCGGCGGAGTTACCTGATGCCGATGCGCTCACATAGCACGTCGCGGTTATCACGTCTTTATGGGCCGGAAAGCGCAATAAGCTCGCTCGAGCAGCAGATTATAACATTCAACTAGAATGGTAATCGATCTTGCGTCGTGGAATTCATAGTGAACGGTAAAGTGATTGCGACAGCGCACCAAGAGGTATCAGAAGATGCCGACTAGATTGAAATTGGAATGGTGATTAGACATTATAACACTGCACGCATCCAATCAACATTGATGCATCCTAAACGGTGCGTACACTCATAGAAATCATCATCCCAATTCAAAGTTCTCAAACTCCACTTCAGGCCATGTTGAGCTCTCTCAATGGCGTGGCGATTAGCCAGGCCCATGCTGGGTGCAAGAGCAGAGCGGTAGGTATCAGGACCAGCCCGACGCTCGACTATCACTCCTTGATAGCCAATAAGGAGAGTGCCTGCAGTGAAGCAGGTGTGTCAATCGTGACGAGACAGATCGGCTATGTCAACGTCATTGACCTTCCTCTCAACCAACCGCTCTTCCACGCGGGCCTCGGGTTCCCGAGCCGCGATCGATATCGACACCGCGGGACAGCCGACTAGCGGCGGCGGCTGGCGGGTTCAATGGTCCATGTCATAACACGGGTCGCGGGTTGGCTGTAGCTCGGTGTGCAATCTATGCATCTGCCTTTGAGCTGAGGCTTGCCGGGCTGAGCGCACTCATGATGCGATTCCGTAGAGTTGATGCTGCCTGTCGATGCTTGTTCGATCCAGGAATGAAATTGTGGTGGCCATAGCGCATGGCTTTGAAGAGCGGCCCGGGTCGATGGGGACAGGACAGCGACTAGTGCGTGCGACTATGCGAACGCTTGTACCTGCATGACGATATCATGTTTTGTTTTCAGAGACTGGCGTCGCTCGCACGGCTGCTGCTGCGTTGGGAGAAGCTAGAGAACCGCCGGTACAATGTCCTCACTCTGCCGAATAGAGTGGAGTCGCTTGGTAGTCCATCGTCAGGGAATGGGGATGGAACTTCGGGTGTAGCTCGCTCGCGATGCTGGAGATGCTCTTCGTCCATGCGCAAAAGGTCCGCTTCGAACTGCTCCATCACAGTAAGAGCAGGCGCAAACTCAGGGCTCAAGAAGTTCTGGAGTGGCGGAGGAACGGCCTCCTGGCTCGCAGAGTAGAGTAGTTGGGGCCTCATGTTGATGAAGGGGCGAAGATGTCGAAGAGGTTGAGGATGTTGATGCGATGTATTGCAGTGGGTGAGATGCTGGCTTCTTTCCAGAGGGTCGCGTCGCGTTTATATCACAGTATCGCATGTCGTCATGCTCTCTTCTCATCCCACACGCGCTAAGTCGCGTGGCAGCTCCAATATCGTACCTGAACCCCACGAGCCGTGCGCAGTTTCAATACAATAATAAAATAAGACGTTCCGGAACGATCGTATGTCATTTTCCCCGATCGCATGTTATTTTCCGATGTAGTGGTCACCAGCATCGTCATGGCCTTGTTCCAGACGGTACCCCTGAGACTTCCCGCTTTCCGGGGTCGATCGATCGTAGCGCGTCATCAGGGATGCTGCATCATCTGGCAAGATCCAGGTTTCACCCTAGCAGACAGCCCCGTGCGCGATGTGCAAGAATTGAATATTGAAGTTGTCGGTGGCTTCTTCCATGCGCTCCTGAGTCTCGTGAGAAATGTCTTGGTGTTGTAGGCTGGCATCGGCTCGCGCTTTCCGACAACACCCTGCCTACCTCGGCTCATCGGGCGAAGACGGCCAATGCGGTGACGCTCCTCACGAACACCTCGATGACCAGCCGTGAGCACCCTATCGTCATCGCAACGACACATAGAAATAATGCCCATCCCCACACCTTTCGGCGGTTTTCTGCCCGCTGCTCGAGATCCACCATCTGCATTTCTTGCAGCTTACATAGCAAATCCAGGCCTTAAGTAGACGATACTGCCCGGGATGCCCACCCCACCCTTCTCCCAAGACCGCCGAGACTGGCTGAGCGAAATTTCTGGACTGTTTTCCCAGCGCAAAACCAAGGACATTAAGAACACGACATCTACGTCAACTGTAAACCTTACATTTGGCAACCCAAAAGCTTTCGACTCTGTTTCAACTTTCAGTTCAAGATCTCGAGATGACGCCTCCACAAAAGATCAAGCAATGGCTCACGGGCCAGGACGGGCTCGATAAGCTCAGAATGGACGAGGCGGAATGCCCGGCCCCTGGCGAAGACGAGGTGTTGGTTGAAGTCCATTCCGTCAGTCTGAACTACAGGGATACCGAAGGTATGTACAGTGCGAGGTGGTCACACCTACTTTTGTGGCAGGGTCCAGACGGCCATTTGAACAACGCTAAATACGTGGACAGTCGCCATGGGCCTCTACAACCACCACAAGTCCGTAGAACATCCCCCCGCTATTGTCCCATGCAGCGACATGTGCGGTGTAGTTGTTGCGGTTGGTCCGGTTTCCAACAACACTTCAGACCCTTACAAGAACCCAGCTTTCCAGCTTAAGGAAGGTGACCGGGTCATCAGTACATTTGCGCCGAAGCATCTCAGCGGCCAAATCAAGGCCTCAGACATCGCGGGTGGCCTAGGCGGACCAGCCCCCGGAGTGTTGACGCAGTACCGTGTCTTCCCCACGTATGGCGTTGTCAAGATTCCAGATTATCTATCCGATGACGAAGCCGCTTGCTTGCCAATCGCAGCTGTAACGGCTTGGATGAGCTTGAACTGTATGCGACCAAATGGCGAGATCATTGGACCGGGCGAAAAAGTCCTGTGCCAGGGTACCGGCGGTGTAAGCATCTCAGCAGCCCAGATTGCATCCGCAGCAGGCGCAGATGCCATCGTCACATCTTCCTCCGACGAGAAGCTTCAACGCGCATCCAAGCTTGGCGCGAAAACAACTATCAACTACCGCAACACTCCCGACTGGGAGAACGCAGTCCTTTCTGCTACCTCCGACGAGGGCGCTGACATCATCATCGAAGTCGGTGGCGCGCAGACGCTTCGCAAGTCGTTCGAGTGCGTACGCTTTGGTGGATTGATCTCTTGCATTGGCTACCTATCTGGCAAGCAAGATGAGGCTGGCGACAGGACGAACACGAACTTGTTGTGCTTGAAGAGAAATGTCACTCTCAAGGGTATTGTGAACGGCCCCAGGACTGAACTCGAAAGAATGCTCAAGTTTTACGACGAGAAGAAGATCAAGCCAGTCGTCGACCGTGTTTGGAAGTTCGAAGAGGCGGATCAAGCGATCAAGTACCTTTTCAGCGGAGGACACTTTGGAAAGGTTGTCATCAAGGTGAAGGAGTAGATGATACTATTGGTGCGCTGTGAGTAAGAATATATCATATTTCAACACTTGCTATTTGCTACCTAGTGATGAACTAAGCGGAAGACTGAGCGCGCCGCTCAGCATCAACGCTCGCACCCCACTTGCGGAAAGCCGTAGTAAAACGCTTCGTTTCCTCCATAGCCTCCTCATACTCGTCAGCAACAACAAGTCCCTCATACCACGACCGCTCAGTCTCGGCCAGTACAAGACGCCACTCCTTGCCCTCCGCCAGCGCCCAAGCCAGACCATGAACACCCAGGCGTAGTAACCACAACGCAGCAGAGATCTTGAACCCCCACAACTCGTAGTTCTCTCGGTCCGCCGTAGGCCAGTTCTCTTCGTGGTCCATTACAGCTTCAATGACGCTGTAGAGACCTTCCTGGAAATGAAACGGCAGGCGGTACAGACAATGCATGATGTTGCTGATGTTGTCTTGGAACGGCTTGCTGTCGTTGGACCATTCCCAGGCGCAGTTAGCGAGAGTCTCGAGGCCGGCGATGAGTGAGAGGCAAGTATCGCACTTAAATGTGCTGTTGCAGGTCTTACGGCATTCGGAGGGGCGGAGGTGGTAGCGGCAGGTCTCGACGGCGGTGACGTGCTTTTCGCCCTGTATTATGTCAGTTGGAAGGCTTCAACGGCTAAGGAGAGTAGTGCTGACCTTCTCGAAGAGACTATCTTCAGTTCGGGTAATCTTGATGATTTCAGTCCAGACATCTTTCGCAGCAGTAGAGGGTGCTGCGGACGCTTCGGGGTAGTCGCCAGGGGATATGACCACGAAGTCGTCCATCTCTTCAGCGTCGTCGGCGATACTCGCAGCGCCCTTGCTGCTGACGCTGTCTGCAGTCTCTGGAATCTTAGAAGCAGGCATATTCGTCGCGATTGTGGATTAGTTGATATTATACTTTATAAAGAAGTTGTGGTGTGGTTTGAACCAGGCCGCAGAGCTGGGTGTCTGACGTTTTATATAGCACAAGAGGAGGAGAATTCAGCTAGGGAGTGTCATTCAGCAAGTGGATCTGGAAGAGGTCCATGGACTGAGAGCTTTCTTCCAGAAGGAGAAGGGTGCGGTGAATGTCTGCATCGCACTCTCTCGCAATGCGCAAATGACCAGATCAGGGACTCATTTGTACAGACATTCAGGCTTCAGCGGAAAAACGCCATCAAGCGTACTCGAAGAATATATGCTTGGGGATATCTTTGTTGGCCACAAGCTACAGCAATTATTCGAACGCAAGCTGACTTCCAAACAAAGATAAAACTCAATCCTACACGCTTCCCCGACTGAGGCAAACATCAAGACCAAATATCAAACATGACCAGTGCCGAGAAGCACATGTGTGCCCTGGCCTGGAAGTCTCGAACCTTCAGTCGTCATCTTCAGTTCGACCCTTTTTAGCAAACATGCCAGCCGCGCCCCTCCCCCACATCGTCACCTCCGCAGCAACCCGCCTCAACTCCATCTTCTTCTCTTCATACTCCTCCTTCCCCTCATTCACCACAATCCACGCCTCCTCCGCAGCCAGCAAAATCTGCATCTCGCTTCTCCCCTCCACCCTCCCCAGCATAAGACCCTCTGGCCCAAGCTTCAGCGCCCAAATCACCACCGAGATTTCGAACTCCTCGTCTCTAACAACCTCGTGCTCGAGATTCATCCAGTCATCCGGATCGAGTATGATGGAAAGAACGATGGAGAGACTGAGCTGGTGTTGCGGCTCTAGCATATGCAAGTATTCCGCGACAAAAGCGGGCTTCGTTGGGTTGTCGGAGAAGATCTCGGAGCAGATGCGTAGGGTGTCGAGTCCATCGAGAATTGCATTCGATGTTAAGCTAGGATAGGGTCTGGATTTTGTTTCGATGGCGAGGATTTTGGCGTAGTAGGCGATGGTGTCTTGTGCGCTTTTGTCCTACACGGAAGCGTTAGTATGTATGATTGAGCTTTGACGGGCGCTTGTATGCTTACTTCGATGGTTTTAGCAGTCTCGTCACGAACGAAGACGTAGCTGCCATCAGGGTGCCTCGGTGGAGTATCGTTGGGTAGGGCGACGACTTTCTTTCCGTCGACGAGCTGGGTGAAGTCTTCTTGGCTGTTAATATCGTCGTTCATGTGAGGTTTCTCTGGGCGCGGCATGATGGTCACCCTCGTGATGAGAAGACTGTAAACTCTGTATGTATTAGCAGGGTTGAGTTACTACGGGTGGTAGAGAGCCCAGTGTTCTCTCTCCAGGCCGGCCATCACTTTGGTATATGACAGAAAGTAGGTCAGTGCATGAGGCGCGATTCAATGCCAAGATGATGCGATATGCAGTATATGATTGAGCTTTCTCTTGCGTGAACTACCCTTCTGGACCATGACGTTAAGTCGTGCCTACGTCCGTGCTCGCAACTGTAGGGAGCCAGCAAGAAACAAAAATGCTAAACTACGCCCCTCTTATGCCTCTCGCTCCTCCTGAACTCGGTTATTGCTATTCGTCTCGCATGCCGGGCTTTCTCCGCCACGAATCTCTGCTCAATCCTGCAAGATCAAGCCCATAGATCGAGCGTAGAAACAGTGACAACACAGTCTGTTCTCATCAGCAACTTGATGCGTGGTTATCGAATTTTGACTTACCTTCGCAATTTCTGGCAGTTCTTCTGCATCATCCTTGCCGCCATCACCTTGAGTACCGGAAGTTTTCTTCTCCGCCGCTCCCTTGACAAACCCCTTTCTCACACCACCATTCTGCTCTTCCATTCTGTCAGCTTCGCTCTTGGAGTTTACATCGCCCTTCTCTTCACGCTCTGAAAGCTCACAGTCCGAATTCGAGCCTTCGGCGACGGAAGATTCCACGTCAGTGTAGGAATGGTAGTCAGCTTCGACGAACACGTAGCTGTCTTCCATTTCTTGGTCTTCGGCGACCTCTTCGTCCACGGTGACGATGTCGGTGTCGGGTAAAATTCCACAGGTGCCTTCGCTGGGCTTGATGATGGCGCGATCTTTGTCACTGTTGTCGTTGCTACCGACATCTTGCTCGGTAGAAGACATGGCTTAGAGCGTAAATTGAAGGAGAGCCTGATCTGTTGGCGATCGCGATGTAGTCTTGTGTGACCGCGAGTTGGGTGACTGCGCTGCCGTTGAGTGGCAGTGTAAGCACTTCCATACTAGAGTAGCTGCGTATATATGCGCCTTGAGAGTTCTACACCAGATCGCGCCACTAAGGCGACATTCAACCCTCTTTCACTCATGTCAATAAGAAAGGCTGCGATCTGCATGAAAGCGACCCAAGCTCCATTATATCAACATTCCACCAGCAGTTGCTTGTCCTTCGAAGGCAAATAGAGCCCGAGTGAAGCAAACGGGCGTTCAAGAGATCGCAAATATGGCGAGGCACTCACGACTATCGCATCACTTGTGATACCAGAACAGTACAACCCTCGTATGCATGGGAGAGATCAAGAGACCAAAAGACGACGGACTCAATTGTTGTCTTTGATGATGGCGAATGCACAAGATCATAGAGCGTGAAGTCCATGAAGCCTCAGTAAATTTGCGACAAGTGATGTCGAAGAACGTTGATTGTGAATGTTTCTTAACGATCATAACTTCGATGCTGCCCCCTCTTCGTATTCACTCAACTCTTTCTTATCGCAATCTCTTGGACTTTCACCAAACTCCTTACCCTTGCGACATGACAGTTCTTCGGCGCTCTTCCACTTCCAGGCAGTATCTTTCTCCTCACCGTTGCCCTTGCCGCTTAGTACGTTGCACATGTATGCGCCGGCGACGGGGAGGAATCTGAGGGGATGATTAGCATTGCGTCCGTGAAATGAAGGGTAAAGTAACCTACTTGTACGAATGAAAGCTACCACCAACGGCGAGGTACAAGTTGGCGAGCCTTTCATGAGGGTGTCGACACATCAGCCAGTCTTCGGTTGGTGTAACAGCGTCGTAGCAAATTCGCCATCGGTCTGGTTTTTTGCTGCGAGTCCATTCCGGCATGGCGTTGTGCATGATCTGCGCGCTTTCACGCTTCAGTCTCTCAGGGACGTCGTTCTGGTTCCTTCGAGATGGCATAGTAATTTTATGGCCAGAAGGGGTGGTAACCGTGTTGATGATTTCAGTTTTGATGTCATTAATCTTAAGCGTTCGGTTTGGCTGCGAAGGCGGGATAATGTCGACCTCTCCACCAATGACAATCACAGGTACTGATTCGTCGATCATGCTCTGTGTGTCTTGTTCGTTCAGTGTATAGTATGCAGAGACGCGTCCTACAGCGGTGATTTGGCGCTCGATACGGTCTTGCTCCTGGATCTTCAGAGCATCTTCGATCGGCGACATCAGAGAGCTGGTCCATGCTCCTGCTGCCAACACGATCTTGTCGGCTTTCAAAACTTGACCATCTCTCAGCTTTACACCAGCTAGACTACGTTGGTCGGCGCTCAACAATAACTCTTGCACATCTCCAGTCACCCTCTTGACCCCAAGCTCTAGTGCAACCTTCGTGAAGCTTTGCGTTGCTTTTTCCGCGTCGCACCAGCCCGCTTCGCGATTGAAATAACCCTTTCCATATTCTTCACTCTTGATGCCTTTCGTTACAGCGTACTTGTCCAGCTCTTGTGGTTCTAGATCGCGCGTGTAGTCACCTCCTCTCTCAACAAACGTCTTCCTTATCGCATCGCCAAAAGTACCATTCTTTTTGTCTAGCACGACCCAACCGGTCTTGTGGAAATGACCTTGTACTGCTATGCTCCAGAACCAAAAATGAATAGCTTCATTGGCGAGATTGCAGTAAAGATGTGACTCGTAGTCGGTGCGGATAATGCGATTAGTGTCGATGGCTGCCGCTTGCTTTTGTTTTAGGGATGTATTGCTATCCCAACGGTCGACGATGGTAATCCGAGATGGATCTTTGTATTGTTTGCCCAAATGGTAGGCAGTAGACGCGCCAAAGGTACCAGCGCCTATGATAAGTACTGTAGGCTCGCTGCTTGCCATATTGAACGAATAGTGATCAAAAGTCGTAAAGCTCTCAATGATGTCCAGGATAATGGTGAGGCTTCCTGGATGGTAGATGAGACTGCTTGCGCTAGTGCTGCGGGGTCTTTTGCGGATCCGATGCCCCAGCTTGCCCGAAAACGTGCATTGGCTCGCGCGATCGGGAAGGAACTCACGATGCCCAGGTACAACGCGTTCCGAACATGACGTATCAACACAAAAGCGGGCGCGTGCGAATGAGCCCTATTCTGTCCAAAGTTGCGCTGCTTTGACAAGTGACATTCTGGAGCCCCGGTTAGGCTTTGGTAATGATCGCAGTCGATGCGGGATGCGCGAAGCTTGCTTGGAGACCGGCGTTCGCGTCGCAGCGTCGCGAGTATTCAGTGTCGCGGCAGGTACAAGGGCGACCGTCGCGAACAAGGTTTACGCGTTGTACTTGAATGTCGCATCAATTGCATCGCCTCGAGAATGCATTTTAGTGGTTGAGACCAGCTTAAAGAGTACGTCGCGATGGCGTAGAGGCATGGTGGCACATCGGTCGTGGAAAGTCGCTAACTAAAGCTCGAGTCTCATCGCTCCTTCCGAATAACCCAGCTCACTTCCAACACTCAACCCCATCCATCACGCGCGTGCTTGTCAGTAGTAGCGGCGCACATCGCGCATACCAATGGCAGCAGTTCGACACGAACGGATTTGTTCTCTACATGTTCGACCCATTTGCTGCGGCAGTTTTATTTGATCGTGCTCCACGCTCTCCAACCAGTCTCTTACATGTATGGGCACCATGCACTCATCAATAGGTATTCATGACTCCCGAAAAGTCACTTCCGGTAATACGCATGCGCTGCGATAACACGATAAGAGAGGAAGAGCTCGTGATAGCAAGAGACATGGAGTAAGCCAGGGGCTGACCGCAGAGCTGGACTAGCCGGTTGCATCATCGGCAACGTGTCGAAGATGTCAACTGTTTAGCCTGGAGGCCTTACTCGGTTTCAGTTCTGGATATTCACTACCGACGAAGGATTCACGGTCCTACACCTGTTCTTCCAATGTAGAGGCTGCTGGCGAGATGCAGTTCCAGGAATGGTTAGCGCTGGCTGTCTCGGCTAACCTTCCGTGTCAGACTCGAAGTATCTTTGGATTCAAGTACGAACATAACGCAGAGCTATTGCGCAGCAGAAGACAAGACCCAAATTCAATATCACTTCTGGAACTGAACACAGAAAGTATCTGAGGAGCTTCAGTGAGACCAAGTTTTCACGCATCAATCTCAGATTCGCCACTGCACGATAGCACTTTAGTGGCTCCTTCGGCAAGCCCCACCATCGAGCGTAGATTGCAGATTCAGCAACTCTCAACCAACACCACGATGTCTCCCAAGATCCATATCGTGCGCCATGCGCAAGGAGAACACAACGCGACCGTATGTCCCATATCATAAAGAAGAACCTCGGATCCAGTAAGACTAACTGGCCGCAGCGCAATTACAGCATTCGCGACGCTGTGCTGACAGAAAAAGGCAAAGAACAATGTCGCGCGCTTAGCTCGGCATTCCAACATCATGAGGAAATAGACATAGTATTTGCGTCGCCGCTACGACGAACGATCCAGACCGCCTCGCTGAGTTTTGGCCCTGTGCTCGCACGGAAAGAGGTGCCGTTCGTGCTGTTGCCAGCCTTGCAAGAGGTCAGCAATATTGGCTGTGATGTCGGAATTGCAGATACTGCAGATGAAGTGCACGCATTTCTACCGAAGCTGTTTGCAGAAGGTGAACTTGACTTTGACATCAGCAAAGTTGATGCATCAGCGGTGACAGCGGGCTGGAACTCCAAGGTTAGTCGATCTCCCGGTTTGACATCAGCATGCATGCTTACTAACGCCTCGCAGGAAGACTATTGGGCGTACGAGAAGCGCGCCATCTCGAAGCGCGCTTCTGATCTCAGGAACTGGCTGTACCAAAGGCCCGAAGCGCAGGTAAAGCTGCCGTTAGTTTGCTCTTAACAGCGGTTTGCTAACAGAACAGGTCCTGGTAGTCACCCATGGCGCATTCGCACACTTCCTCACCGAGGACTGGGAAGTCGAAGATCCCATGGTGGGCACAGCGTGGAAGAATTGTCGGTACATCTCTATATTTAGTCTGCAGCATGGGCTAACTCTACTATAGGTGAACATCGCGTGTTTACCTTCACACCTGAGTCGACAGCGGAAGACGCCCACGTGGGTGAGACCTGGGAGAGCAGGCGAAGCAGAGGTGCCCAAGAAGTCGAAAAGGATCCGCATGTAGTGGATGAGTTTCTCAAGACGGCGGCGTAGCTGAGTAGTAGTGTACAAAGGCCGCGGCCTCAGGTAGCTTCCGACAACGGCTGTGGCATGCCGTTCCGTCCGTTGTCCAAGAGCCGGAGGGTCCACGAATAGCCAATACCCGATGTGTTTCTGTAGTAACTTGCCCGAGTACATTTGCGTCCTTTGATCGACAGATTCTCCCTTCGCTCCTAATCTGGAGTACCACGGCTGTTCGGCAAGCGCGCCATGATGGCGCAACATCCCACGGTGCCCGGTGCCCCCTGAGGCTTTTGGGATCCTGGGGTAGACGGTAGCCATGTCCAAGCAATCACATTCATCCCCCATATCATTGGGCGGCGCAAAGTTCGGCAATGCACTCCACAAAACCCTGGATCAAAGATAAGCCACGGTCACGCCGCGCCTGCTATGACCCTTCGAGCAGCCAAGCTGCAGTGCGGCCAGACCAAATCACCGAGGGTCGCGTCGTGCATTACCGCGCTGGGTGTAGTTGACGGGACGCATCGGAGCAGCCTTAGTCAGAGTTTTGCGCCCCGGTACCTGTTCGGTTAATCTATCAAGCCCCGCCGAGGCCCGGGATGGCGCGGCCCTAAAGGCTTGTCGCCGCCCCCATGCAGCCAAACCAGCCCTACGCGACGCCTCTGTCGTCGTCACCACCCAGTGCAGACGCTTATCCCCAGCTTACAGGTTGTCGCGTGAGCACAGCGCTCTCTTATCTCCAGAACCGCATGCATGGTTCGCTCTGATGTCACCTAGCACGGATCCAGGCGATGTCACATCAAGCACGTCCCCAAACTCACCACTCAAACACGTAAAAAAGAGAAAATTTTACGTCAACTGCGACGCACCATGTGGACCGCGTCATTAACGACGCCACTAAAGGGCAACGCTTCTGGCTGCACGCACCAAGCTCTGGTACGATGCGAGCAATAGACCGAAGTTCGCTAAGGCCCTCGATAGCCAGCTTTCGGTCAACATCGGTCGCCCAGCATGCTGGGAGCGCGCGGGGGAAGGCCGCTTGGAACATTCTATTACACATGCAGAACATGCGGAGAGATAAGACGTGTTGATATAAGAAACAAGATCAGCCGCTGGCCTTGAAAACGGTTATTCCTGCGTGCCGCTGCTAACTCACACTACCTTCTCACCGGTCCCACGATACGTCACAGACAGTCGATATCACGCGCCGCCGTCTTCCCGATTCTGACGACTGGACCTGTGACCTACACTTCTACTGCTACTTTTGGGGTACCGGGCAAACTAGCTCGTCAGCAGGCGCCAAACACCAAAAAGTCGCGAGTGCCCTCCAGCTTCCGACTTGACCACGACTCCACCCCACCGTTATTTTTGAAAAATTCATATTTGCATTTTCCAAGATGCAGGAAGTACCGCACGCCCACGGGCTCACGACGGGCAACCCTGAGCCACAATACGCCTCCAACGGCGTCAACACTGGCGTTCCCGCGCGGCACTACGCTGCTGCACCGCCGACCTACCGTCTGGACGACCTTTCGTCTGAGGGCAAGAAGAGCGACCCCGAGCTCATGATGCCCGTCGACAAGACTGCCACCGTCCAGGAGGGATCGGAGAAGTTCCACCGTCTCGGATGGAAGCAACTCACAGTCTGCCTGATTGTCGAAGCTATTGCGCTTGGTTCTCTCAGTATTCCTAGCGCGTTCGCTACTCTCGGAATGGTCCCCGGTGTCATCATGTGCGTCGGTCTTGGACTCGTCGCAATCTACACATCCTACGTTGTCGGTCAGGTCAAGATGCGCTACCCGCATGTCAACCACTACTCGGATGCCGTCGAAATCATCTGGGGCAAATTCGGAAAGGAACTCACTGGTGTCATGTTTGCGCTCTTCCTCATCTTGCTGGTCGGATCGCACGCGCTTACCGGAACAATCGCCTTTATCAACATCATCGGAAACTACACCACATGCGCGCTCGTATGGGGTGTAGTATCCATGATCATCTTGCTGGTTCTTGCTCTGCCACCCACATTCCACGACTTCGCTTTCCTGGGCTACATCGACTTTATTAGTATCATCGCCGCCATCTTGCTCACCATCATCGCAACTGGTATCCAAGCGCACGATGCTCCTGGTGGATTGAGCGCAGTCAACTGGTCCGCGTGGCCTCAACCCGGAACTTCGTTCTACGAAGCTTTCCTGGCGACCACCAACATCATCTTCGCCTACTCATTCGCCGTCTGCCAATTCTCCTTCATGTCAGAGATGCACACTCCCAAAGACTACGTCAAGTCCATCTGGGCCCTCGGCCTGATTGAGATCTTCATCTACACCATGACTGGTGCTCTCATCTACGCTTTCGTCGGCCAGGAGGTCAAGTCGCCTGCTCTTCTCTCCGCCGGTAACACCGTCTCCCGCATCGCCTTCGGTATCGCGCTCCCCGTCATCTTCATCTCCGGATCCATCAACGGCACCGTCGTCTGCCGCTACATCATGGACCGCATCTTCCCCACCTCGCCCATCCGCTTCGTCAAGGACGTCAAGGGCTGGGGTGTCTGGGTCGGTCTCATCACCGTTGTCACCGTCATCGGCTGGATCATCGCCGAGGCCATTCCCTTCTTCAACGCCCTCCTCGGTCTCATCTCCTCCCTCTTCATCTCCGGATTCACATTCTACTGGCCCGCACTCTTCTGGTTCCAGCTCGTCAAGGAGGGCAAGTGGAATGCAAACGCCAAGAACATCTCCTTGAGCATCCTCAACTCCATTGTCTTCGTCATTGGACTGGTTGTTCTTGGTGCCGGTACTTACGCGTCCGTCGAGGATATCATCACACAGTACAACTCCGGTGCTGTACGAAGTCCCTTCACATGCTCTGCTCAGTCTTACGCATAGTTGGGTGATGGGAACATGTATATATACCAAGAAGCCCTTAAATAGGCGCTTCGCTTATTACGACTTATGAGTCTAGCATCAGCATAGCGATGTCAAATCAAATTTCACATATTCAATCATCTTTTCTCCCGTCCACAGTGCTTGCATCTCATCGATGCTATCCGGAAATGGATCTGCTCCTCCTGCGCCGCGCCACCACACACATGGAAGACACTGAACATTCACCTCCCAGACGTCTACATTGCCTTCAAGTTATGATCGATATTTGGATTTTAAACTGTTGTATACAGCAAGGCACCTCAAGACTTTCCCTCTCCCGCCCGAGGCGGCGCCGATATTTCGTTTACCCTGGCTAATTATGCGCGGAGTAGATCAGTGGGAAAGACACTATCTACAGAAGACATCACAAGTAGGGAATCACCGAGAAGAATGATGCGCGCGCTTTTCCTTTCACTCCACTATACAAACAGCGCTCTTTTGTGTTCACTCCAGGGCTTTCACGGTAGTGTTTGCGCACTAGTACGAATAGAGACTAGTGCCGCGGATGACGCAGCCCAGACGTGCTGCTGCGCACCTGCTCAGGTGATAAACTTTGGTACGTATACCTAGGAACCGCTCACCTCCGGAATACGCAACAGTCATTTCACTCACGGCCACGGTCGCAACCATTCATACTATGGAGGACATAAGATCTACGCTCTCTACACTTCGCCTTGCGTCCAACCTCACACACGCAACGGACGATACCATGCCGAAAAGACAACGCGATAGCGACGACGAATCTGCTCGGAATGACGGCGTTGGGCCGAAGAGGCAACACGGGAGTGAAGTCATTACACCTGAACCGCAGCCTTCCGACCTCATCGCCGCTCTTCATGAGTTTATACAAGAAGAGCGCAGGACCAACTTCTCATTCTTATCACAGCACAGCCATTGCCACAAGCATCAACATGAGCTACTTGTAGTATCTCAGGCGGATACCGAGGATATCGAAGCGGTACGTGCCATTGCTAGGCACGACACAAGTGTCCATAGTGACTGGTATACCTTCATCGAGCCGCTGAGGTCGGACGGCTTCACCCGTACCGTTGCGATCGACATCCCATCCGCGAGATATGTTGCTGAAGACATGATCATCACCGAGTTTGGCAGGGTCAGGAAAACCGAGCGAGATGCAGCTGCATGGATCCGCGACACGTACTGCACTGCCGAAGACGATATGTGGGCGATGAGGCTCCCGGAATCGCAATACGAAGAGCAGCGCTTGTGGTGGGAAGGTACAGGGCAAGCTTTCCGGCTGCTGGACTTACCTCTAGAGATGCGCGAAGCCATCTACCTACACGTCATCGGGCCAGTCGTTGTTCCGGATGTCGTTACACAGGCTGGTGGCGCGGAGAAGCTTGTGCTTGGACGCGGCCTGTCGTACGATAATCCCGAGCGCGTAGGGCGCAATCGAGATCCCAATATACGGCGCCCGAATATGGAGATCATGCGCGTCAGTCGCCAGGTCAAGGATGAAGCCACCCAAGTCGCCAACCGCGATACTGTGAAGCGGTTTACAACGATCCGTACGCGTGGGGACGGCATTGGGCCCGCAGCGTCACCTGAAAAGATCTGGCGCCAACTCAGGCGAATAGTAACGCCTGATAACTTCCTGAAGAGGCTTCAACTCGAGATGTCTGCAACTGAGTTCTTGGCCTTCGGGGGCATTTGTCCGCAACTGGGACAACCGCTTCAGAGGGGCGTTGTCCCAATTAATGTCATTTCTATGGCTGGGTTAGGAAACCTCGATATCATCGATTTTCGCTTCATTGGTCCTGAACATGAGCTTGCCAACTGCCCTTGGAAACCGCTTCATCCATGCCAAAAGAAGTGGATTGACATATTTTTCATCACCGCCTGGAATGATCTGGTCGCTCTCCGAAATTCGAAAGGAATTAAGTATTCCATGAGTGGCTGCATCAAAGATTCCACCCGGAATTACTGGACGGGGCTACTGAACGACAAGCGCAATGATCATACTCCCGGTATACGCATTCTCGAACAGGATCTTCAGATCGCCATAACGAACAGTAAGTAGTCCGATAAAGGCATGTAGAATACGTACTGACTCCCTTTTCGATACCTCGCTTACATGCGAATGCTCTAACCCATGTGTAGGCGGGCCGCGCTTATTCCGGGTCCAGCCACACGAGATGAGGTTGATCGAGGGCATACAGGCGGAGCTGGATAAGGCGTATTGGGATTTCGAGGACTGAGGCGGGTTGTATTTGACCCGGGGTTGCCGCATACCGAGGAGGGGGCGCGGCTCGTGGATGAAGAACTAGCAACAATGAGCATGCATAAGCATAGTTATCTATCCGCAATTCCGCTCATATCAATGCATGTGTTGTGTTGCGTGCATTTTCGCTGGCAACTGGTCTTCGGACAGGAGAGTGTTGAAAATGGTGATGAACCACGTCATGATCTAGCCTCTAGATGGTTAGCCGGCGGAACCGATCACGTGCCGTCCGAGAAGCCGCGGCCCCCGACGCGAACACCTCCGCATGACTTTTGACGCGTCCTCCGCTCGTCTACTTCAATGGCTGAATTTGCGACCCGATATGCACCCCAACGCCGACATCTCACAATTTCGTCGCGTTATTCGACGCGCAAAAGCAATGTATTCGCCCTGCATCATATTCGTCTTCATTGGCGAGCGCCGCACGAGGCTGCCATGCACTTATACGCTGTGCCACGAGATGGATTCACATTGTTGTTCGAAGGCATATCCACACCAGAGAGTGGCTCAGTCGTGATCGGGCCTGCGTGCAAGTCAATTGCAGGCTCGGTAATCCATGGCGATGCTGTGAGAAGTACCCAGCTCATGAGATGCGGCGCAGCAAGTGTGCAACTTACATCTTCTAGCTTGGGCGGACCTGCTCTGCCGTATTCTGGTCTAGAAGTAGGAAGTCACCGCTTTCTGCGACCTCTCAATCTTTCGGAAGATCTCTTCTAGGCTCGCCCGAACACCTTATCTTCTCAGCCTTGACGATGTGGGCGATAGCCTGGGCAATCTCTTCTATGCTTTCGCGGCTCTGTCTACGGCATCTTCTAAGCTTGCCTCGCCGTGATTCAGCTTTCGGTGGGCGACGCTGGTCTCCTTCAGAACGCTCGCATCGTCGCCCTGGCACATGCCAGTCAACGTTGGAGATGACGGAGTACTCAAAAACGCACAGCGTAAAGCTCAGGAAAAGATACAGCGCTCACTCCTTCCAACTTGTTTGCAATGATATGTTTTGTCCTGATTTCAGACGCGCCGAGGATTAACAAGCTCCACGTTGCAGCCTTGGGAAAGAGCTTAGCCTTCCTGGTTTAGTGCGGTGAGCAAACATGCTGCGGCGCAGCGTACGAAAGAGCTAGATAATGGTGTTCGGTTCGAGCGCATGCGCGACTTGTGTCCTCGTATCTTTGGCGAGACTTGCGTGTCATTCACCTTCTTCGAGCTGGGCTTGACTTGCTCACGAGACCTTTCCGCACTGCGCAGATCTCTTCGTGGTACCGCCAAAGCCATGAGGTAGAGGGGATGCTGCGTCACATGCTCGGAGACAGTGGCGACTATCGGCGCATCACAGGGCTTGGGAGGGCTGATCACATCCGTAGCTCAGACGTCCTTCTGCACACGGTGAATGTAAAACGCGGTCATCACTTCAGGTCCACAGCGCTTGCGATGTCCAAGAGGAAGCTAGAGCACGATCCCTCACCCATTCCTCAGCAGCGCTAGTATGCTCTTGCCATCCCCTCCTTCGATCACACCCTCTGATAGGGCAACCCGGATTTCAATACTCCATGTCACCCACAACGCTCACGCCTCCGATGCATGCATGCTTCTCGACCTTCCTCTGCATGTCATTCATTGGCCGTTCGGTCCGCATCCGTAGCACCTCCGTTCCCAAAACCAGGTTATTCAAGTCCGTTCTCGATCCTTGAATCGTGGTTCGTCCCGCGCGTGCAGCACGCGAGCTATATTGGTGGACCCCGACCGCTGGTGATTGGACCGGCTGATGTCGTGCATGACTATGGCTTACACTGGCTTTCAGAACTTCCTCTTCGATGGAAAGATGGTATCCGGTGGGCATAAGATTATTCGGAGGCTTGCGGACTTCAGCGAGATTTAGGGAAGCGTTGGTGAGTATGGTTGGTTGCTGGTTCATGGAAAGATCTACATGTGTCTGCGATGTCGGCTTGTGGGTCATACGCCGGAACGACTAGTAGAAGACAGGTAAACGGAAGGGCGGAGCATCTAAATGTGACAAGTTGTTGCGAAGAGGAGTGGTCGCTTGTAGGATGTGGAGGCGACATCGTAAGAGAAGGACGATCAAAGGACCTAGAAAGGTATAAAACGCACCCGCAACCGCCTCATTTCCACCCATCCCATCGATCAACAACTCACCACAGCTCTAACTTCATACATCGCCCAGCATGCTGTTCTCCACTGCTACCCTTCTTCTCCTCTTCTCAACCACGCTCGCCGCACCCACCACTCTTCTTCCCCGCGCCGCTCAGTGCGGCCAATACCAATCTCAGTCATCCGGCCCATACACACTTTACACCAACGGCTGGGGCTTCTCCTCCGGAACAGGCTCTCAATGCTCTCAAATCGATAGCTATAGCAGTACAGCTGGATTAGCCTGGTCAACAACATGGTCGTGGTCTGGCACGCCAAACCAAGTCAAGAGCTACACGAACGTCGAGACGGGCTTTACGAAGAAGCAGATCGGTAGCTATACGAGTATGCCGACGACTTGGAGGTGGAGTTATACCGGAACAGATCTGCGAGTTAATGGTATGCTCCTCGCGCCTCTTCTCATGCACTCCGTTCATTGTCGGGGTCTGTAGGCTAATGCTGATGTGCTATCCCGCAGTGGCATACGACACCTTCCTCGGCGCATCAGCCAGCGGAACCAATCTCTTCGAAGTCATGGTCTGGCTCGGTGTCTACGGCGGCGTGTCACCCTTGTCCGCGAACGGATATCCCTTCACACCCATCGCGACCGTCACGATTGGCGGTCAGATCTTCGACCTCGCATACGGTCTCAACGGTTCGGTAAAGGTATACAGTTTTGTTGCTCGTGGCGGGCGGGCGACGAACTTCAGCGCCGACTTGGTACGTTACATGAGTCTACTTTGTGGAGATGATAGAGAAGCTAATACGTCGATGCAGAACCTGTTCTTCCAGTATTTGTTGGCAAACTACGGAAGCAATGGTTTCACGAGTAGTTTGTATCTGCAGGTCGTGCAGGCGGGTACGGAGGTGTTCACTGGAAGCAATGCGAAGATGACTACGACGGCTTACTCTATCGCTATCAACTAAGCGATGAGGTATCGCATACCTCGTAGCACATTACGAGACTACCCGAAAGTACTGTCTCAGTCGTTGATGTTGAGCAGATGTAAGGTTAAGCCAACGTACAATCTGAGAAATGCTTGTAATCCAATTCGCTTACTCCAAAGAGGCTACGCCTGTCATCGTTTATCTATCCATCCAAAATGTGTCAAAGTGTTGTACAAATGGTCAAAATCGTAACCCGTGACCCAATTGCGAAGACCCATCGCTGCCAGTATAAGCGCTTCCAAAACGCCGATTCGCCATGCCCATGTGCGTGCCCTTTGCGCCTCTCGTGCCCCTCATTTTGCTTCCCAAGCCTCCAGGGCTGTGCCCCTCAGCCCCTCACGTCAATCTCCCCAGGATATGCCAGCGCGACGGCCTCGACCTCGAAACCCGCACCAATGCTCAGGAGGTCAACTCTGCACCTCTCGGTATCCCTCTGAACTCTCGACCGAGGTTCCGCAGGGTCATAGTCATCCATGCGCGATGCATCGCATGAACCGACTACCGATCTCACAGACGACGCCAGCTCATCGCCCATGACATCTTGCGCGCGATAATAACGCTGCCGCACCCAGTGGAAGTAAACGGCAAGCGCGTCGCGATGACTCGGGATGCCGATGGAAGCGAGTGAGCGCCGGAACGGGAGCTTGACGGCGTAGGGATAGGCTGGGAACGGGTGGGTCAGCTGAGAGATCGAGAAAGTTGGGAAATGCATCAGGAGTTGGTGCGGATGTGTCGGTACGCTAGACCGAAAGGAGTACGGTGGGCTGAGCCGAGGCGCAGCTCGCCGGTGGTGTCGGAGAAGGAAAGATGTCGGAGGTGTGGACGGGACGGTAAGCTGACTTACTATTGCGAGACATGGTCCACGATGGCGGGTATCTCGTATGGAGTTTGGATGCGGTTGGGCGTCAAGGTCAAGAATTTGGGCGGTACACGAGTGTAGTGAGGTGGATGGATGAACGATATCTGAAAGATAACGTGTAGAGTGTCCGAGTTAATGTAGTCTCTTCTCGGGATAGAGTACCAAGGTGAAATAGCTGTCGAGAGAGGATTCGATGTACAAGGCGACTATATAGTATTGATGTGCAAGGTGAGAACGAGGTTGGCAAGTGAGCAAGTCAGTATATCCGCAGAAATGAGCAAGACGGTATTGCGCATACGCGTCCATGGCACACTTATGACTGTCACAGCGGCCGTCTCTACGACCACGTTGAAGCCTCACGACCAAGGCATATGCCCTTTCCCGATCGAGCAGTTAAACATGGCCAAGACGTCGTCCTGGGGTAGGTTCGCCAAGCTAACCACCGGCAAAAGCGTCATAATTGCTACAAAGGGGAACTCAGCTCAGCTGCGACAGCTGTGAGCCCTGCACGGAGATTGGGTGGTTTGTCAGAAGCGAGAGGGTTGCGACTCCTGATAGGCGTGGGCGAGGGTCGGGCGTGGTGATGTTGCCGAGCCGCGTGTTGCGACCGTCTGGCAGCCCGTTTCAAAACTTCACCGGCCGGGCGCTGCAGGAGAAAAACGCACGAGATCGGGGGGCTGAATCTTGACATCGTCGGCTGCTGCGCGTCGCAACTACTCCTTTGATGTGCATAGCACGTACGTTAACGGGTCGTCGAGCAAAGAACGCGTGGGCCCTGGAGGAGAGCTCCAGCCCCGCGCTTGCCGCTGGGCCAGCGACTCGAGGCTCTCAGCGTGCGTCTGACAGCGTCACTAGTCAGGGCCGGCCAACGAAGTCTGCTTCATCCGCCCCCAATTGCTATCACAGCGTCTGACTATCTCGCTTTGCGCGACTTCAAGCCAGGAGTTGGGTACACGCAAGCGCGCCAAGCGTGGTGAGTGAATTTGACAGCACGTACACACCTCAGTAGGGACAAGCAACGCCCAGGGATGGCTGACTGACAGCAGGGGCCACTTGCTCAAGCACCCCATGCTCATACTTTCTTTTTTCTCGTACTTTGACTGTGTAACCTCATCATTTTGCAGCTTCTGGGTCTTTCTTGGTCATCGTATGCACTCTGCACGCGCAGCCGAGTCAGGATTCCAGAGACAAAAGGCACTCGTCCCGATCGGCGGATGGAATGCCAATCCGTCTCATCGAACGAGGTATACGTAGATGCTGGGCGCGAGTAGCGCAGGCTGTAAGGCTCACCGCACTAGCCACAAGCCAGACCATAAGAGGAACAGAGCTTGCTGATCGGTGTAAGATGTGCCACAGCGTTCCTGGAGTAGCAGTGGGCCCAGGCCTAACCGGGGCAGCTCTCAGAATTTCGAAAGCCCATTCGATGGCACGGGCCAAATGGTTGCGACGTGACTTCACGCTGTCGCATTCATATGCGGCCCCCAAAAGCCAACAGCTGGGTACGCGTCGTGTTACGGCATGCGAATGCCTTCAACGTTGGTAATGCTACTCGACCGAAACTCTTCCGACCTTCAGCGTGCCAGTAGCATGCGATGGTATGGCGAGGGTTTGTCATTCATGTCGACGCTTGGGCAATGCGCACGGGAGTATGCCTAATCCTTCCAATCGCTTATCAAGCGAGTTGGGATGGTAACCACATCCATGGGTATGAGCAGAGACATGTGACCGTCGATCGGCTGCGTGTGTAGTCGAGCGGGCTTGTGGGAGAATTTCTCAGCAAGATCTGACCAAGCCTTCCACTTTCCCTGCATTACAAATTGAGAAGGTGCGCCCATCCACCTGCGTCCTACGTCCTGCGTTATCGACGTGGTACAAAGCTGTAGATCGCTGTACCATATTTGAGCTACCGAATGCACAGCGGTCAGCTTTTTCGCGAACAACGCCTCAGCCGAGTCGGCTCCTTCATCACTGATCCAGGGTAAGTACAGCAAAGCGCTACAAGCGCCAGTGACGTAGAAGGTTCTTTTGTATCATTGTAAAGTCGTCGCATATACGGCAATATCAACCCAGGGTCTTCATATGTCCGGTGTCCAAATTACGATGCGGCCATGGTCCAGGCGGCAGCAGATGCGAGGGAACTCTGGTCCAAGACAAAACCAAGGTATGCAGCACCCTCCATTTCTTGCACGTTCCTCGTTCTCATTCGCTCCATGTCTATTCAGCGCATGTACGATGATCAAAGCCTATCTGTCGCAGGCTTTGATGTGTAATACCATCCCACGGTCCCTGCTGACCGTTCACCCAAGACAGCTCCAGGAACACCGACAAATCCACTCAATCGCTTCATCATTCGCACGTTCCTCCTTCTCATTCGCTGAATGTCTGTCAGCCCGAACGCATGCGTTCTGCACTCCATATATGCGGCAATCCTTGTCTTCAGAAGAGGTTGCTGCATGCCCACCGGTCAGCGCGAAAGAGCACCGGACAGATTTTGAAACACAAATGAAGTGAAAAACTTTTTCATGTGGCTGCGCAAGCCACTGATGTTCTTGCGACACGAGAGAAATCCGAGTGAACGGTTGCTGCACACTGCGGTCGTCTTGTTGAGGGTTGGCGGGTGCACAGCCTCGATGCGGCTCTGCAAGCTGACTGTCGCACTCTGGCGAGCGACAGTCCGGTAATGTACACGCCGCATTCACGGACGAAGAAACGGCCATTGCACACTCTGGTCAAACAGTGCAAAATGACTAAAAGTCACTCCTGGGCAAAGGGCGCTTTCGCGATCGGTAGTGTATTATGTCCGTCAAGCACAGTAGTCTAACCCCCAGTGGAGAGGCCTTGGTGCGACAGCCGTTCTAGCCATCATGTACCATCCTATCAATCTATAAACGCGTCGAAGGTGACCGGTTTTACACCCAGCACTCAAGCATCCACATTCCAAGGGTAATTCTGCTTAACCCAGATGATATCCATCTCGCTCGGCTTCGTAGCGCGTTCCAGCAGCCCAAGTCCCTCGCCATGGTCATTCGAGTCGAGGTAGGCCTGAATGGGACAGTCCACACCGTTGTCATTGCAATCTGCCTTTGCATAGCCGTTGCGGCTAGGATAGTGCATGACGCTCGCGAGGTCGTAGCCGGAGGCCGCTTGGATGGGCCAGCCGGGTTCGACAAAGTTCTTGATGAAGGCGACGCAGGTACATTGGTACTTCAGAGCGCGGTACATGGATAGGCAGAGTCCGTCTTCGGTGATGCGGTCACCTTCCGCTTGACGGGCGCGATGCCAGCACTGTGTTGGTGATGTTAATATGCAGTATGTGTCAGTGATAGCGGTAGCCACTTACGTCTTCCCAGTCGGCAAGTTGCTTGTATTGTACTTTGATGTATTTTTCGCGGTCGTTGCGGTTGTGTTCATGCGCCATGCCTTGTGATTGTTAGTATCAACGTCTGCGGTCGCTGGTGATATCTTACCCAGTACGTGACCAAGCTCGTGTAGAACACCACCGAGCGTAAAGCCATCGGCGAGGCGAACCAGATTCTGCCAGGGCTTTCCGTTTTGCGTCAGGCCCACAGCGGCGCCCCAGCCAGCGCCGTCGGTGAATTCGATGGCCACAGTGTCATGAGGTATACCTGCGTTCCAGCCATCTCGGTATTTCTTGACGGGTGCACAGTACATGGGCTTTCCATCGCTGGTCAAGCGCTCTTTGAAGCTGATAGCGTGGCCGGATTCTTTACCCGCGGCGCCGCCAAGATACCTAGAGCGGTCAGTTCGACACTCGTCACATATCGTTATAGATGCGCCTTTGCTTACTCAACCCACTTCGCCATACCACTCTCCGTGATGTGACGGATATTGTGGCGATCCCACTCCTGTGTGAAGCAGTATGGGATAACGACGTTGTTTGTTGAGTCGCGTGGCCAACGAATTGGTCCAGGACTCGAGCCCCAGGCGTCAGTAGCACCTTGACCGTTCTGACCAGACATCGTCTCAAGTTCCTCGAAGTACTCCGCCCAATCAGTTACTTTCGTACCATTTTTGAACACGGGCGACGGAGTGCCGCAGAAGGGACCATAGTTGGGGACTGGTTCGTTGATAGCGACTGCGACCGCAAGGGCGGCAAGCTGTAGAAGGAAGAACGGAAACATTTTCGCGGATAGCCAACTCGTTTTGGGCAGAGGTGGAAGCGCTTATAACGCGGTCAAGAGAAGAGCAAGTCGCAGCCTGGAGGCCAAGAAAACTCCACCGCGCGTAATTGTAGTACGTGCAGGTGAGCAAACACTCGACTGCGAGCTAGTAGTCGTCGAATGAAGAGTAGAATTGTACGATGACGTATCTACACCCGAGGAATGCGAGTACATTCCTTAGAATGGCGACGTGAAGCGTGACTGTACCAAGTCTTCTCCGTTGTACTTTTCGTGCTCTGGGGGTAGAGAATAGACAAACAGGGGCCAGGTTTGGAACTACTACTATTTTCCAAATGTGACACACAGGCTGCCCATATCGCAATAATCCAACTCTTTCTGCTTCATGCCGACCACATTTCGACCATAACGGAATGCGGCGCACTGAAAGATACGAAATAGTTCAAATGGAGGTAGTTGGTGGCCAACCTCGGAATGTGTTCACCACCATTGGTAGCGCGTCTGTACTCGAGGTGAAGCAGGTTTGAGATTCAGTGTGCGACAACAACGTTACCAGAGATGAGGCGACGTAATCGTTGCCTCCGATTTGAAATGACAAACCGTACGATTAAGGTGCACATTGATGAGTATAGTTTATTCGGCTGCAGCTTGCGATTCACTCAGTTTGGCAAGTCGAAGCTCAATGGGACGGATTGAGGAACAAATTGTTGTACCGAGCGTGGATGGTCTTTCGCCCTCCTCGCGCGAGCTTCGAGGTTGTGACACGAGATACATCGAGACATGATCGGATCGCATTCCCCGAGGAGTGTCGGTAAAGCATTAGATGCCGTGAAGGAGTGAAGGAAAGAGCTGGCGTGTCTGTGTTGCTCTCAGAGTTGAAGCTAGCCAGCTGGGCAGCCTTGGAAGCGACACGTGAGCGGACTCCCTCGTCTCTGTCAGTTCCGAGCCCGCGTTCCGAGGTCACTCCGTAACACGCCATCATTCACGAAACATCCAACACAAAATAGATTACTACACTGCCTATTGCAAACTTAACGCAGCCGCTTTTGGAGACTGTACCGTACTGCCGTGGGATGGGTCCCACTAGCATCAACCCTTCAATACAACTGGACCCGTTTCCTTCCGACACTATCACATGAAAAGAGCATTCCTAGGTACCTACGTATCTGCGTACATGGGGAGTGCAGATGTCAGGTAAGCTGAACGTACAACGTCGTTCCAAATATCCGAGAGAATGTTCATCTCAGCTTTAGCAGCTGCAAACATTGCGTCTGCTACTCCCATGACAGCATCTCCTACATTCGCATAATGGAGCGATTGCGTGTGCTGAGGTCGCGGAATCGGTGTTAGGCATGCATGGCTTTGAGTTTTGACCTTTTGCGTGCTATAGATAGCCTGTATGGGGTTGTTTCTGTCGACGAGTTCTAAGTAAAGAAGTATATCGTGCGACCTATATCCCAATGGCGGTTCATATGCTGCGCAGCGGAGTCATGTCCGTACGGGTCGACCAAAGTCATGACGCGGCTTCAACGCGCTCGTCGCCCCTGCCGTGTGCCTGAAAAACCCTCATACACATACCCACAGTTTTGAAGGAAAACACTTCTTCCAGACTGTACCAATTCGAGCACACTCTCGGACGCCACGAAAGATTAGGAGAGGGAAGCGACAGGACATCGTGGCGACCAGGAGACAGTGGGGCATTGGTGATAGTGGCTGCGTCTCCAATACCACAACGGCCCCTCACGACCCTGCAGGACCCGACTCTTCATTCCATGCCCCACCGTCTAACGCGGAAGGTGGCCAGTTCCTGTCAAATGGCCGCTTCAGCCGAGCTAGATGCGATGATCTGATAAGATTAGATGTCATCGTGACCAGCAAGACCGGCTAGCGCCGCTTCCTAGCTGTCATGAGGGGCAGTTCGCGGGCAATTGGGGATGAGCTCTTTCCCAATAACATCTACCTCATGATCCTGCAACAGCACTACGAAAGCCACATGGCTCCATTAAAACAGCCACAAGCAAAGATTTGGGCGCGAAGAAGTTTCTTACCATGCTCGTGAACAGTCGGGCCTCTTCACAATGGAGTTCCCACGCTGACTGCTAGTGCCGCCAGCTAGAAGACGCCAGGAACGGCGCGAAACTGGATCATGCAACCACGACGCGCTTGCTCAACGAGGATGCTCTTCCTCGTACGGTTCCATCCACAAGGCGAGACCCTCAGGTTGGTCCCGCACGGAATTGAAGCTTCGGCGCACACTGCTCGTTTCGATGAGCCGGGAGCTCCATCCGCCACTGACAACCCGTGCCAAGACCTTGGCAATGCAGAGTTGGGGCACAGCCAAGACGAGCCAGCAATCAGCTCACAGCGAGATTGGATCTTATCTGATCATCTAGCACTTATCTGATCATTTAGCCGCGCCTAATGCTCTCTGGGCATACGAGATACCTGGACGGTGGGAGATGATCCCAAGCCACCGGGTGGGATACACATGGCAAATTTTTTAGACGCTGTAACTGCGCTGACATTCCCTGTCCGGTCTTCGGAGAGTGGGCCGAGGGTATACTTAAGTATGGCAGCGCTGCCTGTCTTACGATCGTCGCTCACCTGCATCCCAATTTCATACCCTGCCTTGCCCGGCACTTTTCCGGCATCCTTGTTTTGCCATGTCGAACCTGGCTGCGACTGACGCCGTGCGACCTGTAGAGGGCTTTGGTCGTCCCTCAAGAGATATCGACATGGAGAAGAATGGCGATCAAGCTTTCAATGCCCACGAGACTGGCAGCGATGGAGAGACCAAGTCTGTCGAATCGGAAACCTTCCAGAACGGTGTTCAACGGGTGCGCGCAATCACTGAGATCTGGAGCACGAAGACCTTGATTACGATGCTGGTCTTGTATGGTTCAATATCATTCAAACCGCGAAACGCAAAGACTGACCTGTCCGTCTAGCATTTACCTTATCGAATTCGTCGCTTTCCTGCAGAATGGCATTGACGCCGCGCTCAACCCCTTCATCACGTCGGCATTCGGTACACACGGTCTCCTGAACGTCGGAAGCGTAATGGCAACTGCGCTCGGTGGCTGCCTTCCTCTCGTCATTGCCAAGGTCATCGATATATTTGGTCGCGTGGAGGGTTTCTTCTTCATGCTGCTCGTCGTCGTCGCCGGTATGGCTATGAAAGCCGCATGCACCAACGTACAAACCTACATCGCCGGTCACGTCCTCTACTGGGCTGGTCACATTGGTGTTCTATTCGTTGCCGACATCATGGCCGCGGATTGCACCAGCCTGACGAACCGCATGATCATCTTTACCCTCAACGGAACTCCTCGTATCGCAAGCACTTTCGCCGCACCCGTGATCGCCGACATGTTCTACTACCAGAACAGCTGGCGATGGGCTTTCGGTGCATTCATTATCATCTTCGTCGGATGCTGCGCTCCCGCGTTGGTGCTCATGATGTTCATGTACCGCAAGGCTAGGAAGGCCGGTCTCGTCAAGAACGTAAAATCGGAGCGTAACTTCCTACAATCGCTGTGGTACTACGCCGTACAGTTTGACAGTAAGCTGCACACTCATCTTGAGATTATCTGTATAGCTACTAACGCATGACCTAGTCCTTGGCATCGTACTCATCATGTGCGCGTGGAGTCTCTTTGTTCTGCCTTTCAGTCTCGTCGCCTACGCGCCCCAGGGCTGGAACACCCCGTACATCATCGCCTGCATCGTCCTCGGACTCTGCCTCTTCCCCGTCTTCTACATCTGGGAAGCCAAATTTGCGCCCGTCCAATTCCTACCCTGGAAGTACCTCAAGAACGGTACCATCATCGGCTCCTGCCTGCTTTACTGCGTCATGTTCCTGTCCGTCTTCTGCTGGAATGGATACTTCTACTCCTACTTGCTTGTCGTACACAGGCAAAGCATTCCCCACGCTGGATATATCCTCAACGCTTTCTCGCTTACCTCGTCGACATTCAGTCCGCTCATCGCATGGTGGATCCACAAATCCGGTAACTTCAAGTGGACAGCCTACACCGGTGTACCCATCGTTCTCCTCGGTACTGCTCTCCTGATCCCCTTCCGAAACCCATCCACCAACCCCGGTGTTCTCGCCTTCACTCAAGTGCTCGTCGGTCTCGGTACGGCTTTCTTCGCCACCTGCGCCCAGCTCGCCGTCATGGTTCCCGTCACTCACCAAGAAATCGCCGTCGTCAACGCCGTTTGGGGTCTCTTTGGCAGCTTCGGTTCATCCATTGGATATGCCATCGCCGGTGGCATGTGGAACAACATCCTCCCTGGACAGTTGCTCATGCGTCTGCCCGAGGAGAGCAAGCCTGAATACAGGGCGATTTTCGGAAACATCACCTTGCAGCAATCGTTCCTCGATGGTACGCCAGAGCGCGATGCCGTTGTTGGTGCTTATGCCGATGTACAACGTAAGATGGTGATCACTGGTGCGTGCTTTGTGCCGTTGTGCTTGGCTAGCATCTACATCTGGAAGAACATCAACGTCAAGAAGCTTGAGGAGGAGAACGGCAAGCAGACTAAGGGTAACGTCTTCTAAACGGTACATCGTTTGTTGTTTGACATGCTCAGCGCGGTCTGCCGCAAGCAGCGTGTTCTCATTGGCAGGCTCATTGCTCTATATACCCACATTGCCATGGTGATGTAATATAATACTATCGTGTATGCGTTCTATCTTCCTCTCGCAACACTGTTCGTGTCTGCTGCTCTGCATGTGGTAAACGATGCCATTATTGTAGCTTTAGCTGCCGTGTGAGAACCAAGGAGCACGGAGCAAGGAGCAAAGGAGGAAGGCCTCCTCCTATGATAATTGATAGACAGCATCCTGACAAATGAGCGTGCGCAAGATGTTTAACTGAGTGCACATGCGCTGAAGCCGCAGCTCTCTTCCCTCCCTATTGACAACGTCAATACAATCGCCGTGGATGATCCCAATCCATGCAATCGAACCGATCAAATTCCTCAGGATCAAAGTCGTAATCATAAACATCCTTAGCACCAGGCTGGAAATTCGGATCTTGGCCCTCAAGATACGGTCCACGAGCATTCCACCAATCGCAAGGTATCTCGCACTTGCATACCGGGGGCCTGTACGAGTTGTTAGCAACGTCAACGCCATTTCGCGATGTGAGGTACTCACAGTCTTTGCCACGGCGTAGCCTGTATCCGTGCGATCGATCCGGCCTTGGAATCACTTAGTTTGTCTAGAGTACTGAGGGCAAAGTTAAACTCCCACATCATTCGTATCCGTCTCTTGACGTGGCCAGAGAACGTGACGCGGGGTATCTGTCTGATATCCGCCCACGCCAGTGTGAAGAACCAGTGGACGAAGACTTTTTGGCACGAGACTACTTTCGTACCCCTGTTTCCTGCGATATTAAGCCAAGGGTCCAATGACCTCCACGTATTACCAGGACCAATCCGTATAGGCGGACGGGTGGTGAAGTGGAGATGCAGATGGAATAACGTTGGTATCTCGCGCAGTTGGGCGATTGCGGGTGTCATCTCGTTGTCCAATTCGACAAAACCCTGATGGCGTTCGCACTTTAGGCCGAGGAAGCGGAAGTAGTCCGACGTGGAGAGATTGAGTTCGATACGACGCATAGCATGGTAGGGGATGAAGACATGTGGCCAAGTGGGGCATATGGAAGGGTGATGATACCCATTGAGCAATGCTGTCGTGCGCTCCCATGTGGCCTTTTTGACTTCATAGCAGATTTGCTGACAGGTGAGAGCAAGTGTGTTCGGTTGGATTTGATATTCGCTTTCGCCAACACTCACTTTCCCAAAGCGATGTATGTCTATGAAGCGGCGCTTGGGGCGCGACAATCTGACATGCTGGTTTCCGTCGGAATCGCCCTTGCTCAGCGATAAACATATGTAGGGGCCGATGACTTGATCGTATACGAGGTATCGGAGTTCTTCGGGAAGGTCGAGGAAGCGGAAAGCTCGGCCGTTGGACTTCCACCAGTCGGCCATTGTAAGAGGAGCGGGGTTGAGTGACTCAAGATCTTCGGCCATCCAAGTGAGAAACGGTATCCAACGGGGGTGTACATCAATCTCCAGAGCGATTTCATGAGTAAGTCTTGGAGGCTCTGCGGACTCTGACTCGTGGCGGTCGGCTTTTTTCCTGGAAGGGCCCCCCAGAGGGTGGTCTGTAAGGTCATGCTTGCTATATGAGGATATGTCCTGCTCTAATAGGTTCAAACATACGTTAACATTGGCCGTCTTTTTCCAGAATTCGAAGTCGGTGCGGTGCCGATGACGGATGCACGCTGCCACTGCGTGCTTTAGAGACTCTTTCTTTGAATCGTCAGGTTCATCTTCCAGATGAGAGGCAATTCCATAGCATCGAGTCAACCATTCTTGCAACGTGAGCCACTCGTCTTCTTGATTGATCTGCGGGTGTGGTGTTTGCTCCGCGAGCAGTGTAGACTTCAAAGACTGTCTCCGTACACCGAGGAGTATATCCTCTGCCCCAGGTTGGATGAGTCGTATGGTGGTCGATGATGACGTGGAAGCTGTTGAGCGCTCGACTCGCAGTCCTATCGAGTTCAACCTGAACCTCAGACTCTTTTGTTGCTGGTCCTTGATGTACGTCTCAATCTCGGTAATAGTGTCGGTCTAGACCTGCTGTCAGCATAGCCACTTTTACGATGATCCTCAAGCTAGCGTACGATCAGAGTGCGCAAAGTTCTTCGTTCCTTCATCGCAGCGATCTGCGTGGGTCTGGACTTGGGCGGAGGTTTAGGAGCCATTGCGGCTTTGCTCGGTGGATTGTACGGGTATTGGTGTACTTGTCGAGAAGCTGGTACCGAAAGTAAAGCAGGTGGGGGCCGTGCTCCGCAAACGAGTGTACCAATGGGTGTCAGTAAATTGTTAGTTTTGCATATCCGACGAAATAAAGACAGACATGGGGCCAGTGCGACCGTGCACGGGGTACCGAGGGAGATGAAAGCTCGTAATTAAATGTTGTTGCGGCGCGGTTGAAAATGAATACGCCAGTATTTCATTGTGTGGTTGTTTGGGTATCGAAAACGTGGTAGCGCAAACGAGGCGGGACTGAGTGCCCAAACCTCAGTGTCGTCCAGTTTGCTGCTTCTTGGTTGATAGCAAGCGGCCTCGAGATTCCTGAGGAAATACCATTAATTTCCTCTTCAGTCTTCAGGCTCGGTCTCGCTATCAGGCGCAGGAGAGAGCGACGAACCCGAGCCAAAAGACAGCAGTGCGGATTCCTTCACTCTCGTCGACTGCGGAGTTTTACCGTGAGCCATCTCCAACACCTCAAGCAATCCCAAAAGCCTGTCCGAACTTTCCTGCAGCAGCTTTTTTGCTTGCTCTTCTTCCTCGGCGTTACCTCTCTTGCCTTTACCAGTGCCATATACACTACGTCGCGCTTGAATACCAGCCTCCATAGCTTTGCGAAGAGCCTGGTTAGGAGCGAGAGCATTGTTCTTCATCATGTGCATGAACAACTGTTCCAGTATGAGTGAGATCTTGGTGTTTGCTGCAAAGCTTTGCGTTGTTCCTTTCAGTGGAAGAAGAGTCTTTTCGAAATCCTGTTGAATAGGGTCTCGGAGAAAGAAGCTCGGTGGCTTGCTGGCTATCATACCATGTAGAAGGTTCGCGGTGAAGGCGACTCGAATGTCGTCGGGTAGCTTCATCGTAGACAAAAGCACCTGAAAGGTCATAGTCGGGACCTGACTGAACTCTTCCAAGATGTTGTCGCAGAGGTCATATATCCGGGTGAAGAGTTCCGGTAGCTCTACGGCCACTTCGGCGAGCTGTTTGTTGTTAGTTGTCGTCGACTCCGACCAAAAAGGTACCTACGAGTGCTATGAGACGCTGCCGCAGCTCGATCGCGTCCTGTCCGCCAAGGCGCTCTATGGCGTCGTGTACGTTCCTAATCCCTTTGTCGCTAGTCTCCGAAGACGTGTCGTCGCCACTCTCATCCCCGCCGTCGTCCGATGCGTCCTGCATATCTTCGTCGCTACCATAATCCGCCAACTCCCCAGTCTCGAAGTCAACCTCACCCACTGGCTGGTCTTCATTTCTTTTACGCCGCGGCTCTGCTGTCTCTCTCTCCCAGACTTCCGGGTAGTCTTTGAGCGATTCGGGTGTCGCTGTTGCAAGTACAGCTCTGATGATGCGGCGCCTCTTTGCGCGGTTCATTGTTGTCTCGTCGCCGGCTATGTAGTGCCAGAGGAGACTCTGCTGGAGGGTTGTCTCGTCGCTCGCTCCCTCTTGGTTGCTTTGCTTGACGCAGACATCCCAATCGGCTTCGAGGAAGTCGAGCATGACCCTCAGCCACAATTTCCACCGACTCCACCGTTTCTTGTGCTTTATCGCGCAATTGAACGCCCATCCCACAGCATGCCAGAAGTCGTCTGCGCGATACCACAGGCTCTTCTCGTTGGCAGCCTCGCCCGCTATTCGCTTGATGTCGCTGCTCAGCTGGGGTGACAGACTTGCACTCGCTCTATAGCTGGGAGCGCTCCTCCGGTTGCGTTCTCTTGGGAACATGAAGGCTTTCCTTATCGTTGGGTATGCGGGGTCGTCTATCGTCGTGTGCACGCATTGTAGATATCGCAGCGCAGCATTTGAGCCCTTGGCTGCATCTCGCGATTGCGCTTTGGTGGTGAATCTGGGGTCGGCGACCATGGAAGAGGCGAAGGCGATGTATGCCGGCGGTGCGAGAAAGCCTATGTTTGGCTGCGCAGGTCTCGATATGCTTGTGCCGGCGGCGAGGAGGCTATAGAGGAAGTCATAGCCGCTGGCATCTGAGTCAGTGTAAGCTTGATAATTCGCAACAGATGGTGTCGCATACATTGACCGCCCTCGAGGTAGGCTTTGGCATGGTTGGTGAGCTCGTAAGACGCTTGCTTGGTAGGCCGGCGTTGCTTGTGCCGTGGTCGCGCGCTCACAGCTTCGAGTGCAGCGGATCGCGCATGTCCATTGGTAGGTGCGGAAGAGTTCGACGTCTTGGAGCCAGAAGCTGGTGTTGCGAGTTTCGCCATGGACGCGATAGTTGTGCTGAGGTGCTAGTGTGGGGGAGTTGCTGCAAGGTCAGACGCGCCCGCGTCTAAGCGCGCTTTCACGTGGCAGGCGATGGCATCACTACATGGCCTCAGCGTCCGTCTGAAGCTGCGAACGACGAAGACTTAGGCTTCACAACACATCTCAACATGTACCAAAAAAGAGTGCAGACTACTACAGTTGAACGGAATGTAACATGTAGTCAGCCTATGAGGTGGGCAAAAAGAGAAAGACATAAAGAAGGGCAAAAAGATCGTTTTCTTCCGGTAACGTCAACGTACATCTCAAGCTGCGTAGACTGAAGCTTTGCGACAAATGTGAACATACGACGAAAGCTGCAGGTTACTCAGATTGATATAGCATCTGACCACCTTGAGTTTTGCGACGCCGGCAAAAAGAAGATGTTGGCAAAAAGAATGCAACGGCAAAAAGATCGTTTTCTTCCGGTACCGGGAATCGAACCCGGCTCTCGTCGGAAGCTGACACAATTGACTCATGAAAGCGACGGATGCTAGCCGATACACCATACCGGACTTTGATGAAACATTGACAAAAATGATAATTTATATTGAGGGATGGAGCTACCAGAGCAGTCACAAGGCACGAACGCCAGCGGGGCTATGTGCCCACTCACAGACAGGTCCTGGGCATACGCTAGATGCACTAGCAAGCTCAGGGTCTAGTGTCCTAGAGATAGGTCTACAGACACTGTCGCAGGCTGCCATACAGCCAGTCATCATGCAGCAAGAGACATTTGAATCAAACAGTCCTTTAAGTGGAGTTCCGACAATGGCACATAACACGAGCAATATATTGCGCAGCCTTCTTTCAGCCGACTTGAAACGAAGATCATTGAAGTGGCGTTCGCCGGAGGCTCGGTGCTTGCAGGTTTCGTCGGAGGGCTCGGCAAACTCCAGCGTTCCGCCCGCATTTGAGAATCATCACCACTTGCCCTCGACCAAGAATAACACACCTTTTTACCATTGATCAACATCTTTCGTATCGCATTGCATGTTCAAAGGTGAAGGTGTATATTGGATTAGGGAACATGCACTTACCTTACGTCCTTCATTACACTTGCTCTATCTAGTTCGCAAGAAGTTGAGCGAGCAGTGCCTCTAAGGTGGTGCCGCCATGACTTACTTCGAAGAAAGCGCATTAGCCAATCTTACGAGGCCGGACGCAATACTCTTACGAGTTTCGCGACTTAGCATGTCGTTTGAAGCGACTGCGGAAGGATCATGAGGGAGCAGGTGGGCTGTCCAACAAGAATGGGGCGCGCGCCTGCTGGATTCTGTGCCCGCCCAAGTGAGGGAAGCCGCGTCCTGCTCCAACAGGATACGCCCCCAACGCGCCTGCTTGCTAGAAAGATGTCGTCACATCAACAGCATAACGGTGAGTGCGGTCGTACTCAAGCTTCGTCCTTCGCATCTTCGTCCTACAGTCCACGAGTAAGTCTCGATTCGAGCGCCGAGGTATGTCGACCGCCAGCGACCGTAAGAGACAGGCTACACTGTCTTTCAGTGGACAAGGTGTACGGCTGGCAGAAGACCCACAGCCAAAAAGGTGAGATGCGCTTTCCTATGATCGTTACCGATAACCGCTAACTATCAGTAGGAAGCGAGTACCAAAAGCCAAGGACACGAGGCCAACAAAGCAAGCAGCCTTTGCCTGGGGTCGATCATCACAGACTCTGCCACTTGAGGATGCAGGCGTCGACGGCAAGCGGGCAGCCGCCAGCGACAACACTATGGCCAACGAGGCAGCAGCCATCATCGACGACGCGAGTAAGACCAGCGAGTCAGCCTTCGCCTGGGATCGAGCATCAACGACTATGCCACTCCAGCATGCAGCCGTCGACAGCAAGCGGGCAGCCGCCAGTGACAACACAATGGCCAACGAGGCAGGAGCCATCATCGACGTCGCGAGCACGACCCAGCATTTAGACGTATGGGTAGACGAGGATGACCGAGTCATGTTGGTGCAAGACGTCACCCGGGCAGATAACGTAAAGGACACCTGGGCTGGTGGAGAGCATGGCGCTATCTTGCTCGATGACGGCGATTATCTCGACACGAACGACATGACTCCAGATGAAATAGCTGCATGGGCGACGCACATGGATACTGAGAACACCGCATGCATCAACGTTCCTTCGGAAGCCAGACTCGCTGCAGTGCGGGCAGAAGTGCTGCAAGCTCTAGCCATGATGACCTGCGGGGCGCGGGAGTTCCTAGAAGAGACTGAGTATGGCCTGGAGTACGGACAGGATACCTTCAACATGCCCGGCTTATTCCAATCATTCAAGAAGGAAGAGGCGAGGCGAAGCGGCATGGTAGAATCCCATATCGTCTCACCGTCAGGATATGCGACGTCCCTGTTGCATCTGCAGCTGCACTACCCAACGTTCACGACAAAGCATCTCAACGACGGTCAGACGCTAGACGCGACCAACTGTTGCATCCGAATCCTCATCGAGAAGGGCTTCGTGGCGAGCAACACCTATTGGTTTGAAGCGTACTTCCGCCGTCTGAGCGCGGCGTCCGTACGTCACCTCGCGAATGTTGCCGACGGGTGGAAAGAGGAGGTGAAACAACTGCATGACGAATTTGCCTACAGATGTCAGTCGCTGTCGAAGAAGGCCCTACTAGTATTTGGCGCCTTTAGCAGAAAGCGCTTCCATGAGCGACACAACGTGGAGAATATCACAGTTCGACTATCATGCGGCAGCACGACGCTCATGGGCATAGTGCGCAACAACGCCCAAAAGATTCTGTTCGTCGTCGTGTACGCCTGGCATCCGGAATATCTACTAAGGAACCGAACCACGGCAGTCGGTCGACAGTACGACGCAGCTTTGAACATTGCTGCGGCATTGAGCGGCGTAGACACCAAAGCAGGGTACTTCGAAGCCCGAGCAGCGAGAACGCATGAGAAGAGCCGAAGAAGCCCAACCCAGAGCAAGTCGACAATCTCTCAGCCCCCTCCATCCCTAGCTCTCGTGACCGCCACAGAAAGAGAAAGAGAGAGGAAGAACAGAGCCAACGAAGCCGAGGCGCTCAAGAAAGAGCCCACTCAAAAGACACTGCGATATCGGAGAACTGAGAATCACACCAGAGACGTGCCCCTTCACATCTACAGACTGAGCGGCCTGGCGATTATCTTGACTGCAAGATTAGATGACGCCTTTCGGCAACGTGGATACAAACAGTGTTATTCCGTTTTCTGCACTCTAAAACAGTTGCCAGCTGTATACAACGGGTTATTACGAGTGCACCGAACGATGCCAGGAACGTGGAGTACCTCCTGAGTACCGCCTTGGTACCACGGCAGTACAGTGTTAGTCCCTTGTAGACTGCACCTGGAGGGGAACTATGATGCTATCATATACATAATTAGCTACCGATTATCTGAAACATTGGCCTACACAACTCACTTGGGTCTCAACCCCACTCAGTACAATGTCTTGGTCATAACGAAAGACACATGTCTGACCCGGAGCAACATGTCAGGCAGAGCATACATCTTCATCTCTATAAGGGGGCAATCAGAATGTCAAGATTGGAGCAATCATCAGCCAAACCGCCCAGCACCCAAGAAGAAAGTACCCTCGCCATCGCATCCCAGCACCCCAATACCCGCACCAATGTCTCAACCAACCACACTGCCTATCCGACCAAAAGCCACATCGAGAGCCCTCCCACCGCTAACCCCCTCCACACTCCTCCAACACTTCCCCACCCTCCCCGTATGGGCCGCCCAAGCATATCAAGAAATCCACCACGCAGTCCACATCTTCAAGACCCTCCAAGGCGCCACCAGAAACACGCCAATCCGACTCTCACCCGAAGCCCGCGCACTGCTTAACATCGCCGTCCTGCCTATGCCAGGCTACAAATACGGCAACAACAGAGGGCAGATGCTGGATCGTGATGTGAGTATACGAGAGTTATTTGAGGACGAGAAGAGTTTTGAGTGCGGAAAAGAGCAGGTGGTGTTGGTGAGATTAGGGAGGGAGTGCGAGAGGTTGTGGATGGGGAGATGGGATGAAGATGGGATTGAGGGTTGGACGGGGGATGTTGTTTTGAATCGATAGGCTGGGATGGTGTCTCGGGTAGCATCCGTCGCTTTCATGATTGATGCAGTAGATGGTGATGCAAGAAATGATATGCACATGTATTGCTTGCCGCTGCTTCACTGTCGAATGCACGTTCTTTTGAGGTCGCGCGAAACTTCCTGCGATACGCCAAAGTCAAGTCATACGGCGGTCGTTCGTAGAGGAAAGCGCCAGATTTGGTCTTTCAGAGTATTCAAGCTCGATCTGATAAGATGAGCATGAACAAGTGCCTGATTACTCACGCGACGAGCAGTGTTGGCAGGAGCTACCCCTCATGCATCCCTGTCGCTTCCCGTAGTCGCTCCCTTTTCGGGCAAGCCTGGGCGCAATGACTCCACGTCCACGAACACTTGGTGCTGAGCTCTTCAGGTAGTAATTAACTCACCGTGAGATAATCTAAGTCCCCAAGATACAACTGCCGCAATGGCCACGTCACAGCAAAGCCTAGACCATCTAATCCTCTTCGTCCCCGCCAACCCAACAACGCAACTGCCCGAAGTCCCTCCATTCTTCTCGGACAACTTCACACTTACCCCAGGAGGCTTCCATGCTGACGGCGCGACATCGAATGTCTTGATTCTTCTCGCAGATGGGTGCTACATCGAACTCATCTCCTTCGTCAACCATTCCCTCGCGCCTGAGCATTGGTGGGGTCCAGACGCCAACTTCGTAGGCTGGAAAGACTGGTGCCTGACCAACTCGCTTTCGCCCGAGAAGAACTACGAGGCGGTGATAGAAAGTCACTCAAAACCGATCAAGGGTGGGAGAAAGAGGGCTGATGGAGTCGATGTAGCTTGGGCTGTCACCTTCCCCAAGGGAGAGAAGGGTGGACAGAGTGTTAGGGGCAGGGTGCCATTCTTCTGCCACGATATCACCCCTCGGGGTGTCCGCGTTCCAATCGACGATTCGAAGACGACTCATCAATGCGGCGCGATTGGGGTCAGCCGACTTACTATCATCGTGCGCGACCAGGCCCTGCTAGATGAGACTAGAAAAATCTACGACGCCGTCATCGGTAGTGCTGGTGAGAAGGTTGATGGAGGATATGAATTCAAGCTCAGGCGCGTGCATGAAGTGGAGACTCGTGACACCGGTGCAAAGATTATACTGCGCTTGCCAAAGGACGAGGAGGAGCAGGGACGCGTTAAAGAAAGGGGATTCTGGTATGGCGACGTAGTTCTAACAACAGACGCGAAGGCCGGAAAGTTTGGAGGCTCCGCGGAGAGGCTGGATAGTGGAGAAAGAGGTGGCGGGGTTGGCGGGGTGTGGCTCGAGCATGCCTGAGCGGACGGCGGTGGATGTAAGAGTGGAATATCAAGGGATCAGTGGGACCGAGATTGAGGCTGAACGATAATTTGGCGTATTTCGTACCGCCTGCCTGCGAAAATGCATGTGCCGGATGGAAAAACCCGCCGGAAGTTGACAACCTTGGAATTGGTCTGGGGTGGCGACCTGTGCTATAGCAAGGGATGCACCTGCAGGCCGGCGAAATGAAACCATGCTTGCACACACCCGTGGTACTACTGTGCTGCGTTGGCACAAAGCGCAGATCAAAGTGGTTATATCGCGCAGAAGCGCCATGGGCTTGTTCCTAGCCATGCAAGACTATATTCGCATTCGCAGTCGGGAGGATTTATGGATGTGTAAAGCTAAAGGTTGCATGTGCCCTAGTGGCGCTAGGCCGCAACCGGGCAACCGAGGGGAAACCCAAATTTGGCAGCTGCGATGATTGGCGGGTGCTGTCCGGTGGTTTGAGATGACTTGATCCACAAAAGATCGGGTTTTATCCTTAGGTAGGAGTATGGTGATGCGCATGTTTGTTCAAGACATGGCTTACTAACAAGGTGCAGTCTAGGAGATACACCATATGCCGTCCGGTCACGATAAGGTTATACAGCATAGTGCATGACTCGGGTTATTTGTGCGATGGCACTGCAGAGGTACATAGAAGGACGACGAGGACGACAGGACGGCGATCTGGAGGCGTTGATACGGCAAAAGAAAACACGCCAGCGCCCCAATCTTGGGTTCCTCGCTTACAAGCAGCGAGATGTCTAGAGCGAGAGCAGTAATTCTTCTCGGCGGAACTCGAATCGAAATTTTGAGGATGGCGGGGCTAGCTCGGACCACTGATAGCGGGCACGTGTCCCAAGGTTTGCTTTTGTGCTAAGGTGACAAAGTGAAGTGCCGGCAGGATCGCATTCGAGGCAAATTCCATGTCGACCTGTCTGGTCGCGCATGGGAAATTGCTGTGATGCAGTGTGCGAGTGGCCAGCGACGGCGGGATGCCGCTGAACGGCGGAGGGGACGACCGGCAGAGGGGCCCGAGGGCTAGCGCCTGCGGATCTGGACCGACGTCTGCCCAGCTGGAGTCAACGGCGACGCCGTCTACTTCTCTGCCCGCGCCCGTGGTCGAGGAAGTCACTATATGGGGCGCGGCGGAACCTTCGTCTCGACACTCGCCCCGTGGCGCGCCCCTGCAATGGCGGCGCACGCAGCAGAACCAGGGCAAATGCGCGGGCACGATGAGTATTGGCCATGCGGACTTGTGCACCGAAGCCAATCACTACGAGGTCGCTCCCGCCAAGGCGCAGCGTTCATCCCCAATCTTTGATTCCCATGACGCAGGCGGTTATTTTCATAAACACGATGCGAGATGCGCTGAGATGACTCTTGTTCCCTTACCACGCAGCGTGAGTTTTCGCGAGCGGCCCGATGCAAGACGACAGGCGACCTGGACCCCCTCCGGCTGGTCACCCCTCGGCCGGTCCCTACGGGTCGCAGTTCAAGGTCGCCATTCCACGCTTACCACCCCGACGCGCCCCGCCACCCACCACGCCCAAGTCGCGCCAGAGGGACAGAGTCCAGCGGGCATGTCGCAACTGTCACAAGCGGAGTGCGTTGCCATTGTCTTTTCCAACATCATTCACTGTCTCACGACTATCTAACACACGCTAGAGATCAAGTGTAGCGGCGGCCTCCCCCGCTGCAACTACTGCGACAAGACCGACAAGACATGTGTATACGAGCGCCCCAGGAAAGACCGTCTGGCGACGTCAGTTGAACGACCTGATTCCGAGTTCTGAAATTGACTCCCCCAGTGCCAAAGACCGCAACCATGCCCTCGTCTCCGTCCTCAAAGACCTCAGCTTGCGCGTCAGCGACGATGACCGACGTCGAATTGAAGATGCCCTCCAGGATGTGAGTACAGGACCTGCCAGCCGGATGCCACTGCTCAAACTAATACCGCCAAGTCAGATGACGAGGTCGGGTCGCCCGTCTCCATATCCTCTTCTTCGCGAGCATCCGCCCCTCATCCATTCTCTCAGCACTCGCGCATGCACCCCTTTGCCCCGTCCTCTAGCTATGTGCCGCTCGGAGCAGAAACCTCGCCTACGTCGGATCAGTCGCCCCTTCCTCGCATGGACGGTATTGTCCCGGAAGACTCTGGCGACGAAGACGGTGGCGAACTGCCCAATGTAGTCGAAGCAGGCTTCTTGGGCCAGATCTCCGAAGTACAGTGGCTACAGACGCTCAGGAGCAGAGTACAAGCTCTCGATACCGTTCTGCTTGGCCCACCTGACACCAATGCGCCACTCTCTCAGCCACCCTCGCCTACTTTCACTGCGTCACCCACCTCCCTTGCCACGACCCCGCTCGAACACATCGCTCTCACCAACTACTATCTCGATGACGAAGGCATCAAACTCACAGACTGTGGGAATCCCTTTGAGCTGCCACCAGAACATACTGCAGTACTGCTATTCCAGTGCTTCACCCAGACCATCCAAGGCTCCTTTCCCATCCTCCCCCCAACTATAGAGCATCAGCTGCAACAGTACTACACCTTGGTTCGGAACGGGCAGGCGATACATTGCCCGGAGAAATGGTTTGCGTTGGTCAACCTTGTTTTTGCAATAGGCGCCAAGTTTTCACATCTCATCCAGGCTGAATGGCGAGCCGACGAGCTGGATCACATCGTCTACTTATCGCGTGCCTTTCAATTGCTTAGCATGAATGACACAATCGTTGTCCTAACGACTCCGGATCTGCTCACAACGCAGGCAAGTCTGAGCTGCTGATTTTGTTTGACTATGCTAAACGTTTCAGGCTGCTGGACTCTTTGCGATTTATTACATGACTGCTGGCCATGTTAATCGGTACGTATGCGGAACATCTCTGCTCGTGATTACCTAGTTTATCCACTCTTCGTCTCTTGCTTAAATTGATGTGCTTGCATGCTAATATTGTGTCAGGGCTTGGGTAATGGTAGGCATGGCGATGCGATCGGCCTTCTCGCTCGGCCTTCACGTGCAACAAGATGATCAATCTGTCTCGGCCGCCCGAAGGCAGAGCATGGTCTGCACCTGGTGGAGTCTACATGCACTCGAGAGCATGCTGAGTTCGATTACGGGCCGGCCCAGCATTATACCCAACGAAGACATCACAACTCCGCTGCCCAGTGCCGTGAATAGCGATCAGACCCCAAGCGTACCTGTGTCCAACCTCGACTTTCTCGATGCCGATATCCACCTGAATCTCCTGACCCAGCAAATCATCTCCAACCTCTACACACAACGTAGATCAGCGCCATCATGGGACTACGTCCAGCAAATGACCATATCTCTATGCGAACACCTTGACAAGTGGGCATTTGAATACATTCCCCAAGTTCATTCAGAAGATAGGAACTCAGCTCGCATGCAACAACGCGACGTCTTCTTGATCAAACTTCAGTACTACCGACTGAAGGTTCTGACGACTCGTCCCTCACTCCGCCGTATTGAACGCTGCTTCCAAGCCGGAACCGATGACTTCAATTCGCTCGATCAGTCTGTGGCAGAGTCGTGCGTACAAGCGGCACGGGATGTCGCATCGCTTCTGGCGAACGAGCCTAATGTCAGGAGTCTATATGAAAAAGGGCCCTGGTGGACAATTGTCCACAACAGTATGTCGACACCTCAAATCCCCATATCACCTACTGACCAATTCATTACAGTCATGCAATCACTCGCCGTTCTCATGATAGCCATATCCTGCCCCGATCACTTCCGCGACACACTCCAAGCGTCTGTGCACAGCACACGGCAACTCGTCACCTCACTCCGCAGCATGTGCGACACAAACATGTTAGCGTCCCGCGCCTACCAGGTCGTATATTCGATAGTCAAGACGTCAAAACCGTACGTCTGGGCTGATATCGCGGACGCCTTCCCAGACGAGGTCATCATGGTGCTGCAACAACCAGCACCAGCAAAGGTCGATCCACAGTATCTGCCGTGGCCGGACAACGACCAACCAGCTGAAGCCTTGTTCCGTTATGAAATGGACAACTTCGGCAACTACCACTTCCACATGTTATGAGGACGGGGGATTACCTTTCGCGGCAAAACTACTGCAGCACCGACTGCACACACAATGATGCGATTGGTGGTGGACCCAGGATACTACATATCTGGCCCTTGCAGCATCGGTATCCAATTCGACGCTAGCGGCCGCTTTATCACAACCCACTCTCAAAAGGATCCTCACCTCGTCATCAGCGGGGTCAAAAGTCGCAATCAGGATAAGTTCGCATTCTAGAACACCGCCGGCTAAAAAACGGACAATTGGAGGACCAAACGGCCACGTTGTATGTGTCCGCCGAATGGGGCCCAACACTCGTCGCTACCGCAACATGACTTATGCGTGTTATACCCAAATACTATCTCGAACAGCGATGCAAGATGGAGGAAAGATGTTGTATCATAGCATCAGCATTCGCTTGTGCGTGTCATATTATCGGCCCGCATCGCATCGACGCGTTCGCGGGGTTAGGAAGAGGTGTACTACGCAAGTACATAGTATACCGTCCACGGAACAGTAATAGCAGGATAGTAATAAAAAAGCAATATTGGTTCATGACCAATGCATCTCCTTTGATGCAACAGCGGGGAACTTTCATATGAAGGCATACTGACAATGTCCATGTGACAGTTGTTTGATGCTGTAGGGATGCACTAGTAGGAGACTACCTAGGTAAGCCCCTATAGCCTAGACCCGTTTTGTTACTTCAGTCTTGCTAAAATCCAACAGGGCAAATCCAGCACAGGACCTCAAGACAGTCTGGCAGGTCTCAAGCCAGCTCCTCCCGCAGCATCTCCCATCTTCTCTGTATCAATCTCTCCAATGACGCTCTTCAGCAACTCGGGCACAATCTGCGCCGCATCGCCTTGGAAGAACCAGTCCCCATCGTACAGTCCTCCCGCAGGAACATCATTGGCGTCCATGTTGATGATGGCAACCCTCGCCCCCTTGCTGCGCGCAAGATCCACATACCCGGCTGCAGGATATACCTTCGCACTCGTCCCAATGACCATGATGAGATCGATATCCTCTTCGTCCTCGATAAACGCATCGACATCCTCCATAACCTTCTTAGGCAGTATTTCGCCAAACCAGACTACACCGGGACGTAGCAGGCCGTTTTTGCATTCGGGGCAATGGGGGAGGTGCTTGTAGTCGAGTTCTGGGATTTCGACATTGATGTCTGAGATGTCTAGTTCGCGGGCGGCAAGGGCAGCGTTTGTGGTTGGGTCGGATTCGTCGGTGGGTATGGCGAGAGCAGGGACGATGGGGTCGGTGTAGTTGTTCCGCTCCGAGTAGTTGCAGAAGAAGTCTGAGCACTTGAGGTCGAAGAGGGAGCCGTGCAGGAGTTTGAGCTGTTCGGCGGGGTGTTGAGCGCGCGGTGATAGGCCTAGGAGTGGCAGTGTTAGCTATGCGACTGCTGGGGTTTGAGGCCGAGACTCACCATCGACGTTCTGGCTCAGCGTGATAAATTGCTCCTTCTTCTTCGCCAGTTCGGCTAGGGCGTAGTGCGCGGGATTGGGCTTGGCTTTGAGGGCCATGTGCCGTCGGTAGCTGTAGAATTGCCACACGAGTCCTGGATCGCGCTCAAAGGCCTGGGGAGTTGCTAGTGAGGTCGCGTCATGCGTCCTCCACATACCCCCAGCACCTCGGAAAGTCGGTAGTCCAGAAGATGCCGATAGCCCCGCACCGAGAAGCGCGAGAATACGCGTCGACTTGGTCAGGTGTTGCTGGAAGCTCTCGAGGTCCTTGGGCGGAACGACGCTGGGTTGGGCGGCCGGCGAGGCCATTCTGCGGATGATGTTGGGCAGCGTCAGGGTGGAAGTGGTCTTCTTCGCAGACTGGGCGTGCGAAGAGGAGGAAGATAAGAGGCCGGGCGTGTCATGTGTGCGTTGTCTGTCCGACAGGCAGAAACGGGGGCCTGGAGGTGTTTGCGGGGAGGGGGGAAGCTGCGGCGGTAGTGGCACCTGCAAGGTACGTCAGGCTCCCCCACCAGCGGCCTAGCGCCCACCAGGCCGGGAAACCGATGCCTCTTCCGCCGAAGCTTGATTCGCCCGAGCCAACCTCTCCGCCAACGACCATGACTTTTGCCCTGAGATGGCTGCGACCGGCTGCACGCGTGCCATACCGGTGCGATGCTGCGAGACGCGTCGGGCGGGTGCAGCCCAGAGTCGGCGGCACGAGGGCGTATGCGGCCGCTGCTGTGCCCGCCGCTGAACTCCGTTTTGGCCAACCGCTCCATGAGACGCATCCACACCTACTCAAGGCTGGGGAAGGTGATGACCGCCCAAGCAACGTCTTACCCTCTACTAACATGCTGCAGTCACCCCCGGTATCACGGCCCTCGAGTACCACCAACGCCGCGCCGCCCTCGCCAAAGAACTGCCCCCAAACTCGACCGCCATCCTCGCCGCAAACGACCTGAAATATGCGTCCGGCGCCGTCTTCTACAAGTTCCACCAGGACCCAGACTTCCTGTACCTGACAGGGTTCAGAGAACAGGATGCGCTGGCGGTAATAGAGAAACACGGGGATGGAGAACACACATTCCACCTGTACGTCCGGCCCAAGGACCCCAAGGTGGAAGCCTGGGAGGGCCCACGATCAGGCGTTGAGGCCGCCGAAGACGTCTTCAACGCCGACGTGAGCGGCAGTATTGACGACCTACCCCGTCTGCTTCCCGACATAGTCAACCGCGCGCAAGCCATATACACCGACCTCCCCCAATCCCGCGTGTCCAAGAACCTACTATCACGGTACCTCGCCGGCGCAGAGCCCTCACGCACAGGCGGTATCTTCAATGTCTTCCGCGACGCACCCGCAAGCGTGCGACCCCTCCGCCCTCTCGTCAACGAACTCCGCCTCATCAAGTCCGAAGCCGAGATCACAAACATGCGCCGTGCAGGCCAGCACTCAGGCCGTGCCATCACAGACGCAATGCGACAGTCCTTCACTACGGAGAAAGACCTGGATTCCTTCCTCGACTACTGGTTCAAGCAAGACAACTGCGACGGCCCGGCATACGTCCCTGTCGTAGCCGGCGGCATCAACGCAAACACCATCCACTACGTCTCCAACGACATGCTGCTCAACCCCAAAGAACTCGTCCTGGTTGACGCAGGCGCCCAGTACGGCGGCTACGTCACGGACATAACGCGCACATGGCCTGTATCCGGCAAATTCAGCCCCGCCCAACGCGATCTCTACACCCTCCTGCTCGCAGTACAAAGATCTTGCATCTCGCTCTGCCGCACAGATTCAAACTTCACTCTCGACAAACTACACCATACAGCTTCCAGTTCTCTAGCTGCCGGTCTGAAGGACCTCGGCTTCGACATGGATGCCGATGCTATCCAAACGCTCTTTCCACATCACGTGGGCCACTACGTTGGTCTCGATGTGCACGACTCCCCTGGTCTGAGCCGTAGTAGGAAATTTGAGAAGGGCATGTGTGTTACCGTGGAACCCGGTATCTATGTCCCCAATGAAGAGCGGTGGCCCAAATGGGCGCGCGGCATAGGCATGAGGATTGAAGATAGCGTTTGTGTGGATGACGAGAGTCCGTATGTCCTCACTACCGAGGCGGTCAAGGAAGTCGTCGATATAGAGGCGTTGAGGGGGACGGAGACGAAGTTGTAAATGGGAATCGTGATATCCGCTTTGATCCTTTTGTGATGAAACATCCTTGGTATTGCTTGGTGACCATAAGGGGAAGTGAGGCTTACACAAGTACGAAGTCGTCTGCACTCCCTTCATCCCAAGTTACTTCCTCGCCGCGCATAGCGCCTTCAAAGTAGCACTGGCCCATCAAGCGATAATAACCATTTGCAAGACGACGAAGCACAAGAGGTACTTTCGAGCCGTGGATGATGCATATCACATCCCCCTCGTTGACTGTATCATGTGCGAGACCAAGCCTCCAGCCGCGGCCCACTACCAATTGTCGTCCCCAGGCAATCCGAGCGTGATCGCGGAGTTGAGTCGCCTTCGTCTTCCAAGACTTGGTAGGTTTCGATGGCTGAGTATCCTGGAGTGCAGCAAGTGCATGCAGGTAATCGTATGTTTGTAGCAAAACTTGTGTGTCGGCGGTAGACAGCCCGTCCCGGCTGTAGTCCGATGTTGTTCGGTTGAATACGAATGAGCCGTCTGCTAAACACGTTCTTAATATGTGCTCTCTTGATGGTATAGTGCGTCCTTCGGGCCAAATTTCTCGGAGAACATCTACCAAGCGCGCGATGTTGAGATAGGACTGTACGGGCCACTGATGGCGGCTTGTTGCTGGTTCTCTGTCGATCTGGGTGAAGGGTAGTGTATGCGTAACCTCACTGATTATCTTCCCTCTGAAAACCAAACAAGATGAAGGGATACCATCTCGTTTCTCCGGCTTATGCCGCATCCCGCGCGCGGCGTCGAAGTACGTATGATATTTCGGAAACACAAACGCCTCAGCTTTCAACCGTCGCGACCAGTCTGGAACCCAGGACGGGAGATCCGACCATCGCGTTTCATCGTCGTCCCGCCGATGCAGTACGCCCAAGAGATCCAGGCTTTCCGATGCTTCGACGATGGATCTAGTGACCATGACAGGAACCTCGTTCCAATCAATATGGTAATCCGGCAAGATACGCCTATGCGATTCATTCTGCAGTCCAAGGAACGCATAGATCACATCATGCTTATTCGTAGTCCTACACCTCGGCGCAAACAGCGAGAGAGAGTGGTAGAAAGACGTTTTTTCTTCCCCACCGCTGCTTTCACCTGCGACGCCCCGCCGTTGGTCTCGCAGGCGCATGATCTCGCTTAGTACAAGGTATCCCTGTAACTGTCGTAAACCGACGTAGTCTGCGGATGAGATGCGGTCTTCAGAACTTCTGAAGCGCCGGATAACGGCCCAGAGCTCATCGATGGGAAAGGGGGAGGAGGCGAGGAAGCAGGTGGCTTTGGGTGGTAGGACGGCTTCTTGGACTACCCAGGCTCTGCTGAACCAGGGGAGGGATAGTAAGGAGCGTACGAAGGATTGTTGACGGGGGAGGGAGAAGATGAGGGGTTTCTGGTCAGGAGGTACATGGTGGCTGTCTGTTGAGGAAAATGAAGACGAGGCGTGGAGCTGGGGTGCTACGAATGCGCTGTTTTCGAAGTAATGAGACATGGATTCGGTGTCCTGCACTTCTTGCCCGAGCCAGATTAGGACGCGTTGGCATCGGCTGTAGATTTCGCCCATGAGAGAGACTTGTTGGTTGCGGTCGGGGATGCTTGTTTGGTCGACACATAACTATGAGTGTCACGATAAAGTCAGTACAAGATTCCTATCTGTTCCATGATGAATGCCCTACCTGATCAACCCAAAGGTAGCCCGTTTGGCAATGAGGACGAATTCGCGTAAGTGTAGCGCGCAACGTGGGGGTGATGTTGACCAACATCCCCGACCCGAGGGTAAAGACGCAAGATTTATCTTGCTCGCCCCATACATAAGAGATTGTCTCGTAAGGAGGCGCTGCTTCCAAAGATACCTCAACAATATCAGGCTCTTGAATTGACTGCGAGGCCTCAGGAAGTCTGAGGAGCCTGATATGGCGCTCGGAGAGGGGCTTGTATGTGTGTGTGTTGGACATGGCTAGATGCTGCACTTGAGCTCAGACAAGAGTATGCGTAGCGGGTATGGCAGTGTATAGATGATGGGCTCTTACTCTAGTCGCATTGTCGTTCGAACCCTTTGCTGTAAACCATGTGACGTCGAAACCCCGCAGCTACGCAGTTGAGTGATGCTTGAATTCAGGTGTCGCATGGCTTCGAAGACATCTATTAGGCCATTGGATGTTGCAATTGTAGCAGTGGACAGGAAGCTGACTTTGCGTATCCCAGAGGCAGTAGAATCTAAGGCATATTGATAGTCAGTGTTGGTACCAGAACCAGGTGGTTGCGTGTAGTTGATGGGAAGGCAGTTGTTAGATGAGAGCTCCTTCCCTAGGTTTGCAAGGTGACGCTAGCGTTACCCCACTCTTGTCTCGCGATCTCTTGTCTTCCTCACCAACGCAGACTCGACAAACGGCACCGGCATGGTGGTCTTCCACAATTGCGAAGATCTTACAAGCAGTCACTTACGAGCCAGCTAATGACGATAGTAGATCAAGCTTTTGGCACTATTATTATTATGTATATCGTTACTCATGCAAGCTAAGACAAGAACGTCCATTCCCAACACTCCTAGTAAGTGTAGCAAAACGGTCCAGCTGTGGTATCCAGAAGCTCTTTCAGTTTCCTGTCACCCGCTAGCTTTCCAATATTGATCGTGTAGTCCAGTGTGACGTTCTGACCGCTGTAGTCGAACGGAACGATCGGCCCGCCAACCTGGTTGAGACGAGTCTTCAAATCCAGTTGCTGCCACTCCCAGAAAATGCGATCTAGATTGGCATGGTGCAAGTAGAAAAGCGGCTCTGCAGGCGAGTTTGCAGCGTTGCCAGCCTGGCCCAATGCACCACCAACACCGAAATGGCCACTTCCGTGGATGTTGGGTGCGCCAGATGTGGTGTCACCTTGCATCAAGCGGTCGAAGGTGGTGTAATCCGGTGCTTCGAGTTGCTTTGTTACGAGTTTGGGGTCTGCCCAAGTGTTCATGAGAGCGGGTATGAAGTCGCGGCGAAGACAGTCTGCTGGGCCGGGGTAGTTGACGGTGAATTTGGAGGCGACAAAAGGCCCGGTTTGAACGCAACCACCACCCGTACCGCCCTCCATACCGAACTCGTTTTGTCCAGGGAGGGGCTCAACCTTGTTTCCATTGCCGCCGAAACCGGTATCGGGAGAGAATATCTCGGAATCGTAAACGCGGGTAGAGGTAGGGTTGTGAGGCTCTGCATCCAGGGAGTAGTTCCAGTAAGGATGAGCACCAGTGTAGCCACATTCTTCACGGAGAGCCTTCTCGTATGTTGCGACAAAGTAACGATGCCATAGGATGAAGTGTCCTACGAAATGGATGTGATCGGCTTGATTGACGTGAACGGCCTGGTGATCGTCGAATCGATTTAGGGCGCCAGGGATCCCTGACACGGCTTTCTTGGTTGTCAAACATAGAACAGCATCGATATAGTTCCTTCTCTGTGGGATGGACAACTGTCTCCTGTGATGTCACAATGATTAGCGAAATTCTATCGTGTGCCAATGTGGGTCCATCTTACCATTCCTGTCGCTTGATAGGGTTCTTGCACACGGCAGAATTGGTTGGAGGAAGCGCTGCTGCAGTTGACAGTGACGCCAAGCAGAACGATGAAACAAGGAGCTGTAGTTTGACCATGGCGACTAATGTATCTGCCGTAGCGTTCGAGATCGATGACTGAAGGCAAGGTGAGTTGTAGCGACCTACTCACCCAGAGAACGATGGGTCTCAAGCTTTTATGTAGCCCTCTATCAGTCCACCAGCGCCGCTCAACGTGCATCTAAGCCTCGGTCTGCCCCGAGAAGAACGAGGCACTAACGTACGACGCTGCAAGGCGGCCACAAGGGCAGCAAATTCGGACCTGTATTTGGGTACGAGCTGTTGGATTCTAGTGGGATTTCCGGGTCTAGGAGGCTCTACACATGCATGGTGATTCAGGGTCTATGTGCGCCTATGTGGCACAGCAAATGTTGAGTCCAGAATATGCAAATTAAATACCGGTACTCAGGAAGCGACCGTGTACATGACTCGCTAAGCACGGGAACGCTGAATCAACTCGACTTGTCGAAGCCGAGAGTAAGAAGTCCGAAAGCGCCATGTGTGCATTTTTGCATCCAGCAGAAGACTTCGTTTGATCCAGATTAGGTAAGCGTCGCAAGAGACAGGGCTTGATCTGATCTGCGCACGTCGCCGTGTTGTTCGTTGCTGAGTGTGTATTTGGCTTCAGACGTAACCATCTCCCAGTGCTTGATGTTTCCAGGGACGGGAGCAACTTGGGCGCATGCAGCCGGTGGGCGCAAGGATTGAGAGCGAAAGCATCCTGCGGGATGATATGCAGCATCGGAGCTTTTGCCTACTCTAGGGTTGATGTATTTTCCGGCCATTCCCTCCGAGTGCGCCGTTGTTGGAGACGCGGCAGAAGAGAATGCCCCTGTCTATGGCTGCCATACAAGTCAATTGAAGAATTAGTAGATGTTGTTATCTTGATAGGTTTCAGACGCTGGCTATACAGCGGGTGTAAAGGACACGATGTCCGACTATCAGATTGACTGATAATGCCACCCGGGAATGGCCCGCTCCCGTAGTCGCGTGTCTTCTGAGCGGCCACTTTTCTCAGGTGCGGCTATAGCTTGGGTTTGAGCGCTTCAATGGGGATGGCGGGGGAAGTGATTGATGGGAAATCCGGGAGACACGGCAGCAGACGGGACGAATGCTAGTAGTGCACTGCACGAACAGGTACCGATATGAACTACGCCGCATTTGCGTCTTTAGATAGTACACCCGTTTTTTCTTGGCGGACCTGGCCTGGTGTCTGTTGTTGCGCTATAGACGGGGAAGGGGAAGGATCGAGTTCTGGAGAGATTGATTCGGTTCGCGCAACCGAAAAGCGTGCCAAGGCGTTCGAGCCGGCTTGGCAGATCTTCTCTTCTTCCCGAGGTCCTGTCCTACCTATCCTACTTGGATGATTGTAAACAGCGTGCAACATCAACACCACTGGAGTTTGTCTAGACGCGTAGCAGCACGATTCATCGCACACTGAACTGCGCTCGGCATTCGGTATGCTTGACCACGGCATCGATTGAGGCGTTCAGGTAGGTACCTACGCCACCTGGGCAGCGCCAAGAAGCCATACATCCGGAGGATTCGCAAGACAGGCATTTCACGAATCCCCCTTGCACAAGACTATCATCTGCAGTGGCGCTTGGGCGAACCTTTCAAGTGGTAATCGGAGATCCACGAAATGAAATTTCCACGTGCTGCTTCGCTCGGTTACAAACACATCAATGCAAGCCACATGTTGACCGCGCGCGATTGGCTACAGCCATTTGTAGGCTTTCGTTCGTCTTCGATCTGATCTGACCATCCGCCGTGCCATCCTACTGGGAAGACGCTCAATGAACAATGCTGTGTGCGGCGTGGTTGATCACTATGTCTTATACCCACGCACCGGCAATGCTTTCTCCCAGTACAACTCCGGCATACACGTGCATGTAGACCAATACCATGGCAGGCGACGGTGTTTACATCACCAGCGACAATGGCTCGCGTCAGCCAATGATGCTCATCACGACCGGCGTGTTACTCTTCTTCTCTTTGATCGCAGTTTCACTCAGATTGTACTGCCGAGCTATACTCGTACGCTGCGTTGGGTTGGACGACTACTTCATGCTCGTTGCCCTCATAGTAGCCATTGGCTTGGGTATTATGAATGGTTTCCAAGTCAGCTACGGTACTGGGTAAGTCTTACTTCACTCCGTCATCTAGACAGTGGCCAGCTGACACGCTTAGACGGCAATCTAAAGATCTCAACTTCGACCACTTCTTGATACCCACTCTCAAACACTGGTGAGTCACACTCACTCTACTACAGTCTGAACGGCCTTGCTGAAACTACATGCAACTAGGTACGCATACCAATTGGTCTACCCATGGGCGCTGTTCTGCGTGAAAGCCAGCATCTTAGCACTATACCATCGGATCTTCACGCACCACAGCTTTCGACGCTGGATATATTATGCTGCAGGCTTCATCATCATACAGACCATCACTGTTACTTTCATCAACGTGCGCTTACGACGAGGTTACTCTTTACCTTCAGTTCCACTGACTGCGAAGAACAGGCTTTCGAATGTGGCACCAAGCCCTCCCGAGCCTGGTCGGCCAAGTTCCCAGAAGGCTGCAATGATATGCCAAGGACGTACTTCGCTATGGCATCCGTGAACATTGTCACCGACATAGTTATCTTGATCATGCCGTTCAAAGTCTTCAAGCAACTCAACATGCACCCACGAAAGCGCTGTACGTATCCTCCATTCCAGCCAACAGGGAACCGAAGCTGACAAAAGAGCATAGTCGCGCTTATGGGAATTTTCATGGTAGGAGGCATCGCAGTGATAGCTTCTATCATGCGCCTCTATGCACTCTACGTCTTCGCCGTATCCAAAGACATCCCATACGACGACATCTTCGTAAGTCTCCTCATTGCCACCTGCACCTCTCCAATCCAGGCACTCAAGTAACTGCCAACCAACACACCCCCTTAGATCCTCCTCCTCTCCCAGATCGAAGTGAACGTAGCCATGATCTCCGCCTCCGCGCCTGCCTACCGACCCCTCTTCAACAAGGTCTTCTCTTCATCCTCTTCGTCACCCTACGTTCGACCCGCCAGCGACTATCCCACAGTCGGCAGTGGAAGGCCAGCTTACACTCGACGACGGAAAGCTTCGCGCGATCAGATGGAATTATTTTCGGTGCTATCGACGGGGAAGAGGGCGAGCAAAACCCATGTAAGAAACACGAGCGAAGAAAGTATCCTGGGTGAGGAGGGCATAAGGAAGACGATTGATGTCAGAGTCATTGAAGAAGAGGAAAAGGAGAGACAGAATGGGGATGATAGGAACGATAAGAATGATCCAGCGTATTGGCGAGGTGTATGATTGATGTCGTACCGAAAGGCGGGCTTCTTTGATGTTAACCCTGCTCCATGGGCTGTCGTCTACCGAAAGTGTAGATACAAAATTACTTTCTTGCCTTGTTTTACATCAACATTCCACTGCCTGAGACATGAGTGGTGGCGGATAGATATTCAATTCCCAAGATTATCATTTCGTTTCTACCTACCCACAAAGCCACACATCAGCGCCTGAGCGGACTACGGAAGCCCATACTACCAAACTGGCTACCTCCCTTCTTCGGTGTCGTCAATGGATCCGGTACTTCCCCGCCATAACTCCCACTCACAGCCCTATGTCCCTGCCCACCATTCCCAACAGCTCTTCCCCCACTACCTGGCGCCTTGAATCCCACCAAACTGCCCTTAGCATAGACATCATTCAACATCTGTTCCAGCACGCCCGCATCATCAAACTCCTGCCATTTTCTCCAAAGCTTCAGAGCGGTTGTCGCGTCCTCGATGGAATCGTGCGTGTCCTCTTGGATGCTCTCTTTCAGTACACACCAAGCCAGGAACTTCAAGTTCAGTTTTCGCTTGAAGTCTGGTTTGAACCATAGGTTGCTTGTGTCGACGACTTGGTTTTTGGGGACGTGGATGTTGATGGTGCGGAAGTCGTTGGCAAGCGAATGGCCGACGAAGACACATCCTAGATTGAGTAGCAGCCATAACTTCTTGTAGGCGTGTTTCAGGGATACTGGTGCGTGTGGAGAGGTTTCGCGGCTGAGGTCGCCCGGAGATATACCAGACCATTCGGTGAGATAGTCGACCACTTGTTCGGTTACAGCGATGTAGTCATCGATGAAGGGAAGGCCTGCCTGCTCTCCTTCGCCGCGACATACTGAGACACGAGCTAAGCCCTTGCGATCAGGACGAATGGTCTGGCGGGTGCCATCAGCCTTCATTTCGATCTCTTCGGCTTGGAGGCGGATGAACTCGGCATCGATAGCGACTGGGTAGCCAGGGCGTGGCTCTTCTGATGAGTGTTGAAGAAGCTTAAATTTCTCCTCGGGGGGCGTTGGGTTAGACGACCACCACCTGTACAGAATGGAAGTGTCAAGGTTTTGTTTCCACGAGTCGTCGATCTTGTTACGGGCAGACTTCAGCTGGAAGGTCAGGACAGACGGAAGCTTCCAACTTGTATCGAAGCGCAGAGCCTCCTCTTTGGGGATTGGTCTCACTAGGAAGTCGTTAAAGAGATGCCATCTGTCCTCTAAATCCTCTTCTCGTGACGAAGGTGCGGTGTTGATGGTCGCTACCAGATGAGGCTTCTGACGCTCGCCGCTGTTGATATCCGCGACAACTCCAACAAGTTCATAGACCATGATCTGATGTACTCCGCGTTGTAGGTGTAGCTTCAGGTCTTGGCCTTCGAAACAGTAGAATTGACCTTGATCTACTATGATCCCGATCTCTTGCGGAAGCCAATTGGGCGTCGACCACAACAACTTGGCTTCATGGCTTTGTATGGCAGCGTTGAGCATCAACACTCCAGGTACTGACTGGATCGTCTTCCGCTGTACCATCTGCTGGTAACGGTTGCACTTTGTACACCAACCCCGAGTTTGATCTTGCCGCTCGACGCTGGCTTTCAAGATCTGTGAGAAGGTCGGACGTGCTATTCTAGTGTTCCTCATCACCTGCTTCGCAGGATATACGAGCTCATTGACGAAGTTCTTGCCTCCACGGATGGTTTCGTTATTGCACTGTGCACATCTCATACTCGCTTTTGCTTGGGTTTCCAGTACTTGATCCATGGCTGAAGGCCCAGTGTGCCCTGGAAGCATTTGTCGGAATTCTTCGGAAACCTTGTCTAACAGAAAGCGGTTGAGGTTCTGGATCATAGTGGTAAGTGCAACGTTGGGAGCAAATTCTTCAAGCAGATTCAGGGAAACTGCATTCGAAAGGCCACTGAAGGTCTTCAAGAAGTTAGATGCTTGACAGTTGAGCCCAGCCGCCTTTTCGAGCATATCGATGAGAAACCCCAGTTCGCAAAGAAGGCAAGACTCAAAGAGGCATGGCGAAGCAGTGTGTTGCAGAGCAAGATTTCGTAGCAGCGGCGTAAATCGGAAGAGTTGCAGAAGTGAATTGGCGTAAGAGTTGGTAATGTGAGTCTCTAGACCAGAGTAGGGTGTCTGGTTGTAGTAGCTGGTGCCATGTCAGTGCGTGGGCAAATGATATTGTTGGGAAGACATACGCAAAGTCGAAGTCATCAACACCGAACTTGCTGTACTTGATCTCCACGTTTCCATACATGGCCGGAACATCTTTGCGTGTAACATCGTCGAGATGCAGGTCGGTCAAAGTCTCCATAGTCTCTGTTATCCGGGCATCTGGCTCGGTGAACGACTGCGATGCCCGAGCTTTCTCACTTAGAAACTTGGGGGCAGACAGCGATTCGCTCACTCTATCCACCTGCCGTGTTGCTTCGGCTTGGTTTCTGCGCTTCGTATTGGGGTTCTTGGCGTAGAATCCAATCTCGGCGCGCGTCATGTTGCCGAGTATCGTGCTATCAATCTTAGGCGGAGGGGCGCCGACTTCGAATACTAGATGACTAGGCCAACTTGATAGCAGCTGTTCCTTGTAATATGGCATACCAACAGTACTCAGGGGTCTGGGCAGAGTAAGCAATGCGTCAAGTTTGAAAATCGGTAAGACCTACGTGTCAGGGCTCCAATCCATCTGTGGGGGCGGTGGAACATTATGATCTGCAGTCTCTGTTGGGTTGCTGTATTCTGGGAAGTGTACTTTGGTCGGAGAGCCCCAAAGATGTATGTGCGAGTTGGAGTCTGCTAGTGCAATAGCCTCGCCAGAAGGTGCCATCTCAAAGCCAGTGAGGAACGAATCGTAGAAGTTCAGCTGCCGGAGGTTGGCCGAGTCGGGGTTCATGAGATCGATGACCTGCATCTGGCCGTTCTGAGAGGCGATGAAAGCTGTAGTAGACATACGGGGATGCATGCGCACATAGGCTGCACCTGTGTGGAATGGAATGGGAGGTAGCTGCTTGAGCGTCTTCAAAGAGAAGACATTGGTGAATGGATCCAGCATATATGCATATTGTTGTCGCGGAGACCATCCGCATGTTGCGAGGAAATCGCCCTTTGCGTCCATGTCGTTGATGCTACCAGTATGACCTTCGAACACCTTGATGACGGCAAGCGAATTTGAGTCCAAGATGTGGATACTACCGGTCTTCGTGGCGGCGCAAAGGTACTGTCCAGCACGCTTCATGATCGTGTATTGAGCTTCGGCAGGGAGCTTCCATTGGTTAGTTCAGGGTAGTTGATGAAGGCATGCGATATACCGTATGTGTGATGATGCCCTTCTCCACATCTACTTTGAACATTTGCGCCTGGCATCCTGCGACGAGGATTTCGCGCGTGCCTTTGGAGGTGAAGTTCATGCATGTCATATCCTTGAACTCGGCGCTCCTATACGCTGATGGTCAGCCGCTGCCCTTGTGCGCTCTTTCCCCTTCCGCAGCCAACATACGTCAGGTGCCATTGTGTGAGTCCGCGGCGGTGGGAATAGTGGACGCTTTGTTTAGAGATGGAGAGAATCCCCTTTTCGGTGAAGAGGAATTGCTTTACGGGGCCATCGGGAGGCGCATGTCCGCGGTACGAGGTATAGCGTTCGAGGTGAGGGCCGTAGAAGGACGTGACACGCCCCTGCGAAGATGTCAGTCGCACGGCACCTGGCACGGGCCGCGTGTGAACGTACTCACATGGTTGTTTCCTGTCCATAGCAGTTCTTGTGTTGTGTCGAAAGCGAATGTCGATATGGGTACAGCAGGTAGGTGTGGTCCTGGGGGCGGCAATTGAGCGATGGCTAGCTGCGCAGTGGTCAGTACGGTAGGCGTGATTGGCATGCCGTCGGCTACCTACCTCGTCCCAATCCGCCTCCATGCTGAAGTCGCGTGTTGCAGTCCAGGAGCTCTAGGGAGCAGTCCCGACATGCCTTGCGCTACGTGGTTGACGGACGCGTCGCGGTAGTTGGACCGTCGAGGCGTGGGGTGAGGCCGGAGCTAGAAGACGCGAGGATGTGTGCTGGTGGGACCGCGGGGCATCCGGGAACAAAGCCGCGACCACCGCCTTGGAAGGTGCTCGGCAACTCAACGTCCTTCGCGTACAATACTAGTCTACACTTATTGTTCATGGATATGGCACGGTGGCAAGTGATCTTGAACTTGAAAGTTTGATTCCTATGAACAATCCCAAACGCTATTTGTCCGACCGACTACGTAAAAGACCTGGCCGCAGATGTTGGTACGCACAATAGTAGTGGCTATTGTACGCACGCACGAAAGGAGAAAGTAAAAGTGCACGTATCTTACCTGACAATGTAACTGGTCCTAGCCAATGCGTGATGCGGTGACCAGTGATGTCAGATGGATTGGGTATCGAACGCCTATCGAGTCGTCGTGCTTAGTGAGTTGGCTCAACAGACGAGAGTGTGTACCGAAGAGTCATACCGAAAGATGCAAATGTCGTGGTCTTCGTGTGAGCTCAATCGAGTAGTCGTGAGAAGTCGAACCGAGTGCGAACTCCTGCATCAGGTTAGCGCCATCCTCTAATACAAAGCCAAAGCTTCGCTTCTCGATCAACAGTGGATCACTGCATGTAGCTGAGGTATATCTAGGTCTGAAGTTGGCCCGAGGGCAACGTAAGCAAGGGATTCAGAGTATCAAATGTTTTCGATCACACTTGTACGTACCACGGAGTATTCGTCGACCTCGCCTTGGACGATCTAGAGGCCTTTGCGGTCGCCAGAGTACTCCTCGTCCTGGTCGGCGTCGGCCTTGTGGTCGTAACGCTGACGCTTGTGGGTTTCGGTCATGCCCTTGCCAGAGCCCGTAAAGCCGACTGTGAGGGTTAGCGATGAGACACGGGAAGATTGCTAGATTTACTCACCTCGACTGCCAGCCTCGGTACTGGTACGGAACATGGACTCCTTCTTGACAACGCCCTTCTTCTTGCCTTTGTTCTGGAAGTCGGCCCAGTTTGACTGCCTCTTCTTGAGGATGCCCTTGTTGGCGATGCGACTAGCCTTCCGCTCTTCTCCGTCCTGGGCAGCTCCGGCGCTCTTGGCAGCCTGCGCACTCGGGTTCATGCTAGCAGCTCCGGAGATGACGTGGGCACTCGAGACAACGGGCGCAGACGGGGTTGCGGCGAACGCAGGCTCGGCGTCGCGCTTGCGCTTGTTCGGCAGAGGGCGTACGGCGGAGCCATCGACGGTCAGGGTGTCGTCGTACTCGATGAAACGAACAAGGTACTTGGGGGCTGAGGCGGCGCCGAGTTTACTCTGGATCTTGGCTTTGTACCAGGACCTGTCAGTCCACTGCGCCTCGCAGATGTCGCCAATGTTCAACACGACGGCCTTCTCGGGCTCTTGCTTCTCCATGGTCTTGCGCAGAACTGGGTGCTTCTCGATGTCGAACTTGGGACCGGCAGGTTCAGCGGCGTCCTCAGGAAGCTGGGCCTCGAGAGCGGCGAGTTCGGATCGCAGGACCTCAAGTTTGGCATCGAAGTCGGCGATAAATTTCAACGCCTCCGCACGCAGGCCAAGTGTCTCTTCAGTCTCTCCGACCGTCGCGATCAACGTCTCCATCTCCGGAAGCTATACAATGTCAGTTGGGTCAATGCGATAGCTCCGTGGTGCGTAGCTCACCTGGCCTGCCCATTCTGCACGTCCTTGCTCTTCTACGGCGATTGCCTGCCTCTTGGCGTTGACGGCGTTCTTGATCTGCTTGGTGTTGTCCGCCATGTTGCAATCGCTGGTTGACTTGTGGTTGCGATGTTGTGGTGGGTTGGATTGTTCACAGTCGCGTACAAGTAAGGGTGTCGCGACAAGCAGTGACGCCCGGCAGGCAGCCGCTGGGCTTGGCGCCGCCCCACACAGCCTAGACCCTTTTTTTCTCCGCGCTTCAGCCCTACAAGTGAGACAAGCGTGCGTGAAGGTCGAATGGCACTGGGGCCGTCACCACCGTCACCCAAACTCACTGCTCACGTCACCTAACGTCTGCAGATGCAGCCATCACTTCTGCATTTGATAGTTCCTGCCGCATCTTCATTCTTGGCACAGTCCACGCTGCTTCACCGACGTTTATGATGGATAGTATCCATGATCAACCATGGCAGAGTCGCAGGGACCGCGCAAGTACGCAGCGAGATGATTAGTATTCTTCTTTCCAGAGAAGCGCCGTCTTCGGAAGTAGACTGCGAGAGACGCACTGGCAGCTCTTATTCAGCATGACGCATGACGCCAATGAGTGTAGTGGCAGCGAGAACCCCAATTCTGTTATAACCAGCCAGTCTCCTTCCAGCAGACAGCACTCGAGAATCTGGCGAGACTCACATCTGCTGCAGGACCAGGCACCGGACGCGGTGATCAGCGTCCGGTGTGGTGGTCTTCGATGGCGTTCTCCCCTACCCCACCAAGCTTTGTGCTTATCAATCAGACCAGGAAGCGCATGCTGAGCCTGCCGTCTGCTGCGCCCTTCTCTGACGCCGTGCTTCTGCGAGAACAGTCACACTCTCGGCCCCAACCTATCACTGACGCTGATCATCCGTTCACCTGTTGTCGGCCGCTTTTTGACAGGCTTAACGGCGTTGCTCCGAAAAGTCGCCCGAACCAACCAGCTAGGGTACCCAGGTGCCGCATTGGATCTGGCTTCCAGGCTGTGAGGCTGCGAATTGACTTCTTGCACCATTGCTCCTTCACCATCTGACCACCTTTCGCTCAAACTGCCCATCTCTTGACAAAGAACTTCGCATACCCCTCTGCGGCCGTCGTCAAGTGCGCTACACTCACAGAGCGCTCTGCCCTCTGCACAAGCCCTCCCATACCCGCGAAACCTTCGTCGGCTTACTGGCCCGCCTCCGCCCGCTGAACGAGCTACCCAGATCAACCCCAAACATCTTGCGTCATTCATACCACCTCTCAGAAGCCCAACGCGCCCGCTCCTCCACATTTTGCGGTGTCCGGGTGGCGAAAACGGTTATCGCACGTGGTTGAGCGATAGCCAGCCCCTCCGAACTTCCGCTACGCTGCGCAGCTGCGGTAAGCAACCCGCAAGCTCTCCTCGGAGCTATACACAACACCAACCACCTTCTACCACGCGATTGCAGTTGCAATGGCTGGAACTACCAACGATTTCCAGAATGGCGCGCCCTTCTACCTGGATGCGACGCAGCAGGATCTCCTTCTCGCGGCTCTGGCCTCGAACAACCAAAACCCCAACGACCTCTTCTCCGCTGGCCTTGACAGCGGCTCCAACAACAAGCAGTCCATGAACAATTCCCAATTCCAGTACCCTCTTGACAGCCTCGATCCCGCATACTTCACGTCGCCCCAACAACAAACTCCCGCGAACGGCTTCAACAGCGGAAGTATGGAAGAGAGTCCCTTTGTCGACTACCTGGATGGCGATAATGGCTTCGATTTCGACAACGCAGACGGCGACATGATTGGCTCACTGCCCGGGGATACTCCCGGCGATTCGAGCGAAAAGCGGAAGAGTCCGGACGACGGTGACGATGACGATGACGAGGGCGGCGGCAAGCGCAGGGAAGGTGAAGACAAGCAAGCCAAGAAGCCAGGTCGCAAACCATTGACTTCGGAGCCCACGACTGTAGGTTTCATGGAGCATGCTCACGTTAGCCCAACTGACAGCAGGAATAGAAGCGGAAAGCCCAGAATCGCGCGGCCCAACGAGCTTTCCGAGAACGCAAGGAAAAGCACCTGAAGGACCTCGAGACCAAAGTACAGGAACTCGAGAAAGCTTCCGATGCCACAAACCACGAGAACGGTCTCCTCCGGGCACAGGTGCAACGGCTGCAAACGGAGCTTCGCGAATACCGAAAACGACTCTCGCTCAACAGCACCGGAGTGTCTCGTACTCCTGCTCTTGCTGGAGGCTTCAGCTCTATGCTGAACAACAATAGCAACAACAACAACTTCTCCTTCGAGTTTCCACGTTTCGGCGGACTTCCTGGTGCTCAGCTACTGGACAACGGTCCATTAGCAAAGAACAAGAACACGTCGGTTTCGTCCAATGCATCTGGTCGCCAAAACAGCACCGGACGCGCCCTTAGCCCTACCAGCAGGGCCAACGGCTCGCTCACAGATTCCCCTGGCGCCATGGGCCCAGGTAGTGCGCAGCGCTCCGGCAGTCTCAACGGCTTTTTCGGATTCGACAACAACAACAAAACGAACAACGAACCCTCCCGCAGTAACACGGAGAACTCCACTCGTTCGCAATCGCGTGTTTTCCAGTTCAACAGTGGCTCATCAAGCCATTCAGACTCACCGTCCAACTCATCCACATCGCCTACAAACCAAGACTCCTCCTGCGGGACATCACCAGAGCCAAGTCATACCTCGCCCAATCAGCAGTTGGACACGATCAAGGACGGTTATGTGTGTCATGGAAACTCCGAAGGTGAGGTTCTCTTCTGCGAAAAGCTCAACATGGCCTGCGGCAACCCTCGTAATCCCATGCCTCGTGCGATGTCCCAATCTGACGACAAACCTTCTCCTGCAGTCTTAGCCGCCAAATCACCCACGCCCGCCGTCAACGGCATCGATTACTTTGCGAACCAAAACGGCGGCCAATTCGACCCGACCCTTTTCGGAGAGTACCGCGATACCCAGAATGCGATTGTGGGTGACGGCGACTTTACTGGTGGCTTCTTCAATGATGCTTTCCTCAACACTGGCTACGGTAGCCCCTTCCATTTCGGCGACACACCTGCTGTGCAGAAGACGAATCCTCTTGAAGAAATTGAGCGCATACAAGATGGTGAGGACGAGGTGGTCCCCGGCGAGGATGTCAATTCGCTGCTCAACTGCCACAAGATATGGTCAGTACAACCCTGTGAAAACTTGGGAACTGGTACGCTAACTC